AACACCTGCACCAACACCTGCACCAACACCTGCACCAACACCTGTATTAACACCATGCACCAACACCTGCTCCAACACCTGTACCGTTGACTTTGACCAACCAAAAAATGTCCTTCTGTCCCCAGACTGTGCGAGGTTTTGAACCTCGACCCTCGGCGTGTGCTGATCGCTGAGGTTTTGTTCTCCAACATTGGTGGCACCGCCACAGCCATTGGCGACCCGCCTAACGTCATCATAGTGGGGGCGCTCAGTGAGAAGGTGGGTACCTGACCCGTGTCTGACCCAGTTGTTTGAATGTTGCTATATGACCCGTGTCTGACCCGTGTCTGACCCGTATCTGACCCAGTTGTTTGAATGTTGCTATATGACCCGTGTCTGACCCGTATCTGACCCGTGTCTGACCCGTGTCTGACCCAGTTGTTTGAATGTTGCTATATAACCCGTGTCTGACCCGTATCTGACCCGTGTCTGACCCAGCTAAATGTGGCACACCACACACAACCAGCCGAGAGACTGAGTGCAATTAATTAATTAATTATTTCATTAAAACTTCACACTAAGTTTAACGAAGCTACCCTAAGCACTGACCCACTGTGACCTTGACCTCAGGGCATCACTTTCTCCACGCTGACCAGTCACATGTATCCCGGCATCCTGTTGGTCAGTCTGGCCGGATACGCTCTGCTGCGCTTCTACTACAGGAACGTCAACGAGCTCAAGAACAAAGACCCGCCTGACATTGCAGGTCAGTCTATGACATTCACAGGTCAATGTATGACATTCACAGGTCAATGTATGACATTCACAGGTCAATGTATGACATTCACAGGTCAATATATGACATTCACAGGTCAATTTATGACATTCACAGGTCAATGTATGACATTCACAGGTCAATTTATGACATTCACAGGTCAATGTATGACATTCACAGGTCAATGTATGACATTCACAGGTCAATGTATGACATTCACAGGTCAATGTATGACATTCACAGGTCAATGTATGACGTTCACAGGTTAATGTATGACATTCACACGTCAATGTGTGACATTCACAGGTCAATGTATGACATTCACTTTACTGGTAAAACTTTGCAATAGCGTATGTGATGTAAAAACAACACGACTGACTTCGTAGAATTTAAAAAAAATCACATGACACCTTTGAATTAAAAAATCACATGACTTTTAATAATATAATCAAACTTCTTTGAATAAATCACTAGAAAACTGATGTGTATTATTGGAGTTAGAATAAAAATATTTATGTTGATAAATGCAAGTCAGTTGAAAATTAACATTATCTGACATCTGAGAAATCGTGTGCTCCACGAGGCATCTGACATACAATTTTTTTCATGTGACATCCCAACTGTCATTTGGTTTATGTGACATCTGGCATGTCATTTTTTCGTGCATCTCAAATGCCATATGCACCATGTGACATCCGAAATGTCATCTCCCCAATGTGACATCTGAAATGTCATCTGCACCCAGTGACATCTGAAATGTCATATGCACAATTTGACATCTGAAATGTCATATGCACAATGTGACATCTGAAATGTCATCTGCACCATGTGACATCTGAAATGTCATCTGAACCATGTGGCATCTGAAATGTCATCTGAACCATGTGGCATCTGAAATGTCATCTGAACCATGTGGCATCTGAAATGTCATGTATTCCAGAAATGAAACACGAGGTGGCCATGTGGAGACGAGCAGCCACCAGGGCCCAGAATGTGACCAAGGAGGAGATGCTGATGAGGGTCCTCTTTCTGCAGAAGGCCGTGGAGATAGAGCACCAGCTTAACAGGGCCATCAGGTAATTTGGCCATCTGGTAATCAGCTTATCTGGCCATCAGGTAATTTGGCCATTTAATAATAAAAATCTGGCCATGATGAACTTGATTTTAGTCTACGTTTCGACCCAATCAAATTGTGTGGTCGTGGTGTTAAAGTGTCTAACCTCTGACCCCTGTCTTTTAAAACTAATTATGTCCCCCATGACCTCTGACCCCTGTTAAAACAAGGTTTAATGTCCATGTTTCAGACGACACGAGAATGTCGATTTTAAAGACATGATAGGCAAGCTGGAGAAACAGGTAAGGTGTCCTGTCTGTCTACCTGTCCTGTCTGTTGACCTGTCCTGTCTGTTGACCTGTCCTGTCTGTCCTGTCTGTTGACCTGTCCTGTCTGTCTACCTGTCCTGTCTGTTGACCTGTCCTGTCTGTTGACCTGTCCTGTCTGTTGACCTGTCCTGTCTGTTGACCTGTCCTGTCTGTTGACCTGTCCTGTCTGTTGACCTGTCCTGTCTGTTGACCTGTCCTGTCTGTTGACCTGTCCTGTCTGTTGACCTGTCCTGTCTGTTGACCTGTCCTGTCTGTTGACCTGTCCTGTCTGTTGACCTGTCCTGTCTGTTGACCTGTCCTGTCTGTTGACCTGTCCTGTCTGTTGACCTGTCCTGTCTGTTGACCTGTCCTGTCTGTTGACCTGTCCTGTCTGTTGACCTGTCCTGTCTGTTGACCTGTCATGTCTGTTGACCTGTCCTGTCTGTCCTGTCTGTTGACCTGTCCTGTCTGTTGACCTGTCCTGTCTGTTGACCTGTCCTAAATACTGCCCGTATTTAAAAAGAAATATTTTAACTATCACTGTACAACAACATATCTAACTCCTGATTGCATGAATTAATTAACAAAAAATCTCCCTAGCATAAGGTCAAGGACGTGTGGCTACTGGTCAAGAGTGGTCTGGTGCTGGTCGTGGTCATCATTCTGCTGTTCATGTACTCGTTCGTCAGTGCCATCCATCTGGACATTGGTCAGTTCAAATCGTTTGTGTGTCCCCATTGGTCAGTTCAAACTATTGCTGTCTCCCCATTGGTCAGTTCAAACTATTGCTGTCTCCCCATTGGTCAGTTCAAACTATTGCTGTCTCCCCATTGGTCAGTTCAAACTATTGCTGTCTCCCCATTGGTCAATTCAAACTATTGCTGTCTCCCCATTGGTCAATTCAAACTATTGCTGTCTCCCCATTGGTCAATTCAAACTATTGCTGTCTCCCCATTGGTCAATTCAAACTATTGCTGTCTCCCCATTGGTCAATTCAAACTATTGCTGTCTCCCCATTGGTCAATTCAAACTATTGCTGTCTCCCCATTGGTCAATTCAAACTATTGCTGTCTCCCCATTGGTCAATTCAAACTATTGCTGTCTCCCCATTGGTCAATTCAAACTATTGCTGTCTCCCCATTGGTCAATTCAAACTATTGCTGTCTCCCCATTGGTCAATTCAAACTATTGCTGTCTCCCCATTGGTCAATTACAACTGTTTGTGCGTCCCCATTGGTCAGTTCTGCATTCCCAACTGTATCCCCGTTGGTCGGTTATTTTTTTCTGTGTGTCCCTTTCCACCCCCCCCCCCCACTAACTACCTCTTCACTCTGACTCCTTCCGCTCTGGCCACCCTCCACTATAAACCCCATCATCTGACCCCATCATCTGACCCCATCATCTGACCCCATCATCTGACCCCATCATCTGACCCCATCATCTGACCCCATCATCTGACCCCATCATCTGACCCCATCATCTGACCCCTTATTCTCTCTGACCCCTTATTCTGTCTGACCCCTTATTTTCTCCGACCCCTGACTGTCTGACCCCCAGGCTGGATTGCTATAGTGGGCGCCCTCTGGCTGCTAGTGTTGGCAGACATTCAGGACATGGACGCCATCTTGCACAAGGTCGAGTGGTCGACTCTCATCTTCTTCGCCGCCCTTTTTATTTTAATGGAGGTAAGCGCCGCTCTATTTATTTTAATGGAGGTAAGCGCCGCCCTTTTTATTTTAATGGAGGTAAGCGCCGCCCTTTTTATTTTAATGGAGGTAAGCGCTGCCCTATTTATTTTAATGGAGGTAAGCGCCGCCCTATTTATTTTAATGGAGGTAAGCGACGGCCTATTTATTTTAATGGAGGTAAGCGCCGCCCTATTTATTTTAATGGAGGTAGGCGCCGCCCTATTTATTTTAATGGAGGTAAGCGCCGGCCTATTTATTTTAATGGAGGTAAGCGACGCCCTATTTATTTTAATGGAGGTAAGCGCCGCCCTTTTTTTAATGGAGGTAAGCGCCGCCTTATTTATTTTAATGGAGGTAAGCGCCGCCCTATTTATTTTAATGGAGGTAAGCGCCGCCCTATTTATTTTAATGGAGGTAAGCGCCGCCCTATTTATTTTAATGGAGGTAAGCGCCGCCCTATTTATTTTAATGGAGGTAAGCGCCGCCCTATTTATTTTAATGGAGGTAAGCGCCGCCCTATTTATTTTAATGGAGGTAAGCGCCGCCCTATTTATTTTAATGGAGGTAAGCGCCGCCCTATTTATTTTAATGGAGGTAAGCGCCGCCCTATTTATTTTAATGGAGGTAAGCGACGCCCTATTTATTTTAATGGAGGTAAGCGACGGCCTATTTATTTTAATGGAGGTAAGCGCCGCCCTTTTTTAATGGAGGTAAGCGCCGCCTTATTTATTTTAATGGAGGTAAGCGCCGCCCTATTTATTTTAATGGAGGTAAGCGCCGCCCTATTTATTTTAATGGAGGTAAGCGCCGCCCTATTTATTTTAATGGAGGTAAGCGCCGCCCTATTTATTTTAATGGAGGTAAGCGCCGCCCTTTTTTTTTAATGGAGGTAAGCGACGGAATTTTTATTTTAATGGAGGTAAGCGCCGCCCTTTTTTTTAATGGAGGTAAGCGCTGCCGATGGCCTATTCTTCAACTTTTGAATACAACAAATAACTAAAAGCAAATAAAACAGGTCGAATTTAAAATTCTTAGAAATAATGGTAAAGGGGAGGCTAACATTAAAATACCGTATCTTAGAATTAATTTATTGAGTTACTTCCCTTAGACCACAAATTTCATTGCCTGTAGTTATTTCGGTTGACCTAACGTTACAGGCCTTAGCCGAGCTGGGGATGATAGCGGCCATCTCTGACGTCACCGAGAGCATCATTTTGTCGGTGGACAAGGAGAGCCGACTGGCCCTGGCCATCATTGTCATCATATGGATCTCGGCCATCGCATCCAGCTTCATCGACAACATCCCGTTCACCACAGCTATGGTAGGTCACCACAGCTATGGTAGGTCACCACAGCTATAGTAGATCTGGTAGGTCACACAGCTATAGTAGGTCTGGTAGGTCACACAGCTATAGTAGGTCTGGTAGGTCACCACAACTATAGTAGGTCACCACAGCTATGGTAGATCACCACAGTTTTTGTGTGTCACCATTTATTATGTTAACCAACCTATCTACTTTCCTAGTGCCAGACTCCATGATTCTCTGACGTCACACCTCCAAAATGGCGTCCCGTGATAACTTCCTGTTTCCACTACCTTTCAGGTGCCAGTTATCCAGCACCTGAGCGACGACCCCAACGTTGACCTCCCCCTGATTCCATTGGTTAGCGCCCTTGCTTTTGGCGCCTGTCTTGGGGGTGAGTGACACGTGACCTTGAGTATTTGACCTCACATGTTTAGATATAAAACGTGTAGACATGATCAACGATTGAGTTCTAAAAATAAAACGCTATCCATTGGCTAGGAAACGGGACTCTGATTGGCGCTTCGTGCAACGTGGTGTGTGCTGGGATAGCCGAGCAACATGGCTACGGCTTCAGTTTCTGGGAGTTTTTCAAGTCAGTCCCAGACTCATTTCTTTTGTGTGTGTATGTGTGTGTTTGTGGCTGTTTTTGTGGCTGAGTGTTTGTGTTGAGGGGAAGTGTGCGAGAGTATGTACGCGTGTGTGTGCATTAGCTAATTGTAAACCCGTGTAGACCGATTTGGGTGGTCTAGTGGGTGTGTGTGTGTATCTTGTGTGTGTGTGTATTGAGTGTGTATGTGTGCTGAGAGCTAGACAGTCACTTTGGTATCCCTGTTTGATCACCCATATCATTAATGAATCTACTTTTGTCTATTTTAAGAATCGGATTTTCCATGATGCTGGTGACCACATTGACCTCGACTGTTTACGTTTTGATCTGCCATTGCGTCATCGGGTGGAACTTCGTCTAAACTCGCCCCCCCCCCCAACATAATCTCACTGACCTTGACCTCATAGACTCACGGCTCGGCGGCCGATGGGGGCGTGTCCAAAGGTTGACACGTGACCAGCAGACGAGGACAGACACCGGAAGGAAATGCTCAATTGTGGTTGGAGGAGAAAGTACGTTTTGTCACGTGAACCTCGAGTCACGTGGTTCTAGTCACGTGATGAGACAGATGTAAAGATAACTGAGGTGTCATGCGCGTGCTGTCATTCATCGGTTCATTAACACAGTGGGCGTGGCCACTCATCTACGCGTCATACGGCAACACACCTGTGTGACCTCGATTACCTGCACAATCTATAGGAGGACACATGATTGTGACGTGACAGATGACGTCTGGCCGTGACTGTCCTGTCTCTGGACCCCAGTTGTAAAAAATACTCTATTTTATTTTGTACCGCCATCACGTGCAATATTGTAAATTATTTTCTTGACGAATAAAACACAAACCTCGTTTGTTTGCTCTCTTGTTTATCAGACGACAGGAACTTGCACCGGAAGTGGTTTGTACAAACACGTCTGTCAAGGTCACAGTTTAAAAAACTCCGCACGCTGGCCAAGGTCATCGAGATTAGGTTTGGTAAACTTCCGGGTAGGTTGTAGACAGGTTCAAACAACCGACAAAATGTTGCCCGTCAAAAAAACCCTGCCCCCCCCCCCCGCCCTACTGTACAGAACAAGTACCGGTAAAACTTAGACATATGGTGGTGGGGGTCGCTGTTCAAGTCATGTGACTTTCCACACGTGACATCTCACAAGTCAAGTGACTTGTTACAAGTCATGTAGACATGAAGTCAAGTAGATCTAACCTGTGGATAGAGCTAAACCAGGCCCAGATCTCCACACATCGCAAGATATAAGCCATGAGCCCACAAGATATAAGCCATGAGCCCACAAGATATAAGCCATGAGCCCACAAGATATAAGAGCCATGAGCCCCACAAGATATAGAGCCATGAGCCCACAAGATATAAGAGCCATGAGCCCCACAAGATATAGAGCCATGAGCCCACAAGATATAAGAGCCATGAGCCCCACAAGATATAGAGCCATGAGCCCACAAGATATAAGAGCCATGAGCCCCACAAGATATAAGAGCCATGAGCCCACAAGATATAAGAGCCATGAGCCCCACAAGATATAAGAGCCATGAGCCCACAAGATATAAGAGCCATGAGCCCCACAAGATATAAGAGCCATGAGCCCACAAGATATAAGAGCCATGAGCCCACAAGATATAAGAGCCATGAGCCCCACAAGATATAAGAGCCATGAGCCCACAAGATATAAGAGCCATGAGCCCACAAGATATAAGCCATGAGCCCCACAAGATATAAGCCATGAGCCCCACAAGATATAAGCCATGAGCCCACAAGATATAAGCCATGAGCCCCACAAGATATAAGCCATGAGCCCCACAAGATATAAGCCATGAGCCCACAAGATATAAGCCATGAGCCCACAAGATATAAGCCATGAGCCCCACAAGATATAGAGCCATGAGCCCCACAAGATATAAGAGCCATGAGCCCCACAAGATATAGAGCAGTGTTTCTTCCAGACTTTTTTCTCCGGGGGGGGGGGGGGGGCGGACACTGTTAAAAAATATATTTTCTATATAAATTATTTAAATTTTATTTCGTTCGGGGGGGGAAGAGATGCCTGGAAGAAACTCTGATATAGAGCCATAACCTCTAACCCTAACCTCTACCGTATTGTCATGAGCTCTACCGCTAGACCTTACCCTTGTATGGAGGTCGGTTGGACAAATAAAACAAGTTCTCTATGTAGGTGCCGTCTCCCCCCCCCCCCCCCCCATCTCTCGTTTCCCTAGCCCCCCCCCCCCCCCACTCCTCTCTCTCCCCAGTAAAGCACACATAAGACAGATTAAAAGATGTTTTTATTGGGTTGTTGTGTGGACGAATGGGATGATGTTTGTCTGACACACCACCAGCGATGTTGTGGCTGAGGTTTGATGTGGCTGTCTTCAAGCTCTTGTAGTGATGGAGCTAGATAGTGGATAGTGGATGCAGGCCGGTGGATGCCCTGAGCCGGTCGGTGGATGCCCACGTCAGCCGGCCAGGATCTGGTAGAGCCGCTCCACCCCCTTCTTCATGCCGGTCTTGAGGCTGGTCTGGTCCGTGCAGGTCCGCGCGTGGTTGCCGTAGTTGTGCTGGAAGTAGCCGGCAGCCTGGAGCTTCTTCAGCAACTCAGCCGGCTCAGAGTACCTGGCAAACTCCTCCATCCGGGTCACGTGCAAAGCCTTGGTCAGCTCCGTGCTGTTAGCGGGCTCGTCGCTTACACACTTGGACCGTACGGCTGTAAGAGAGGGTGTGACGTCATACGGGGGGTGGTGGTCAGTGACGTCATACGGGGGTGGGGGAGATTGGGTCAGCGACGTCATACCGGGTGGGGAGGTCAGTGACGTCATACGGGGTGGGGTGGGGATTAGTGACACACTTGGACCATTCGGCTGTAAGAGAAGGTGTGACGTCATACAAGGAGCAGGGATGGGGGGGGGGGGGGGTAGCAAACTGACCGGGGATAGAGGATGACATTTTTTAATTTTAAAAAGTGTGACGTCACACTACCTGACCTCCCTCCCCTCATCAAACATCGTTACCAAATTACGAACCGCCCTCCCCCTAAGAGCGTGACGTCATAAATTGCAAAAATGTAAACAATTATTTTTTAGAAAGTTTTCCTTAAAAACACGTTTTTGTTTGAATAGTTATAATTTTTCATACAATTCTCTCCGTTAATTAAAATAATTAATTTTTAAATTACAATTCTTTGTTTAGTTTGTCGTCTTCACAAACTGTAAAACAAAGCTGGAGAATTCCGTTTCCCATAAGTGGGGTGTGGCGGATTGTAAAAGAAAACAAACAAAAGATGATGAGATTGAGAGTTATCGTGTGTAGAGCTTGTTTCAATATCTGGCGCAGGTGTTCTAACCGTGGACTAGACCATTTCAATGAGCAATAGCAGAAGTCTTTTTAGATGAAAACCATAGACCTACAGCTAGCAGCCATAGACCTACAGCTAGCAGCCATAGATCTACAGCTAGCAGCCATAGACCTACAGCTAGCAGCCATAGACCTACAGCTAGCAGCCATAGACCTATAGCTAGCAGCCATAGACCTATAGCTAGCAGCCATAGACTCTACAGCTAGCAGCCATAGACCTATAGCTAGCAGCCATAGAATCTACAGCTAGCAGCCATAGACCTACTACTAGCAGCCATACCCACAGCTAGCAGCCATACCCACAGCTAGCAGCCATAGACCTACAGCTAGCAGCCATAGACCTACTACTAGCAGCCATACCCACAGCTAGCAGCCATAGACCTACAGCTAACAGTCATAGACCTTCAGCTAGCAGCCATACACCTACAGCTAGCAGCCATTGACCTACTACTAGCAGCCATAGACCTACAGCTAGCAGCCATAGACCTACTACTAGCAGCCATACCCACATCTAGCAGCCATAGACACACAGCTAGCAGCCATAGACCTTCAGCTAGCAGCCATAGACCTACAGCTAGCAGCCATAGACCTACAGCTAGCAGCCATAAACCTACAGCTAGCAGCCATATACCTACAGCTAGCAGCCATAGACCCACAGCTAGCAGCCATAGACCTATAGCTAGCAGCCATAGACCTATAGCTAGCAGCCATAGACTCTACAGCTAGCAGCCATAGACCTATAGCTAGCAGCCATAGAATCTACAGCTAGCAGCAATAGACCTACTACTAGCAGCCATACCCACAGCTAGCAGCCATACCCACAGCTAGCAGCCATAGACCTTCAGCTAGCAGCCATAGACCTACTACTAGCAGCCATACCCACAGCTAGCAGCCATAGACACACAGCTAGCAGCCATAGACCTACAGCTAGCAGCCATAGACCTACAGCTAGCAGCCATAGACCTACTACTAGCAGCCATACCCACAGCTAGCAGCCATAGAAACACAGCTAGCAGCCATAGACCTACAGCTAGCAGCCATAGACATACTACTAGCAGCCATACCCACAGCTAGCAGCCATAGACACACAGCTAGCAGCCATAGACCTACAGCTAGCAGCCATAGACCTACTACTAGCAGCCATAGACACACAGCTAGCAGCCATAGACACACAGATAAAAGCCATATACCTACAGCTAGCAGCCATAGACCTACTACTAGCAGCCATACCCACAGCTAGCAGCCATAGACCTACAGCTAACAGTCATAGACCTTCAGCTAGCAGCCATAGACCTACAGCTAGCAGCCATTGACCTACTACTAGCAGCCATACTCACAGCTAGCTGCCATAGACACACAGCTAGCAGCCATAGACCTTCAGCTAGCAGCCATAGACCTACAGCTAGCAGCCATAGACCTACAGCTAGCAGCCATAAACCTACAGCTAGCAGCCATTGACCTACAGCTAGCAGCCATTGACCTACTACTAGCAGCCATACTCACAGCTAGCAGCCATAGACACACAGCTAGCAGCCATAGACCTTCAGCTAGCAGCCATAGACCTACAGCTAGCAGCCATAGACCTACAGCTAGCAGCCATAAACCTACAGCTAGCAGCCATTGACCTACAGCTAGCAGCCATTGACCTACTACTAGCAGCCATACTCACAGCTAGCAGCCATAGACACACAGCTAGCAGCCATAGACCTACAGCTAGCAACCATAGACCTACAGCTAGCAGCATAGACCTACAGCTAGCAGCCATAGACCTACAGCTAGCAGCCATAGACCTACAGCTAGCAGCCATAGACCTATAGCTAGCAGCCATAGACCTATAGCTAGCAGCCATAGACTCTACAGCTAGCAGCCATAGACCTACTACTAGCAGCCATAGAATCTACAGCTAGCAGCCATAGACCTACTACTAGCAGCCATACCCACAGCTAGCAGCCATACCCACAGCTAGCAGCCATAGACCTACAGCTAGCAGCCATAGACCTACAGCTAGCAGCCATAGACATACAGCTAGCAGCCATATACCTACAGCTAGCAGCCATAGACCTACTACTAGCAGCCATACCCACAGCTAGCAGCCATAGACACACAGCTAGCAGCCATAGACCTACAGCTAGCAGCCATAGACCCACAGCTAGCAGCTATAGAAACACAGCTAGCAGCCATAGACCTACAGCTAGCAGCCATAGACCTACTACTAGCAGCCATACCCACAGCTAGCAGCCATAGACACACAGCTAGCAGCCATAGACCTACAGCTAGCAGCCATAGACCTACTACTAGCAGCCATAGACACACAGCTAGCAGCCATAGACACACAGATAGCAGCCATATACCTACAGCTAGCAGCCATAGACCTACAGCTAACAGTCATAGACCTTCAGCTAGCAGCCATTGACCTACTACTAGCAGCCATACTCACAGCTAGCAGCCATAGACCTACAGCTAGCAGCCATAGACCCACAGCTAGCAGCTAGACCCACAGCTAGTGGCCATAGACCTACAGCTAGCAGCCATAGACCCACAGCTAGCAGCCATAGACCTACAGCTAGCAGCCATAGACCTATAGCTAGCAGCCATAGACCCACAGCTAGCAGCCATAGACCTACAGCTAGCAGCCATAGACCTACAGCTAGCAGCTACCTTGTGGCAGTCCAATCTCATCGTCGTCCTCGTCATCTTCCTCGTCGTCTGGTAGGTCCACGCTAGATCCGACCTCCATGACTGAGGCTTGTGGGCGGGGCTTGATGATGGGTGAGGCCATCAGCTTCTTCATGGGGGAGGGGCTGAACCTGTCGATCTCTGCAGGGGGGGTCACGCCAGGCATCTCCATGGTGCTCCTGGGGGAGGCACCTGAAGGCAGAGGTCAAGGTTAGACAAGGTCATGGTATAGGGGTCAAGGTCAAATTGACGGCCTTATGGGTCACAGACTGTAGGTGATGGATTGTGACGTGTTTTTTTTTTTGGAGACTGTAAAGGTCAAGAGTGCCTGTGATTTCTACCGATGAAAATACCCCCCTCCCCCCCTCAGCCGTTACACTACTCTACCTGTCCCCTCCCCGTCAACCTACCGTGACAACCTACCCTGACAACCTACCCTTACAACCTACACTACATGACAACCTACCCTGTCAACCTACCCTGACAACCTAGCCTGTCAACCTACCCTGACAACCTACCGTGACAACCTACCCTGACAACCTACCCTTACAACCTACACTACATGACAACCTACCCTGACAACCTACCCTGTCAACCTACCCTGACAACCTACCCTGACAACCTACCCTGACAACCTACCCTGACAACCTACCCTGACAACCTACCCTGCCTGGTTGACCGGAGCTGTTCCATCACGGCTCTCTGGAGCTGTAGGTAGGGGTTGGTCATGTTGGACTGGGGCTTGTACACATCACTGCTGCTCCCTGTGTGTACAAGGTCAAAGGTGAATTAGTGCAGCCTGTTCAAATCACTGACCTAACAGTAGGACAGAAACTCTGACCTTGAACTATAGTAGACAGAAATCCTGACCTTGACCTACCGTAAGATAAAAACATCGCCCTTGACCTACCATAGGTCAGGACCATTTACCTACAGTAGGACATCAACCTTGACCTAGCGTTTGACCTTGACCTACCTTAGGGCATAATGTTTGACCTTGACCTACCGTAGGACAGGAAGCCGGACGTGCTGGTCAGCGGGTCAAGGACCATGGCTCGGGCACACCTGGGCAGCCCGTAGATCCTGGACGTGGCACGGGGGACGTCGACACGGACGGCTGACCCTGGGACGCTGTAGGAGGGGCGGGTCACCTGTCGGGTCAAGGACTTCCGGCCGGACCCCATCATGTTGGCGCTGACCGCTCGAACGTTCATCGGGAGGCGGGGCTTGTAGGGGGGGTTTGGCGAGCCGGGGGGTGCCCGTGTTTTCTGGGACATCTGCTGGCGGTAAAAACACAGCTCATGTACACACACCTGCCACATGTACACCCACCTGCCACATGTACACCCACCTGCCACATGTACACACACCTGCCACATGTACACCCACCTGCCACATGTACACACACCTGCCACATGTACACCCACCTGCCACATGTACACACACCTGCCACATGTACACACACCTGCCACATGTACACACCTGGCACAGGTACACACACCTGGCACAGGTACACACACCTGCCACATGTACACCTGCCACATGTACACACACCTGCCATATGTACACACATCTGCCACATGTACACACCTGCCATATGTACACACATCTGCCACATGTACACACACCTGCCACATGTACATAGATTGAACCATGTAAGCTTACACATATTTGGCACCATTTTGCCCAGAGTACACAGCTGGTGTTAAAAATAATGGCGGCTGGGCATATGCCCACCATACCATTCCTGAGGTCAAGAAACATCTGCCCAACGAATAACTAGATCTTAAGAGGAATCTTTACTTTTCATTTTTGCGTAAGATAATTTTAATTAATTAATCTATCTGTCTATCTATATGTGACATATCTTCAATGGGACCATGCGAGACACCACCACGTAAACGCATGCCGACCCCCCCCCCCCTCTCGCTCAACAGACCATATCGCTACGATATGGGGGGGGGGGGGTGGGTGGGAGAGAGGATAGGGAGGGTGAGGATAATCGTCCTTCACGAGCTACTGATAGTGTTTTAAAACAAAATATTTTTAGTCGCAACATTGGTAGTGTCGAATTCTCAAATTATTAATTACTGAAAAGTAGAACATAAAATAACTAAATAGCAGCGTAATACTTATAATATTTATATCTACCTCACCGTATACTCCGGTCTAATTACCTCACAGGATACTCCGGTCTAATTACCTCACCGTATACTCCGGTCTAATTACCTCACAGGATACTCCGGTCTAATTACCTCACCGTATACTCCGGTCTAATTACCTCACAGGATACTCCGGTCTAATTACCTCACCGTATACTCTGGTCTAATTACCTCACCGTATACTCCGGTCTAATTACCTCACAGGATACACCGGTCCAATTACCTCACCGTGTACTCCGGTCTAATTACCTCACCGTGTACTTCTGTCTAATTACCTCACCGTGTACTCCGGTCTAATTACCTCACCGTATACTCCGGTCTAATTACCTCACAGGATACACCGGTCCAATTACCTCACCGTGTACTCCGGTCTAATTACCTCACCGTGTAATCCAGTCTAATTACCTCACCGTATACTCCGGTCTAATTACCTCACCGTGTACTCCGGTCTAATTACCTCACCGTGTACTTCTGTCTAATTACCTCACCGTGTACTCCGGTCTAATTACCTCACCGTGTACTCCGGTCTAATTACCTCACCGTGTACTCCGGTCTAATTACCTCACCGTATACTCCAGTCTAATTACCTCACCGTGTACTCCGGTCTAATTACCTCACAGGATACACCGGTCCAATTACCTCACCGTGTACTCCGGTCTAATTACCTCACCGTGTACTTCTGTCTAATTAATTACCTCACCGTGTACTCCGGTCTAATTACCTCACCGTATACTCCGGTCTAATTACCTCACAGGATACACCGGTCCAATTACCTCACCGTGTACTCCGGTCTAATTACCTCACGGGATACTCAACACCAACGATGAGTTAGGGCACTATAAAATCTCTCTTTTAAAACGACGCTTGAAAATTTTTAAACTAAACATTTTTTGTTTCATGTTGGCGTGTTTTCTAAACAAAGGAAGTCCCATCTCAAAACAGGAAGTGATGTAAACTACAGATCCGGAGTTATCGTTCTTTGAAGAAATAATCCAAAGTAAGACTCAAAGAGTCAAGCGGACTAGTGACTAAAGCTAATCTATTTCACGTGATCTAACTGTCTGGATCTGGGACCGAGATTTGGAGGGGGGGGGGGGGGGGGGGGGAGAGAGAAATTTTTTTGTCGATGGATCTTTTTTGTTTTTGTTAGTTTTACAGGTTACTCGCACAATCACACACAATCACACACAATCTCACACACATACTCACACGTGTATTGTCAAACCACACACAGACACACACATTTACCACAAGCTCACAATACCACACATCGCCTACTCACATCACACATAGTGCCCCTACACCCACACATCACACATAGTGCCCCTACACCCACACATCAAACATAGTGCCCATACACCCACACATCTACCCACACATCTACAACACATTCACGCATAAACTACACACACATTACACCACACATACTTGGTGTAGTATAAATAATTGATATAAATAAAGGTCTAATTTTGCTAATTTAGTTACAACAGTTTTTTCCATTACCCCCCCCCCCCCCCCCCCCCCTCCCCACACCAAATCTTGTTTCTTTAAAAGCAACAACTTTAATTTGAGTGTTTTCATTATCAAACAAATTATTCTCACGAAGAACAAATTCAAGTGGATACTTAATTAAAACCGTTAGATTTTCTGTTTTTTGGTTTTACGGTGCAAAAAAAAACTCACCTAAGACCATCAGACATTCTGAAAAAATGCCCATAAAATGCCAATTGAAAATTTTAAATTATTAAGCACTTTGTTGTAATTTCCGCTGCCTAGGCAAAAAAAAAAAATGATTTACAAGTATTTTAAAATGTCCTTTTTAAAAAAAAAATAGTTAAAGGTACATAACCATTTTAAATTTTCTCTTGAGGTTTATTTAGAGTATGTTCCCTTGTCTGTTGTTTCTTTTTTTTTCTGTTATGTAGCCTACATCTGATCCGTGGGAGGATAGCAGAACAGCGAGTAAATCTTAAAAGATGGCGGGCCACTTCGGCTGACTGCTAAGGAATATATAACAAACTGGTGTGTTTCCTTGGATTAAATTATCACCATGCAGCCGCCACCAAGAAAGGTATAAATTATATTCATCTTTAATTTATGTAGATCTAATTCCTTATTTTAGTTTTCTCAGATTTTTTACAACGATTTAGAATAGATTCTAGACGCGTACACAGTACACACAGTCATCTGATTCTATTCAATGAACAAGCAAGTGACGTTTTTTTTATGTTGATTTGTGTGTGATGTGTAGTTCAGCATTAGCCTAAATCGACCCGACTCCAATATTTCTATTTAGAGTATTCTGTGCTTTTAGTTAATTAAATTAAAATGTCAATCAAATTATCAAGTGAGAGAGACCGGTTGTCCGAGTGTTGGATAAAAATCGAGAGATTCTGTTTCTTTGTGTGATGTGTCTGCTGCCATCGATGCGACGATGCCAGTGCTGACCCACTATTGCGGTACACGGCACCAAAAGATAACGAATTTTGTACAGACACAAATAGGTTAAACTGTGTCTCTGGTCTGGCTAATTAAAGTGTTTACAATTTTAACATTCAGGCTCTTTAATTTATTAATTTAATTTAATAACAAGAGCTTGTGGTTGACTGACAACATTCAGTTTACAATATAATATTGGGCTGGGGATTTGTTATTTACAAAATTTAAGCCTTTAGTTTTTATAGAAGAAACTGAAATATTTATGATTAATAAGGTATCTAGAACTCAAGAGTCTAAACTCAGTGACTGTAGGTAGTAAAATTTACAATAAATCATCCAGTTTCTACCAAAGTTAGACTGCATTCTTACCTAATCTTAACTATAGGGCCCCTTTCTTTTCTATATATAATATAATATATAATGGTTGATGTGGTCCTTTAGTCCATTAGTCTCTCAATAATAAGCTAAGGCTGGGATTACAATTTCGGCTTTAAAATACAAAATAGATCTCTTCATATTAAAATTCCAGGATTTGTCAGCAAATGGCAATGGGCCTTGCCCAACATTCCACTGTTATCTGTTATTGTACATCCTGTTCATTGTTCAGTAAACTCTTCAAATATTTGCCTGTATTTGTGAACATGTTACGTATATGTTCAACCTAGATTTTTTTTTCAGAGCTGATTAAAATGTTTTAACATCTGGAGGAAATGATTATAGTTTCTGATGGCGAAAGTGTGAATTTTAGTTGGTCACATGACCTCATTAAGTTAATTACTAATTTACAGTTTTATCCATTATATATCTTGTGTGTGCATGGGAGTGGGGAGGATGGGTGGATAAATGTAGAAATAATGTAAATAATGTAGAAATAATGTAAATAATGTAGAAATAATGTAAATAATGTAGAAATAATGTAAATAATGTAGAAATAATGTAGAAATAATGGGACTTAGCTGTTTGAATTGATAAATGTAAATTGTATTAGATGAGAGAGGGGTGTTCCTATGTACCCATTTATAACTAGAGCTGTTGTTGACACATGTATTAGAGAGGGGTGTTCTTATGTACCATTTATAACTAGAACTGTTGTTGGCACATGTATTAGATGAGAGTGGGGTGTTCCTACATACAATTTATAACCAGAGCTGTTGTTGGCACATGTATTAGATGAGAGAGGGGTGTTCCTATGTACCATTTATAACTCCGGCTGTTGTTGACCAACTTTTTGTAATGTCACATTGTGTCATGTCATGTTTCACTTGCTATGTAGGTCACCTCCATTGTTTCATTGTTCTAGTGTAGGAAACACAGACTGCAGTGGTAATGTGTCTGTCTGACAGACTTTAATGTGTCTGTCTGACAGACTTTACTGTGTCTGACAGACTTTACTGTGTCTGACAGACTTTACTGTGTCTGTCTGTCTGACAGACTTTACTACGTCTGTCTGACAGACTTTACTGCGTCTGACAGACTTTACTGTGTCTGACATACTTTACTTTGTCTGTCTGTCTGACGGACTTTACTGTGTCTGTCTGTCTCACAGACTTTACTGCGTCTGTCTGACAGACTTTACTGCGTCTGTCTCACAGACTTTACTGTGTCTGTCTGTCTGACAGACTTTACTGTGTCTGACAGACTTTACTGTGTCTGTCTCACAGACTTTCTGTGTCTGTCTGATAGACTTTACAGCATCTGTCCTATAGGTGTGCTCACCTTTCAACCCTTTTGTCCTGTGTCCTACAGGTGTGCTGACCTTTCAACCATTTTGTCCTGTGTCCTACAGGTGTGCTGACCTTTCACTCCTTTTGTCCTGTGTCCTACAGGTGTGCTCACCTTTTGTCCTGTGTCCTACAGGTGTGCTCACCTTTTGTCCTGTGTCCTACAGGTGTGCTCACCTTTCACTCCTTTTGTCCTGTGTCCTACAGGTGTGCTCACCTTTTGTCCTGTGTCCTACAGGTGTGCTCACCTTTTGTCCTGTGTCCTACAGGTGTGCTCACCTTTCAACCCTTTTGTCCTGTGTCCTACAGGTGTGCTCACCTTTTGTCCTGTGTCCTACAGGTGTGCTCACCTTTTGTCCTGTGTCCTACAGGTGTGCTCACCTTTCAACCCTTTTGTCCTGTGTCCTACAGGTGTGCTGACCTTTCAACCCTTTTGTCCCATGTCCTACAGGTGTGCTCACCTTTTGTCCTGTGTCCTACAGTTGTGCTCACCTTTCAACCCTTTTGTCCTGTGTCCTACAGGTGTGCTGACCTTTCAACCCTTTTGTCCTGTGTCCTACAGGTGTGCTCACCTTTCAACCCTTTTGTCCTGTGTCCTACAGGTGTGCTGACCTTTCAACCCTTTTGTCCTGTGTCCTACAGGTGTGCTCACCTTTCAACCCTTTTGTCCTGTGTCCTACAGGTGTGCTGACCTTTCAACCCTTTTGTCCTGTGTCCTACAGGTGTGCTCACCTTTTGTCCTGTGTCCTACAGGTGTGCTCACCTTTCAAGCCTTTTGTCCCATGTCCTACAGGTGTGCTCACCTTTTGTCCTGTGTCCTACAGGTGTGCTCACCTTTTGTCCTGTGTCCTACAGGTGTGCTCACCTTTTGTCCTGTGTCCTACAGGTCAAGCCCAATGTTGCCCTCAAGAACACACATGCTGACCAGGTGTCCAAACTTCAGATCAAGCATCAGCAGGAGTGTGATCTGTTGGAAGATATCAGGTGTGTGTTGTCATACTGTCAGTGGCTGACTGGTAGAAGTGCTCAGTGGCAGAATGGTAGAGTGGTCAGTGGGTCAATGGTAGAAGTGGTCAGTGGCTGAATGTGTAGGGTGTGTGTTGATACATGTGGAGGGTGTGTGTTGATTGTAAACCAAGAAAAACCCCTCACCAACATCACCCACCTGTCCGCCCTGAATTTATTGTAGAAAAGATTTGATGGGATACTTCATTGCTTTAATCCTTCAGCCCTGGGCCATTCAAACTTTTACAAATTGATTTTCATGCTGTAATGTTGTAGATGTATTTAGTGGTGTTAGCAGTCCTTATTGTTGTAGATGTTTTGTAGTGATGTTAGCAGTCCTTATTGTTGTAGATGTTTTGTATTGGTGTTAGCAGTCCCTAATGTTGTAGATGTTTTGTAGTGGTGTTAGCAGTCCCTGATGTTGTAGATGTTTTGTAGTGGTGTTAGCAGTCCCTATTGTTGTAGATGTTTTGTAGTGGTGTTAGCAGTCCCTAATGTTGTAGATGTTTTGTAGTGGTGTTAGCAGTCCCTAATGTTGTAGATGTTTTGTAGAGGTGTTAGCAGTCCCTATTGTTGTAGATGTTTTGTAGTGGTGTTAGCAGTCCCTAATGTTGTAGATGTTTTGTAGTGGTGTTAGCAGTCCCTGATGTTGTAGACACCCCTGGCTAGCCATGTGATAGGGCTACACCCCCAGCTAGCCAAGTGATAGGGCTACACCCCCAGCTAGCCAAGTGATAGGGCTACACCACCAGCTAGCCAAGTGATAGGGCTACACCCCCAGCTAGCCAAGTGATAGGGCTACACCCCCAGCTAGCCAAGTGATAGGGCTACACCCCCAGCTAGCCAAGTGATAGGGCTACACCACCAGCTAGCCAAGTGATAGGGCTACACCCCCAGCTAGCCAAGTGATAGGGCTACACCCCCAGCTAGCCAAGTGATAGGGCTACACCCCCAGCTAGCCAAGTGATAGGGCTACACCACCAGCTAGCCAAGTGATAGGGCTACACCCCCAGCTAGCCAAGTGATAGGGCTACATCCCCAGCTAGCCAAGTGATAGGGCTACACCCCCAGCTAGCCAAGTGATAGGGCTACATCCCCGGCCCCACCACTGTGAGGGCTACCCCAGGGGTCGTATCGCCCCACCACTAGAGACTGACGGTTGGTCTACGGTGACCTCCGTCTAGCTCGCCCCTTGTTCGCGTCATCTGCCCTGAGATGATTGGATGATTACTAGCGTAAGCCACCAGTCAGCCAATGGACCAACGCTAAAAATAGCAGCACTCACCCGTGATCAATGTTCGGCTACGCGATTATTTAACGGGGAATAATTCATCGCGTGTGACGTGTAGCTGCCGTGTGACGGCCATGTGATGTGTGACGGCCGTGTGACGTGTGACGGCCATGTGACGTGTGACGGCCGTATGACGTGTGACGGCCGTGTGACGTGTGACGGCCATGTGACGGTAGTGTGACGTGTGACGGCCGTATGACGTGTGACGGCCGTGTGACGTGTGACGGCCATGTGACGGTAGTGTGACGTGTGACGGCCGTATGACGTGTGACGGCCGTGTGACGTGTGACGGCCATGTGACGGCCGTGTGACGTGTGACGGCCATGTGACGGTAGTGTGACGTGTGACGGCCGTATGACGTGTGACGGCCGTGTGACGTGTGACGGCCGTGTGAAGTGTGACGGCCATGTGACGGCCGTGTGACGTGTGACGGCCGTGTGACGTGTGACGGCCATGTGTTGTGTGACGGCCATGTGACGGTAGTGTGACGTGTGACGGCCGTATGACGTGTGACGGCCGTGTGACGTGTGACGGCCGTGTGACGTGTAGCTGACGTGTGGCGGCCGTGTGAGGGAACTAATCATTAACCTGGTCGTTAGGGTCATTGTTATTACTTTATCTTCTAGTTCTAGTACAGCCTACCTCGACCAAAGCAAATCCCACTTGTTTGCAAGTAAATCCCACGTTGTAAACTGGCTGACCTGTAGCTAAGGAACTGTAATAATTGCCTACCACTTACAGCACCGCTCACACCACAAACATGTCTACACCCACTCCATCACATGCACTGCTCACCCACGCTGTGCACGGTGAAGGTAGTTGAGTCTATTAATAGATTCACTCACGGCCATCGCACCTGTACCTCACCTGTAGAGTCTAGGTGTCCGTTTCAATTTCAACTTGAGAATGTCATAGTACGCGTGTAGGCCTATATTTATAGCATTTATAGCATATATATATATATATATATATATATATATATTTATAGCATATATATATATATAATATACATATACATACACACAGCATACGTGTTACCGAAAACCTTGGTCTTGAAAAATTTGTTTTTTTTATGAACGAGATGCAAGAGCAAGGTGTATGGTTAAGATTTGGGAGAAAGTGGGGAGGGGGGGATCGACTCTAGAACCTCGGCCATCTGTGGTCAGTGAGCAGCTGACCGTTGTACGGTCTGGCGGATGTCCTTTGTCCACAGCCTGTCTTTGTCGTCCTGTGGGAGGGAGAGGCTAGGTGGGGGGGGGGGGGTGGCAGGTGGTTGGGTGTGGGCTATGAACACTTGTTAGCGACTGTGGGTGGGGCACTGTGGGGGTGGGGTGTAGCTGTGTATGTGTTGTTGATGTGTGTGTGTAAGTGTAATTTTGTGGGTCTACATGTATTGTTTCTCTATGTAAGAGTAATTGTGTGGGCCTGTATGTTTCGTTGGTTCTGTAATTGTGTGGGTCTGTATGTGTCGTTGGTTCTGTAATTGTGTGGGTCTGTATGTGTCGTTGGTTCTGTAATTGTGTGGGATATGTGCCGTTGGTTCTGTATGTAAGTGTAATTGTGTGGGCCTGTGTGTGTCGTTGGTTCTGTAATTGTGTGGGTCTGTGTCGTTGGTTCTGTAATTGTGTGGGTCTGTGTGTGTCGTTGGTTCTGTAATTGTGTGGGTCTGTGTGTGTCGTTGGTTCTGTAATTGTGTGGGTCTGTGTCGTTGGTTCTGTAATTGTGTGGGTCTGTGTGTGTCGTTGGTTCTGTAATTGTGTGGGTCTGTGTCGTTGGTTCTGTAATTGTGTGGGTCTGTATGTGTCGTTGGTTCTGTAATTGTGTGGGTCTGTGTCGTTGGTTCTGTAATTGTGTGGGTCTGTATGTGTCGTTGGTTCTGTAATTGTGTGGGTCTGTATGTGTCGTTGGTTCTGTAATTGTGTGGGTCTGTGTCGTTGGTTCTGTAATTGTGTGGGTCTGTATGTGTTGTTGGTTCTGTAATTGTGTGGGTCTGTGTGTGTCGTTGGTTCTGTAATTGTGTGGGTCTGTATGTGTGGTTGGTTCTGTAATTGTGTGGGTCTGTGTGTGTCGTTGGTTCTGTAATTGTGTGGGTCTGTATGTGTTGTTGGTTCTGTAATTGTGTGGGTCTGTGTCGTTGGTTCTGTAATTGTGTGGGTCTGTATGTGTTGTTGGTTCTGTAATTGTGTGGGTCTGTGTGTGTCGTTGGTTCTGTAATTGTGTGGGTCTGTATGTGTTGTTGGTTCTGTAATTGTGTGGGTCTGTGTCGTTGGTTCTGTAATTGTGTGGGTCTGTGTGTGTCGTTGGTTCTGTAATTGTGTGGGTCTGTGTCGTTGCTTCTGTAATTGTGTGGGTCTGTGTCGTTGGTTCTGTAATTGTGTGGGTCTGTGTGTGTCGTTGGTTCTGTAATTGTGTGGGTCTGTATGTGTGGTTGGTTCTGTAATTGTGTGGGTCTGTGTGTGTCGTTGGTTCTGTAATTGTGTGGGTCTGTATGTGTCGTTGGTTCTGTAATTGTGTGGTTCTGTATGTGTCGTTGGTTCTGTAATTGTGTGGTTCTGTATGTGTCGTTGGTTCTGTAATTGTGTGGGTCTGTGTCGTTGCTTCTGTAATTGTGTGGGTCTGTATGTGTCGTTGGTTCTGTAATTGTGTGGGTCTGTGTGTGTCGTTGGTTCTGTAATTGTGTGGGTCTGTGTCGTTGGTTCTGTAATTGTGTGGGTCTGTATGTGTCGTTGGTTCTGTAATTGTGTGGGTCTGTATGTGTCGTTGCTTCTATATGTAAGTGTAATTGCAAGAGTATGTAAGTGTACGTCAGTCGGTGAATGAATCATTAAGCAAACGTTTTTGTTTTTTAATTTCAGGACGTTTTTCTCAAGGAAAGCTGTGTTAGAGAAGGAATATGCTCAGGTGAGTGAGGGTGTGCCCAGGTGTGTGTGGGTAAGTGGGTGTTTGCCCAGGTGTGTCGGGGTGTGTCCAGGTGTGTGTGTGTGGTAAGTGGGGGTGTGCCCAGGTGTGTGTGTGTGTGGTAAGTGGGGGTGTGTCCAGGTGTGTGTGTGTGGTAAGTGGGGGTGTGTCCAGGTGTGGGGGGGTAAGTGGGGGTGTGTCCAGGTGTGTGTGGTAAGTGGGGGTGTGTCCAGGTGTGTGTGGGTAAGTGGGTGTGTGTCTAAGTGTGTGGGGGTAAGTGGGGGTGGTCCAGGTGTGTGTGGGTAAGTGTGTGTGTGTCTAAGTGTGTGTGGGTAAGTGTGTGTGTGTGTCTAAGTGTGTGGGGGTAAGTGGGTGTGTCCAGGTGTGTGTGGGTAAGTGGATGTGTGCAGGTGTGTTTCAATGTGTCCAGGTGTTTCTGGTGGTCATGTGACTTTGTGTATCACGTGTCTAATGTGACATGTTGGGAAGAAGCCCATACACCCCCCCCATATAACATTGTTATGTGGCAGCTCTCATGTGATTTCTGTTGGGAGCGGCTGGCCCAGATGTATACAAAGATGTGTGACCTGTGAGTGAGCACTCACGCAGCTCTGTGTGTGTGGGGGGGTGGGGGGGTGTATGCGTGTGAGTGTGCTGTGAAAGACAGACCGCATTAAATATAAACGTCCACGAAATGGATGGCTTTTAGGCTGCGCAATCAAGGAGCTAAGGGGAAATAAGCGACGCATAAATAGCTTCCCTTGTATATTTTAACTTCATGCCCAAAGAGCGGCGTTCTTAAGGGTAGCTTTCTACTGTAGATATAGGCCTCTCCATGTCTTGTAGCCCTGTCCATCTCTTGTAGCCCTGTCCATGTCTTGTAGCCCTGTCCATCTCTTGTAGCCCTGTCCATCTCTTGTAGCCCTGTCCATCTCTTGTAGCCCTGTCCATCTCTTGTAGCCCTGTCCATCTCTTGTAGCCCTGTCCATCTCTTGTAGCCCTGTCCATCTCTTGTACAGGGTTCGTACGCAGTCTGGAAAGTCTGGAAAAAGTCTTGAATTTAGAAAAGTGAATTTAAGACTTAAAAAAGTCTGGAAAATCGCTAGTTTTTGGGCAGGATTTTTTAAAAGTCTGGAATCTAGTTTTAGAAACAAAACTTCGTAGTCCATATTTTCCAACTTAAAAAATCGTTATTTTTAAGTGAATTTACTCCAATTTTTTTTCCGCGCTATCGCGCAGGTTTACACTGTTTATTGTGACGTTTTTTCGCTGGTTTGCAGAAAAAAAACAAACAGATGCTCAGTTACTACGTCGATGGGAGAAGAGGGGAAGGGAGGGAAGAGATATTTTGTGGCGCGACTGACCGTGTGAATGTGTTACAAGCACTTACAATTGTCTTTTAATAAAAGAATGATCGTCCTCAGAATTGTTAGGCTCCCGATTTTACCCGCTATTTTTCATTGTTTGAGTTTGTATGCAGCAGTCATAACAAAAAGTTATGGGAGAGATGTGTGAGTGGTAGTTTAGATATAATTTATCAGTCTAGGCGTCATCCATTTATGACATACAACAATTTTTCGGATTTTAGACCCCCCCCCCTTCCCCACTCCCCCGCCCTCTGTCCACACGCGTTCACTTACTTTGGATTAATATTAACATTTATAAGATTAATAAGTCGCAAGGCCTCCTTGGGTTCATACCTGTATTTCTGTTTGCTTCAGCGGTCGCTTACCAAAGAGGTACTATTTTTATTTAGGAGTCGTCCATAAATGACATCACACCCCGGAAAGTCGGGAGGAGGGTTTTATAAAGTGTGACGACACGCTCTTGCAATAATGTTAGGGCAGATATAAATACCATGTTTTATTTACACGCTGTGATGGTTTTTAAAACACCAGCACAGTCGTCTTAATTTTATTTTCTACTCACAAGATACACGTTTTATGTTTGTTTTAGAATGTAATCACAAAATCTTCCGACCTCTTCCCCCCCCTGCATGTGTACGTCATAAATGGATAACCCCTTTAATTTTAATCCACCTTCCATTAAACTGTTTTTGAAATCTTTGCAAGTGCGTAGTTGGTACTGCTTGATAAGTAGGGTAGGGGAGGGAGTATAAGTCACAGCACAGTTCGTGTTATGATGTATTAAACAGGCATACTGAAGTCTAGACTACTATGACCTCACAGTGACCCCTTCACCGTGTGGTGTGTCTGGGGGGGGGGGGGGATACCGGCAACTTTTTTTTTTTATTGCAGACCCGTTTCTCAGCTATTACTAGTATAAGCACAAACAGTGAATGAGGTTTTTTTTTTTTTTTTTTTTTTTTATATTAGGCTACTTAAATTAATACATTACATTATTATTCTTTAAAGTAACTAACTCTCACTATTATGCAATACCATTTTAATGATAGTTTAATTGAAAACATATGCAATTAGATCAGGAACAGATTACATAAGTCTAATGTTGGAAACAAAATAGTTGCTTCATTTTAATCAATTATTTTAATTGATAAAATTTTAGGTAGGGTGGAGTAGGCAAACTTAGAAAAAATGTTTTTTTTGTCAATTTGGCTAGAGAAAGTTCACTATGAATATTGCTCAATTGCCTAAAATAAATGTCAATTTAGTATAAGTAATTATAATGACAGTACAAATAGTGCATCATTTTAAAAAATTATTCGCTAACACATTATCTGTCTAAAGTCTGGAAATTTTCCAAAAATGTCTGGAAAATGTCTGGAAAAAGTCTGGAATTTCATTTTCAAAAAGCAGTACGAACCCTGCTTGTAGCCCTGTCCATCTCTTGTAGCCCTGTCCATCTCTTGTAGCCCTGTCCATCTCTTGTAGCCCTGTCCATCTCTTGTAGCCCTGTCCATCTCTTGTAGCCCTGTCCACCTCTTGTAGCCCTGTCCATCTCTTGTAGCCCTGTCCACCTCTTGTAGCCCTGTCCATCTCTTGTAGCCCTGTCCATCTCTTGTAGCCCTGTCCATCTCTTGTAGCCCTGTCCATCTCTTGTAGCCCTGTCCATCTCTTGTAGCCCTGTCCATCTCTTGTAGCCCTGTCCATCTCTTGTAGCCCTGTCCATCTCTTGTAGCCCTGTCCATCTCTTGTAGCCCTGTCCATCTCGTGTAGTAAGGACTAGCTGTCTACATAGGCCAATGCACCGGACCAGTTGTAACCCACGTCGTGACGTCAGCCAGAGAAGTTGGTGTGGCCAGTTGTAACCCACGTCGTGACGTAACGTCGTGACGTAAGCCAGAGAAGTTGGTGTGGCCATGTGTAACCCACGTCGTGACGTAACGTCGTGACGTAAGCCAGAGAAGTTGGTGTGGCCAGTTGTCTGTGTTGTTCTCCTATTGATCTTCTAATGCTGTCGGCAGTACTAGGCCCATAATTGTTGCTGCTAGCCTGTCTCACTTGGTGCTAGTCTGTCTCATTTGGTGCTAGTCTGTCTCATTTGGTGCTAGCCTGTCTCATTTTAGCAAGCCTGTCTCATTTGGTGCTAGCCTGTCTCGTTTGGTGCTAGCCTGTCTCATTTTAGCAAGCCTGTCTCATTTGGTGCTAGCCTGTCTCATTTAGTGCTAGTCTGTCTCATTTAGTGCTAGCCTGTCTCATTTAGTGCTAGCCTGTCTCATTTAGTGCTAGTCTGTCTCATTTAGTGCTAGCCTGTCTCATTTAGTGCTAGTCTGTCTCATTTAGTGCTAGCCTGTCTCATTTAGTGCTAGCCTGTCTCATTTAGTGCTAGTCTGTCTCATTTAGTGCTAGTCTGTCTCATTTAGTGCTAGCCTGTCTCACTTGGTGCTAGTCTGTCTCACTTGGTGCTAGTCTGTCTCACTTGGTGCTAGCCTGTCTCACTTGGTGCTAGCCTGTCTCATTTGGTGCTAGTCTGTCTCATTTGGTGCTAGCCTGTCTCATTTGGTGCTAGCCTGTCTCATTTGGTGCTAGTCTGTCTCATTTGGTCTCATCAGCCTTAAAAGTTAGTTCATTTGGAAAAGTTAACCACAGGACAGAAGTATGAGAGTGGAGTGGGGGGGGGGGGGGGAGGTAACAAATTACAGATCTATTTATAGTTGTACCAGTGGGTCCAATCTTCATTGATCGGAAATCGATGACCAATGGGCCCTGTAAACATGAGAGGGGGGGGAGGGGTTGGGTCTAATTTTTGTATGGGGGTGTGGGGAGTAGTGACCTTGAATATTTTAAACAGGGCACACTCGTATAGCGTCCTCCACACATAGAAGTCTATACCCCCTCTCCCGCCGTACACACAAACAACCCTCCCCCCCTCTCCCGCCGTAACACAAACAACCCTCCCCCCTCTCCCGCCGTAACACAAACAACCCTCCCCCCTCTCCCGCCGTAACACAAACAACCCTCCCCCCCCCTCCCGCCGTACACACAACCCTCCCCTCCCGCCGTACACACAACCCCCCCTCCCGCCATACGTACATACCAACCCCCCCCCCCCCCCCCCACCCGTACATAGATACCAACCCCCTCCCCAAATATACATACTTTCATACCCCTCCCTAATGTACCCACTACTCCCCCTCCACCTCACATATACCCACCCACAATTTACATACATACCAACCCAACTCCCCCCTTATATACATACCATTTACTCCCCACAATACATACACATACATACCCACCCTCCCCCACCATACAAACATACCCCCCCCACCCCACCATTCTCCCCCCGCTATTGACCAAGGTTATTAAAAAGGACGGGGAACCCCGATAAGCCTTGAGATGTTTCTATCGATTTGTTGCGAGAAGGGGCGGCTTGATTTATGACCATTTTTTTTGTATCTGCCGAGTGAGGCTGATTTGTTTGTAGTATCCGATATTTCAATTGACTTGTGTGGCACGGAGCTATCTAACTATAGCATCCTGTGGGGTTGTGTGTGGGGGAGGAATACTACACCACTAGTTGTGTGTGTGTCGGTCGTTGGGGGGGGGGGAGGGGGGCGGATTGGGGAGGGGGGGGGGGCAGGAGAAGCAGCTCTGTGTGTGGAATGGGTAGGAAAGAGATGATAATTTTGGTGTCAAGTTGGTGGGGGAGGGGGGGGTGACAGTCAGTGGTAGCAGTCAGAGGTAGCAATACTTGTACACCATAGAGGTATGTGTGTATCTGTGTGTGTGTGTGGTGGGGGGGGGGGGTGCTGTTGCATTCAGAGGTAGCAATACTTGTACACCATAGAGGTATGTGTGTATCTGTGTGTGTGGGGGTGTGGTGTTGCATTCAGAGGTAGCAATACTTGTACACCATAGAGGTATGTGTGTATCTGTGTGTGTGGGGGTGTGGTGTTGCATTCAGAGGTAGCAATACTTGTACACCATAGAGGTATGTGTGTATCTGTGTGTGTGTTTGGGGGGGGGGTGTTGCATTCAGAGGTAGCAGTCAACTTTTGTTTAAATGTCACATCCAGGGTCTACAGAAAATAACCAGTCAACTTTTGTTTAAATGTCACATCCAGGGTCTACAGAAAATAACTAGTCAACTTTTGTTTAAATGTCACATCCAGGGTCTACAGAAAATAACCAGTCAACTTTTGTTTAAATGTCACATCCAGGGTCTACAGAAAATAACCAGTCAACTTTTGTTTAAATGTCACATCCAGGGTCTACAGAAAATAACCAGTCAACCTTTGTTTAAATGTCACATCCAGGGTCTACAGAAAATAACCAGTCAACTTTTGTTTAAATGTCACATCCAGGGTCTACAGAAAATAACCAGTCAACTTTTGTTTAAATGTCCCATCCAGGGTCTACAGAAAATAACCAGTCAACTTTTGTTTAAATGTCACATCCAGGGTCTACAGAAAATAACCAGTCAACTTTTGTTTAAATGTCACAACCAGGGTCTACAGAAAATAACCAGTCAACTTTTGTTTAAATGTCACAACCAGGGTCTACAGAAAATAACCAGTCAACTTTTGTTTAAATGTCACAACCAGGGTCTACAGAAAATAACCAGTCAACTTTTGTTTAAATGTCACATCCAGGGTCTACAGAAAATAACCAGTCAACTTTTGTTTAAATGTCACATCCAGGGTCTACAGAAAATAACCAGTCAACTTTTGTTTAAATGTCACATCCAGGGTCTACAGAAAATAACCAGTCAACTTTTGTTTAAATGTCACATCCAGGGTCTACAGAAAATAACCAGTCAACTTTTGTTTAAATGTCACATCCAGGGTCTACAGAAAATAACCAGTCAACTTTTGTTTAAATGTCACATCCAGGGTCTACAGAAAATAACCAGTTAACTTTTGTTTAAATGTCACATCCAGGGTCTACAGAAAATAACCAGTCAACTTTTGTTTAAATGTCACATCCAGGGTCTACAGAAAATAACCAGTCAACTTTTGTTTAAATGTCACATCCAGGGTCTACAGAAAATAACCAGTCAACTTTTGTTTAAATGTCACATCCAGGGTCTACAGAAAATAACCAGTCAACTTTTGTTTAAATGTCACATCCAGGGTCTACAGAAAATAACCAGTCAACTTTTGAAGCGAGATTTTCCAGCCCAACCTGACCTAAGTAGTGATGATGGACAAGAGCACAAGTAAGTTTAGGCAAACTCTGTTTACAGCACAGTTGGATCATTGTATCTGCCTGATAAATGAAACACTAGTGTTTGATGTAGGTTTTCTAGGTCCATTGGTCTATGTTTTGTGGCCTGGATAATTCACTGTAGGTGATGGCCACCTTGGGTGGCCTGGGTGATGGCCACTGAGGGTGATGGCCACTGTGGGTGATGGCCACTGTGGGTGATGGCCACTGTGGGTGATGGCCACTGAGTGTGATCTGGGTGATGGCCACTGTGGGTGATGGCCACTGTGGGTGATGGCCGATGTGAGTGATGGCCACTGTGAGTGATGGCCACTGAGGGTGGCCTGGGTGATGGCCATTATGAGTGGCCTGGGTGATCCACTGGCCTAGATGATCCACTTGCCTAGATGATCCTATGTAACTTAGAAACTTACACCCGGGTTTACTCTATGGTTTTCAAACAAAGATGATGTCATGAGTATTGATTGTTCCCTCCTTCATGTGCCATGGCCCATGTGCCATGGCACATGTGCTGTGTTACATAATCTCCACACACAGTAGGCCACATATAGTGTGTTGTATGCTATTACTGTGACACTGTGTCCACAAATATGCAATGTAGTAGAGTTTCTCAGCCAGCCACCACCTCACCCCACTCATGCTGTTGTATATCTGCCTGACATTAGGTCATTGTGATGTCCAGGTCATGCTAACTTCCTGTAACATTTAGTGTATGGGCACATCATTAGGTCATTGTGATGTCCACATTGAGCCCAGCTAAGTATCTGCAGAAAGAATGTAATGAAACCAAATGTGTTGCTATTAAAGTTTGTCTCTCTCTATTGTCTCTCAGTCTGGGAGAGGGGACGTAAGTATGACTTCCTGGATCTTTGTTGTCAGAGTGACTTCCCTTAGTTCAGTTTGAATCATCCTCAGCTATTTTGATAGTGGTTGATGTCCTTGGTTTATGAGTGTCATCTTCTCATCTCTTGTTTGCATGTCACAAGTCTTGATTGTTAAGTGTTGTTCTAGCACTCGCTTTATAGAGTTACATTTTGATATTCAGACAGTACTTAGTGCAGTAGGTCAGACAGTACTTAGTGCACTTGGTCAGACAGTACTTAGTGCGGTAGGCCAGACAGTACTTAGTGTGGTAGGTCAGACAGTACTTAGTGCAGTAGGTCAGACAGTACTTAGTGCACTTGGTCAGACAGTACTTAGTGCGGTAGGCCAGACAGTACTTAGTGCAGTAGGTCAGACAGTACTTAGTGCAGTAGGTCAGACAGTACTTAGTGTGGCAGGTCAGATTGCATAAGACAGCCCCGTACTTGATGTTTTAACAACCCACTGACCAGCCCTAAACTTGATGTTTTAACAACCCACTGACCAGCCCTAAACTTGATGTTTTAACAACCCACTGACCGGCCCTAAACTTGATGTTTCAACAACCCACTGACCAGCCCTAAACTTGATGTTTTAACAACCCACTGACCAGCCCTAAACTTGATGTTTGACAACCAACTGACCAGCCCTAAATTTGATGTTTTAACAACCCACTGACCAGCCCTAAATTTGATGTTTTGACAACCCACTGACCAGCCCTAAACTTGATGTTTTAACAACCCACTGACCAGCCCTAACTTGATGTTTTGACAACCCACTGACCAGCCCTAAACTTGATGTTTTAACAACCCACTGACCAGCCCTAACTTGATGTTTTGACAACCCACTGACCAGCCCTAAACTTGATGTTTTGACAACCCACTGACCAGCCCTGCACTTTTAACTTGATGTCTATTTTCTGATATATTTTATTTGAGTTATGATTGTTGTGTGCCACTGAATAAAAACTTGAGCTTGTTACTTTACTTTGGCTGTTTCCTTCAATGTTGTCTGTCACATTTAGAACCTTAAACATTTTGACCTGATGTAAACATGCTGGTTTAAGCTGTCTGTACATCCCCCTACTGTGTACAGCCCCCTCCTGTGTACAACCCCCTGTTTACAGTTTCTCCTGTGTACAGCCCCCCATCTGTGTACAGCCCCCTGTGTGTACAGCCCCCCCCCATCTGTGTACAGCCCCCTCATGTGTACAGCCCCCCTGTGTACAACCCCCATCTGTGTACACCCTGCTCTGTGTACACCCCCCTCATGTGTACATCCCCCTCATGTGTACAGCCCCCTGTGTGTACAGCCCCCTGTGTGTACAACCCCCTCCTGTGTACAGCCCCCTCATGTGTACAGCCCCCTCATGTGTACAGCCCCCTGTGTACACCCTCCTCTGTGTATTCCAGGACTGTTACAGCTGTCTGTCTGTATGTTTATGACCCATGTGTACATGTGTATTCCAGGACTGTTACAGCTGTCTGTAGGTTTATGACCCATGTGTACATGTGTATTCCAGGACTGTTACAGCTGTCTGTCGGTTTATGACCCATGTGTACATGTGTATTTCAGGACTGTTACAGCTGTCTGGCTGTAGGTTTATGACCCATGTGTACATGTGTATTCCAGGACTGTTACAGCTGTCTGTCTGTAGGTTTATGACCCATGTGTACATGTGTATTCCAGGACTGTTACAGCTGTCTGGCGCTCCATCTTGGTGGAGTCTGACCAGCTGGCCAAGGCTAGACTCCAGGCATCCGAGGTCTACGCTGAGAAGGCAGCCGAGGCTCTCAAGCCTGTCAAGGCTGCCAAGATGCAGTGTTTTAAAAAGGTCAGGGTCACATCTTTACAGGATCTGTTTACACAAGGTCAAGGCCACAAACACATTCATCTGCAGTGGTTTTAAAAAGGTCTAGGTCACACACATGCTTAGATGCAATTAATGTCTTAAAAAGGTCAGGGTCACATCTTTAGATATTTGTCAACAAGGTGAACTATTTACATACAATGTCAAGGTCATTGGTTGCATGTTTGAAATAGGTTCAGAACACGAAGATAAAAATGCAATCCTTTAAGTTCATGATCAGGACCACAAGGTGTATTCCATACAGTTACCTGCCCCACTGTCATCAGGATATTATGTGGTGGATATGTGAAATATGTAAAAGACAAACTCTACTTCCCCTACCTGACTAGAGATGTTTTTATAATAATCGGATATTTAAAAAAAAACAACATTTAGATACACTGCCCAGAATAAATCTGATGGTGTGGTGTTGAATGAAGTAGCAATATAGAAGAAATCAAATAACTCACTAAGCTAATGTGAACATATCCTTGACCCAGGTGATGCCCCAGTTAGCTCACCAAGCTAATGTGTACATGACCTTGACCCAGGTGATGCCCCATTTAACTCACCATCTAATGTGTACATGACCTTGACCCAGGTGATGCCCCAGTTAACTCACCATCTAATGTGTACATGACCTTGACCCAGGTGATGCCCCAGTTAACTCACCATCTAATGTGTACATGACCTTGACCCAGGTGATGCCCCAGTTAACTCACCATCTAATGTATACATGACCTTGACCCAGGTGATGCCTCAGTTAACTCACCATCTAATGTATACATGACCTTGACCCAGGTGATGCCCCAGTTAACTCACCATCTAATGTGTACATGACCTTGACCCAGGTGATGCCCCAGTTAGCTGTGATCCAGACTGAGGTGGCCCAGTGTGTCATGGAGCTGGTCAAGACACAGAAGCTGTACCAGACAGAGGGGAGTTTGGCCAATGATGCAAGGGTCAAGGTCTGCGAGGCTGAGGACAAGTAAGTCATGTGTGCCACATGTCCCAATATACATGTCCCAATGTGTGGCACATGTCCCAATGTGTGGCACATGTCCCAATATACATGTCCCAATGTGTGGCACATGTCCCAATGTGTGGCATATGTCCCAATATACATGTCCCAATGTGTGGCACATGTCCCAATGTGTGGCACATGTCCCAATATACATGTCCCAATGTGTGGCACATGTCCCAATATACATGTCCCAATGTGTGCCACATATCCCAATATACATGTCCCAATGTGTGCCACATATCCCAATATACATGTCCCAATGTGTGCCACATATCCCAATATACATGTCCCAATGTGTGGCACATGTCCCAATATACATGTCCCAATGTGTGGCACATGTCCCAATATACATGTCCCAATGTGTGCCACATATCCCAATATACATGTCCCAATGTGTGCCACATATCCCAATATACATGTCCCAATGTGTGCCACATATCTCAATATACATGTCCCAATGTGTGCCACATATCCCAATATACATGTCCCAATGTGTGCCACATATCCCAATATACATGTCCCAATGTGTGCCACATATCCCAATATACATGTCCCAATGTGTGCCACATATCCCAATATACATGTCCCAATGTGTGCCACATATCCCAATATACATGTCCCAATGTGGAGCACATGTCCCAATATACATGTCCCAATGTGTGGCACTTGTTCCAATGTGTGGCACATGTGCCGGTAGTATTTGTTTGTTGTGTGGTGGCCTACATCTTACTTTTAAAATATTCTAGATTGAAAAGAAAATCCACTGGAATCTTCCAATCACTCTCTGGTTTACAGAAAACATGTACCAAGGTAAGTAGAGCAGTCATCTGACCAATCCACTGACCAACCCACTGACCAACCCACGGACCAACCCACTGACCAACCCATTGACCACCCACTGACCAACCCACTGACCAACCCACTGACCAACCCACTGACCAACCTACTGACCAACCCACTGACCAACCCACAGACCAACCCACTGACCAACCTACTGACCAACCCACTGACCAGCCCACTGACCAGTTCACGCTATGTTTACCATTTAAAATTTCCTCACCCCCAGCTGCGGACTAGGACAGAGGCCAGTGAGGTGAAGGAGACGGCCGCCCGCAATGAATACCTTCTGACCCTTGCAGCTGCCAACGCCCACCACATCCGCTACTACAGCACAGACCTGCCAGATGTCATGAAGGTTGGTCATTTCACCAATCCACCCCCCCTCCACACACCCCTGTGTTATACTTGGTATGTCCAACTGCCGTAAAAAAGCCATTTTCGCCCAAATATAGTAGCTTTTTACTTCATAGTTTCAGATGTCTTTACTTTTGCCATCACCCTAATGTCTTTACTTGTACCCACTCTTGCAGACCATGGACTGTGATATTTATGAGAAAATCCAAGAATCTCTGACTGTGGCTGGTCACACTGCAGCAGACTTGGCCGAGGCAGAAAGCAAAAGTTTCAAGACAATAGCTACAGAGGCGGCCAAGGTAGGACTTTAAGACAATAGAGGCGGCCAAGGTAGGACTTTAAGACAATAGAGATGGCCAAGGTAGGACTTTAAGACAATAGAGGCGGCCAAGGTAGGACTTTAAGACAATAGAGGTGGCCAAGGTAGGAAGACAATAGAGGTGGCCAAGGTAGGACTTTAAGACAATATAAGGGGCCAAGGTAGGACTTTAAGACAATAGAGGTGGCCAAGGTAGGACTTTAAGACAATAGAGGTGGCCAAGGTAGGACTTTAAGACAATAGAGGTGGCCAAGGTAGGACTTTAAGACAATATAAGGGGCCAAGGTAGGACTTTAAGACAATAGAGGTGGCCAAGGTAGGACTTTAAGACAATAGAGGTGGCCAAGGTAGGACTTTAAGACAATAGAGGTGGCCAAGGTAGGAAGACAATAGAGGTGGCCAAGGTAGGAAGACAATAGAGGTGGCCAAGGTAGGACTTTAAGACAATATAAGGGGCCAAGGTAGGACTTTAAGACAATAGAGGCGGCCAAGGTAGGACTTTAAGACAATAGAGGTGGCCAATGTAGGACTTTAAGACAATAGAGGTGGCCAAGGTAGGAAGACAATAGAGGTGGCCAAGGTAGGACTTTAAGACAATATAAGGGGCCAAGGTAGGACTTTAAGACAATAGAGGTGGCCAAGGTAGGAAGACAATAGAGGTGGCCAAGGTAGGACTTTAAGACAATATAAGGGGCCAAGGTAGGACTTTAAGACAATAGAGGCGGCCAAGGTAGGACTGTAAGACAATAGAGGCGGCCAAGGTAGGACTTTAAGACAATAGAGATGGCCAAGGTAGGACTTTAAGACAATAGAGGCGGCCAAGGTAGGACTTTAAGACAATAGAGGTGGCCAAGGTAGGAAGACAATAGAGGTGGCCAAGGTAGGAGTGTGAGACAATAGAGGTGGCCAAGGTAGGACTTTAAGACAATAGAGGTGGCCAAGGTAGGAGTGTGAGACAATAGAGGTGGCCAAGGTAGGACTTTAAGACAATAGAGGTGGCCAAGGTAGGACTTTAAGACAATATAAGGGGCCAAGGTAGGACTTTAAGACAATAGAGGTGGCCAAGGTAGGACTTTAAGACAATAGAGGTGGCCAAGGTAGGACTTTAAGACAATAGAGGTGGCCAAGGTAGGACTTTAAGACAATAGAGATGGCCAAGGTAGGACTTTAAGACAATAGAGGTGGCCAATGTAGGACTTTAAGACAATATAAGGGGCCAAGGTAGGACTTTAAGACAATAGAGGTGGCCAAGGTAGGACTTTAAGACAATAGAGGTGGCCAAGGTAGGAGTGTGAGACAATAGAGGTGGCCAAGGTAGGACTTTAAGACAATAGAGGTGGCCAAGGTAGGACTTTAAGACAATAGAGGTGGCCAAGGTAGGACTTTAAGACAATAGAGGTGGCCAAGGTAGGAGTGTGAGACAATAGAGGTGGCCAAGGTAGGACTTTAAGACAATAGAGGTGGCCAAGGTAGGACTTTAAGACAATAGAGATGGCCAAGGTAGGACTGTAAGACAATAGAGGTGGCCAAGGTAGGACTTTAAGACAATAGAGGTGGCCAAGGTAGGACTTTAAGACAATAGAGATGGCCAAGGTAGGACTGTAAGACAATAGAGATGGCCAAGGTAGGACTGTAAGACAATAGAGATGGCCAAGGTAGGACTTTAAGACAATAGAGATGGCCAAGGTAGGACTTTAAGACAATAGAGGTGGCCAAGGTAGGACTTTAAGACAATATAAGGGGCCAAGGTAGGACTTTAAGACAATAGAGGTGGCCAAGGTAGGACTTTAAGACAATAGAGGTGGCCAAGGTAGGACTTTAAGACAATAGAGATGGCCAAGGTAGGACTTTAAGACAATAGAGGTGGCCAAGGTAGGACTTTAAGACAATAGAGATGGCCAAGGTAGGACTGTAAGACAATAGAGATGGCCAAGGTAGGACTTTAAGACAATAGAGATGGCCAAGGTAGGACTTTAAGACAATAGAGGCGGCCAATGTAGGACTTTAAGACAATAGAGGTGGCCAAGGTAGGACTATAAGACAATAGAGGTGGCCAAGGTAGGACTTTAAGACAATAGAGGCGGCCAATGTAGGACTTTAAGACAATAGAGGTGGCCAAGGTAGGACTTTAAGACAATAGAGATGGCCAAGGTAGGACTTTAAGACAATAGAGATGGCCAAGGTAGGACTTTAAGACAATAGAGGCGGCCAAGGTAGGACTTTAAGACAATAGAGGCGGCCAAGGTAGGACTTTAAGACAATAGAGGTGGCCAAGGTAGGAAGACAATAGAGGTGGCCAAGGTAGGAAGACAATAGAGGTGGCCAAGGTAGGACTTTAAGACAATAGAGGTGGCCAAGGTAGGACTTTAAGACAATAGAGATGGCCAAGGTAGGACTTTAAGACAATAGAGGTGGCCAAGGTAGGACTTTAAGACAATAGAGGTGGCCAAGGTAGGACTTTAAGACAATAGAGATGGCCAAGGTAGGACTTTAAGACAATATAAGGGGCCAAGGTAGGACTTTAAGACAATAGAGGCGGCCAAGGTAGGACTTTAAGACAATAGAGGTGGCCAATGTAGGACTTTAAGACAATAGAGGTGGCCAAGGTAGGAAGACAATAGAGGTGGCCAAGGTAGGACTTTAAGACAATATAAGGGGCCAAGGTAGGACTTTAAGACAATAGAGGTGGCCAAGGTAGGAAGACAATAGAGGTGGCCAAGGTAGGACTTTAAGACAATATAAGGGGCCAAGGTAGGACTTTAAGACAATAGAGGCGGCCAAGGTAGGACTGTAAGACAATAGAGGCGGCCAAGGTAGGACTTTAAGACAATAGAGATGGCCAAGGTAGGACTTTAAGACAATAGAGGCGGCCAAGGTAGGACTTTAAGACAATAGAGGTGGCCAAGGTAGGAAGACAATAGAGGTGGCCAAGGTAGGAGTGTGAGACAATAGAGGTGGCCAAGGTAGGACTTTAAGACAATAGAGGTGGCCAAGGTAGGAGTGTGAGACAATAGAGGTGGCCAAGGTAGGACTTTAAGACAATAGAGGTGGCCAAGGTAGGACTTTAAGACAATATAAGGGGCCAAGGTAGGACTTTAAGACAATAGAGGTGGCCAAGGTAGGACTTTAAGACAATAGAGGTGGCCAAGGTAGGACTTTAAGACAATAGAGGTGGCCAAGGTAGGACTTTAAGACAATAGAGATGGCCAAGGTAGGACTTTAAGACAATAGAGGTGGCCAATGTAGGACTTTAAGACAATATAAGGGGCCAAGGTAGGACTTTAAGACAATAGAGGTGGCCAAGGTAGGACTTTAAGACAATAGAGGTGGCCAAGGTAGGAGTGTGAGACAATAGAGGTGGCCAAGGTAGGACTTTAAGACAATAGAGGTGGCCAAGGTAGGACTTTAAGACAATAGAGGTGGCCAAGGTAGGACTTTAAGACAATAGAGGTGGCCAAGGTAGGAGTGTGAGACAATAGAGGTGGCCAAGGTAGGACTTTAAGACAATAGAGGTGGCCAAGGTAGGACTTTAAGACAATAGAGATGGCCAAGGTAGGACTGTAAGACAATAGAGGTGGCCAAGGTAGGACTTTAAGACAATAGAGGTGGCCAAGGTAGGACTTTAAGACAATAGAGATGGCCAAGGTAGGACTGTAAGACAATAGAGATGGCCAAGGTAGGACTGTAAGACAATAGAGATGGCCAAGGTAGGACTTTAAGACAATAGAGATGGCCAAGGTAGGACTTTAAGACAATAGAGGTGGCCAAGGTAGGACTTTAAGACAATATAAGGGGCCAAGGTAGGACTTTAAGACAATAGAGGTGGCCAAGGTAGGACTTTAAGACAATAGAGGTGGCCAAGGTAGGACTTTAAGACAATAGAGATGGCCAAGGTAGGACTTTAAGACAATAGAGGTGGCCAAGGTAGGACTTTAAGACAATAGAGATGGCCAAGGTAGGACTGTAAGACAATAGAGATGGCCAAGGTAGGACTTTAAGACAATAGAGATGGCCAAGGTAGGACTTTAAGACAATAGAGGCGGCCAATGTAGGACTTTAAGACAATAGAGGTGGCCAAGGTAGGACTATAAGACAATAGAGGTGGCCAAGGTAGGACTTTAAGACAATAGAGGCGGCCAATGTAGGACTTTAAGACAATAGAGGTGGCCAAGGTAGGACTTTAAGACAATAGAGATGGCCAAGGTAGGACTTTAAGACAATAGAGATGGCCAAGGTAGGACTTTAAGACAATAGAGGCGGCCAAGGTAGGACTTTAAGACAATAGAGGCGGCCAAGGTAGGACTTTAAGACAATAGAGGTGGCCAAGGTAGGAAGACAATAGAGGTGGCCAAGGTAGGAAGACAATAGAGGTGGCCAAGGTAGGACTTTAAGACAATAGAGGTGGCCAAGGTAGGACTTTAAGACAATAGAGATGGCCAAGGTAGGACTTTAAGACAATAGAGGTGGCCAAGGTAGGACTTTAAGACAATAGAGGTGGCCAAGGTAGGACTTTAAGACAATAGAGATGGCCAAGGTAGGACTTTAAGACAATATAAGGGGCCAAGGTAGGACTTTAAGACAATAGAGGTGGCCAAGGTAGGACTAAGACAATAGAGATGGCCAAGGTAGGACTGTAAGAGAGGTGGCCAAGGTAGGACTTTAAGACAATTGAGGTGGCCAAGGTAGGACTTTAAGACAATAGAGATGGCCAAGGTAGGACTTTAAGACAATATAAGGGGCCAAGGTAGGACTTTAAGACAATAGAGGTGGCCAAGGTAGGACTAAGACAATAGAGATGGCCAAGGTAGGACTGTAAGAGAGGTGGCCAAGGTAGGATCTGTGGAGAGTTTAGCCTACAAATGTTTATGTTTCAGATCTGTGGAGAGTTTAGCCTACAAATGTTTATGTTTCAGATCTGTAGAGAGTTTAGCCTACAAATGTTTATGTTTCAGATCTGCCGAGAGTTTAGCCTACACATGTTTATGTTTCAGATCTGCCGAGAGTTTAGCCTACACATGTTTATGTTTCAGATCTGCCGAGAGTTTAGCCTACACATGTTTATGTTTCAGATCTGTAGAGAGTTTAGCCTACAAATGTTTATGTTTCAGATCTGTGGAGAGTTTAGCCTACAAATGTTTATGTTTCAGATCTGTAGAGAGTTTAGCCTACAAATGTTTATGTTTCAGATCTGCCGAGAGTTTAGCCTACACATGTTTATGTTTCAGATCTGCCGAGAGTTTAGCCTACACATGTTTATGTTTCAGATCTGCCGAGAGTTTAGCCTACACATGTTTATGTTTCAGATCTGTAGAGAGTTTAGCCTACACATGTTTATGTTTCAGATCTGCCGAGAGTTTAGCCTACAGTGTTACCTCTTCCAGAACCCTGTCTTTACCAACCTTGTGCAATATCAGTTTGAACCTTGTCAGGGGGACATGGTAAGTCACCGCACTTGTCTAGTTGGTCAGTCATAGTTGACCAGTCATATCTTGCTGGTCAGTCATATCTTGCTGGTCAGTCATATCTTGCTGGTCAGTCATAGTTGACCAGTCATATCTTGCTGGTCAGTCATATATTGCTGGTCAGTCATATCTTGCTGGTCAGTCATATCTTGCTGGTCAGTCATATCTTGCTGGTCAGTCATATCTTGCTGGTCAGTCATATATTGCTGGTCAGTCATAGTTGACCAGTCATATCTTGCTGGTCAGTTATAGTTGACCAGTCATATCTTGCTGGTCAGTCATATCTTGCTGGTCAGTCATATATTGCTGGTCAGTCATAGTTGACCAGTCATATCTTGCTGGTCAGTTATAGTTGACCAGTCATATCTTGCTGGTCAGTCATATCTTGCTGGTCAGTCATATATTGCTGGTCAGTCATAGTTGACCAGTCATATCTTGCTGGTCAGTTATAGTTGACCAGTCATATCTTGCTGGTCAGTCATATCTTGCTGGTCAGTCATATCTTGCTGGTCAGTCATAGTTGACCAGTCATATCTTGCTGGTCAGTCATATCTTGCTGGTCAGTCATAGTTGACCAGTCATATCTAGCTGGCCAGTCATAGTTGACCAGTCATATCTAGCTGGTCAGTCATAGTTGACCAGTCATATCTTGCTTGTCAGTCATAGTTGACCAGTCATATAATGCTGGTCAGTCATATATTGCTTGTCAGTCATAGTCGACCAGTCATATCTTGATGGTCAGTCATAGTTGACCAGTCATATATTGCTTGTCAGTCATAGTTGACCAGTCATATCTAGCTGGTCAGTCATAGTTGACCAGTCATATCTTGCTGGTCAGTCATAGTTGACCAGTCATATCTTGCTGGTCAGTCATAGTTGACCAGACATATCTTGCTGGTCAGTCATAGTTGACCAGACATATCTTGCTTGTCAGTCATATATTGCTTGTCAGTCATAGTTGACCAGTCATATCTTGCTGGTCAGTCATATCTTGCTTGTCAGTCATAGTTGACCAGTCATATCTTGATGGTCAGTCATAGTTGACCAGTCATATATTGCTTGTCAGTCATAGTTGACCAGTCATATCTAGCTGGTCAGTCATAGTTGACCAGTCATATCTTGATGGTCAGTCATAGTTGACCAGTCATATCTTGCTGGTCAGTCATAGTTGACCAGTCATATCTTGCTGGTCAGTCATAGTTGACCAGTCATATCTTGCTGGTCAGTCATAGTTGACCAGTCATATCTTGATGGTCAGTCATAGTTGACCAGACATATCTTGCTGGTCAGTCATAGTTGACCAGTCATATCTTGATGGTCAGTCATATCTTGCTGGTCAGTCATATATTGCCTGTCAGTCATAGTTGACCAGTCATATCTTGCTGGTCAGTCATATCTTGCTGGTCAGTCATAGTTGACCAGACATATCTTGATGGTCAGTCATAGTTGACCAGTCATATCTTGCTGGTCAGTCATAGTTGACCAGTCATATCTTGCTGGTCAGTCATAGTTGACCAGTCATATCTTGCTGGTCAGTCATAGTTGACCAGCCTTGCTGGCCTTGAACTTGGCTGTATTAGTGATGCCTGATTGTGTTCCCAAATTTGTTTCTAGTGCAATAAAATCAGCAGTGACCATAACGCTGGCCCTGACCTTGAGAAAGAGGCCAGGAAATGGGCAACAAAAGTGGCCAAAGAAACTCGAGCAATACGGGACTACTACAGGCAGATCACAGTTTTACAGAACGCCAAGTCTGGTGACAAGGTACGTCTTTCTTCTGCTTTACCTGACTTGTGTGGTAATGTCAGCACCCTCACCTGTCTGACATGACCTGAGCTCACCTTGACTGACATGACCTCACCTGTCTCACATGACCTCACTTGACTGACATGACCTCTCCTGTCTGACATGACCTGACCTGTCTGACATGACCTCACCAGCCTGACATGACCTGAGCTCACCTTGACATGACATGACCTCACCTGTCTGACATGACCTCACCAGCCTGACATGACCTCACCTGCCTGACATGACATGACTGACACGACCTCACCTGTCTGACATGACCTCACCTGCCTGACATGACCTGACCTGTCTGAGTTATAAATGTCCATGTTGTCCCCACAGACCTCTGATACAGGAAGCCAGGAATCTACAACAGTTGACCCTGAGGTCAAGTTGGAAGAGGTCAAGGTCAACTTGAGAAAAGCTGAGGTCAGTGACCTGATTAATTTTACCCAATTTGTTCTGAGAGGCTAAGATAACCATATCACCAGCTTTGCTTGCATGCGTTCTACAAATTACTTAGCTCCACAATGACCACTGTCATTTAAATAAGCATTTGTCACCAGATCACTAAGGTGTGACCCAAATATTACTCTAGCATTTGTCACCAGATCACTAAGGTGTGACCTAACCCTAACCCTTGACTGAGTTGTATTGTGCTCATTGAACTGATGTGCGAGTGATCTAGAGCTAGTCTAGTTTAAATAGCTTGTGGACACTGTGTGAGTGATCTAGTCTAGTTTAAATAGCTTGTGGACACTGTGTGAATGATCTAGTCTAGTTTAAATAGCTTGTGGACACTGTGTGAATGATCTAGTCTAGTTTAAATAGCTTGTGGACACTGTGTGAATGTTGAAACAACAGCTACCCCCAGATGATTTTCATTTCTCACTGGGGGCAAACATCTAGTTTTATTCATCAAGTTTTATTCATCAAGTTTTATTCATCAAGTTTTTTAGTGTGTAATGTTGGTTTTATGCCATTGAAAAAGTTGTAACATTAAACCTAAAGCAACATGAACAGAATGTAATCAGTTCAATATGGGACAACTTTCATGTTACAACCCCTGCCTTGCTTACACCTTACATACCCCACATGTAATGGTGGGTGGTGCTAAATGCCATGATGGATTAGTTTGTTACAGACAGTAAATAAAATAACATTTTAATTTTGATTTCATCAGACGGCCAAATTAAAAGCTGAGGCAAGGCTAGAGGCATTGAGGCTAGGGGGAGGTAAGAATTTCTTTATAACACATCATTGAGGCTAGGGGGAGGTAAGAATTTCTTTATAATACTTCATTGAGGCTAGGGGGAGGTAAGAATTTCTTTATAACACTTCATTGAGGCTAGGGGGAGGTAAGAATTTCTTTATAACACTTCATTGAGGCTAGGGGGAGGTAAGAATTTCTTTATAACACTTCATTGAGGCTAGGGGGAGGTAAGAATTTCTTTATAACACTTCATTGAGGCTAGGGGGAGGTAAGAATTTCTTTATAACACTTCATTGAGGCTAGGGGGAGGTAAGAATTTCTTTATAACACTTCATTGAGGCTAGGGGGAGGTAAGAATTTCTTTATAATACTTCATTGAGGCTAGGGGAGGTAAGAATTTCTTTATAACACTTCATTGAGGCTAGGGGGAGGTAAGAATTTCTTTATAACACTTCATTGAGGCTAGGGGGAGGTAAGAATTTCTTTATAACACTTCATTGAGGCTAGGGGGAGGTAAGAATTTCTTTATAACACTTCATTGAGGCTAGGGGGAGGTAAGAATTTCGTTATAACACTTCATTGAGGCTAGGGGTAGGTAAGAATTTCTTTATAACACTTCATTGAGGCTAGGGGGAGGTAAGAATTTCTTTATAACACTTCATTGAGGCTAGGGGGAGGTAAGAATTTCGTTATAACACTTCATTGAGGCTAGGGGAGGTAAGAATTTCGTTATAACACTTCATTGAGGCTAGGGGGAGGTAAGAATTTCGTTATAACACTTCATTGAGGCTAGGGGAGGTAAGAATTTCTTTATAACACATCATTGAGGCTAGGGGAGGTAAGAATTTCTTTATAACACTTCATTGAGGCTAGGGGAGGTAAGAATTTCGTTATAACACTTCATTGAGGCTAGGGGGAGGTAAGAATTTTTTGTAATCTATCGTTTTGGGTACGTAAAATCGCCAGCGGCTATTAATGTACGAAAACGTTACCTCATTGTCAAGGCTTTAATAGAAGTATATTGTGATATGTTTGTGTCAAATATTATAGATAAATGAATAATAAACCTAAATCAATGGCTAAATATATCAATATAGGCCAGAAATTAACTTTAAACAGCAGTGTCTGCAAGCAAGATTTGGTATATAAACAGCAGCCATTTGTAAAATAGAGTGACTTCCGCCTGAATCTCGTGCTTAAGTTTATAAAAATAAAACTTAAACAAGATGGCTGCTATAGTAAATGAGCATGGTTGCACCTGTTGGAAAAATCGCTGGTGTTCATTTATTACTGAAAAGTTTTAATTCAATAGTTTAAAAACAGGTACATAAATGAAACAAGGAAACATTTTTGTATTTTTCAAAACATAAATCCTCCTCAAAATGTTAAATAATTATTAAAATGTAAGGAGTCACCTGTTTTTCACATTACTAGTCGTGGGCGATTTTACGTACCTAAAACGATAGATTACCGAATTTTGTTATAACACTTCATTGAGGCTAGGGGGAGGTAAGAATTTCTTTATAACACTTCATTGAGGCTAGGGGGGGTAAGAATTTCTTTATAACACTTCATTGAGGCTAGGGGGATGTAAGAATTTCTTTATAACACTTCATTGAGGCTAGGGGGGGGGTAAGAATTTCTTTATAACACTTCATTGAGGCTAGGGGGAGGTCAGAATTTCTTTATAACACTTCATTGAGGCTAGGAGAGGTAAGAATTTCTTTATAACACTTCATTGAGGCTAGGGGGAGGTAAGAATTTCTTTATAACACTTCATTGAGGCTAGGGGGAGGTAAGAATTTCTTTATAACACTTCATTGAGGCTAGGGGGGGGGTAAGAATTTCTTTATAACACTTCATTGAGGCTAGGGGGAGGTAAGAATTTCTTTATAACACTTCATTGAGGCTAGGGGGGGGGGGGGGTAAGAATTTCTTTATAACACTTCATTGAGGCTAGGGGGAGGTAAGAATTTCTTTATAACACTTCATTGAGGCTAGGGGTAGGTAAGAATTTCGTTATAACACTTCATTGAGGCTAGGGGGAGGTAAGAATTTCGTTATAGCACTTCATTGAGTACAAACAGCAATGTTTCTTCCATGTTCCCTAATGTTCCACCACCTGTAACACAAGTTCCCCCACCTGTAACAAATGTTCCCCCACCTGTAACAAATGTTCCCCCACATGTAACAAATGTTCCCCCACATGTAACAAATGTTCCCCCACATGTAACAAATGTTCCCCCACATGTAACCAATGTTCCCTCCCTGTTGCCAGTGAACGTTGAGGAGTGGATGACCCAGGCCCAGATGGAGTCTCTAGCAGCTGAAGAGAGTGGTCTAGCCAGGACACCAAGCCAGGCGTCCCTCAGGACGGAGAGCTCTGGAGGGGTAAGGTCATTAGGTCATCTTTGCTGGGGTATCAGGGTGAAGGTCATTAGCTAGACCACTGACAACAGCTAGGTCTAGCCATACAGTCTAGCCATACAGTCTAGCCATATAGTCTAGCCATATAGTCTAGCCATAAAGTCTAGCCATAGTCTAGCCATAAAGTCTAGCCATAAATTCTAGCCATAGTCTAGTCATAAAGTCTAGCCATATAGTCTAGCCATAAAGTCTAGCCACAAGGTCCAGCCATAGTCTAGCCATAAAGTCTAGCCATAGTCTAGCCATAGTCTAGCCATAAAGTCTAGCCATAAAGTCTAGCCATAAAGTCTAGCCATAGTCTAGCCATAAAGTCTAGCCATAAAGTCTAGCCATAGTCTAGCCATAAAGTCTAGCCATAAAGTCTAGCCATAGTCCAGCCATAAAGTCCAGCCATATTTTGTCACCTGCAGCAAAGTGGCACTGACGAGCAGGACCAGACTTACACCCACTATGATGACGACGATGATTTTATTGACGAGGCCTTCAATGCCAGCAGTGGTAGCAGATCAGGCCGCGTCTACCCCATCTACTGCAAGGCACTGTATGAGTTTGTGGTAGGTCCTGTTTGTGTGGGTCCTGTCTGTGTGGGTCCTGTCATTGTGTGGGTCCTGTCTGTCTGTGTGTGGGTCCTGTCTGTCTGTGTGGGTCCTGTCTGTGTGGGTCCTGTCTGTGTGGGTCCTGTCTGTCTGTGTGGGTCCTGTCTGTGTGTGGGTCCTGTCTGTGTGGGTCCTGTCTGTGTGGGTCCTGTCTGTCTGTGTGGGTCCTGTCTGTGTGTGGGTCCTGTCTGTGTGGTCATGTCTGTGTGGGTCCTGTCTGTCTGTGTGGGTCCTGTCTGTGTGTGGGTCCTGTCTGTGTGGGTCCTGTCTGTGTGGGTCCTGTCTGTGTGTGGGTCCTGTCTGTGTGGGTCCTGTCTGTGTGTGGGTCCTGTCTGTGTGTGGGTCCTGTTTGTGTGTGGGTCCTGTCTGTGTGGGTCCTGTCTGTGTGGGTCCTGTCTGTGTGTGGGTCATGTCTGTCTGTGTGGGTCCTGTCTGTATGTGTGGGTCCTGTCTGTGTGGGTCCTGTCTGTAACCATCCCATCTGTGCGGGTCCTGTCTGTGGGTCCTGTCTGTGTGGGTCCTGTCTGTGTGGGTCCTGTTTGTGTGCGGGTCCTGTCTATGTGGGTCCTGTCTGTCTGTGTGGGTCCTGTCTGTGTGGGTCCTGTCTGTCTGTGTGGGTCCTGTCTGTGTGGGTCCTGTCTGTGTGGGTCCTGTCTGTGTGTGGGTCTGGTCTGTGTGGGTCCTGTCTGTGTGGGTCCTGTCTGTGTGGGTCCTGTCTGTCTGTGTGGGTCCTGTCTGTGTGGGTCCTGTCTGTGTGGGTCCTGTCTGTCTGTGTGGGTCCTGTCTGTCTGTGTGGGTCCTGTCTGTCTGTGTGGGTCCTGTCTGTGTGGGTCCTGTCTGTGTGGGTCCTGTCTGTCTGTGTGGGTCCTGTCTATGTGGGTCCTGTCTGTCTGTGTGGGTCCTGTCTGTGTGGGTCCTGTCTGTGTGGGTCCTGTCTGTCTGTGTGGGTCCTGTCTGTCTGTGTGGGTCCTGTCTGTGCGGGTCCTGTCTGTGTGGGTCCTGTCTGTCTGTGTGGGTCCTGTCTGTGTGGGTCCTGTCTGTGTGGGTCCTGTCTGTCTGTGTGGGTCCTGTCTGTCTGTGTGGGTCCTGTCTGTCTGTGTGGGTCCTGTCTGTGTGGGTCCTGTCTGTGTGGGTCCTGTCTGTGTGGGTCCTGTCTGTGTGGGTCCTGTCTGTCTGTGTGGGTCCTGTCTGTCTGTGTGGGTCCTGTCTGTCTGTGTGGGTCCTGTCTGTGTGGGTCCTGTCTGTGTGGGTCCTGTCTGTGTGGGTCCTGTCTGTAAGCAACTTTTCTGTGTGTCCCCTGATGTAATGAATGTGACCATCTTGTCTATGTGTGTCCTGATGTAATGAATGTAACCAACTTGTCTATGTGTGTCCTGATGTAATGAATGTAACCAGCTTGTCTATGTGTGTCCTGATGTAATGAATGTAACCAGCTTGTCTATGTGTGTCCTGATGTAATGAATGTAATGATGTAACCGTCTTGTCCATGTGTGTCCTTATGTAATGAATGTGACCAACTCGTCCATGTGTGTCCTGATGTAATGAATGTAACCATCTTGTCTTTGTGTGGTCCTGATGTAATGAATGTAATCATCTTGTCTATGTGTGTCCTGATGTAATGAATGTAACCATCTTGTCTATGTGTGTCCTGATGTAATGAATGTAACCAGCTTGTCTATGTGTGTCCTGATGTAATGAATGTAACCAGCTTGTCTATGTGTGTCCTGATGTAATGAATGTAATGATGTAACCGTCTTGTCCATGTGTGTCCTTATGTAATGAATGTGACCAACTCGTCCATGTGTGTCCTGATGTAATGAATGTAACCATCTTGTCTTTGTGTGGTCCTGATGTAATGAATGTAATCATCTTGTCTATGTGTGTCCTGATGTAATGAATGTAACCATCTTGTCTATGTGTGTCCTGATGTAATGAATGTAACCATCTTGTCTATGTGTGTCCTGATGTAATGAATGTAATGAATGATGTAACCATGTGTGTCCTGATGTAATGAATGTAACCATCTTGTCTTTGTGTGGTCCTGATGTAATGAATGTAATGAATGTAATCATCTTGTCTATGTGTGTCCTGATGTAATGAATGTAACCATCTTGTCTATGTGTGTCCTGATGTAATGAATGTAACCATGTGTGTCCTGATGTAATGAATGTAATGAATTTAACCAACTTGTTTATGTGTGTCCTGATGTAATGAATGTAACCATCTTGTCTATGTGTGTCCTGATGTAATGAATGTAACCAACTTGTTTATGTGTGTCCTGATGTAATGAATGTAACCATCTTGTCTATGTGTGTCCTGATGTAATGAATGATGTAACCATGTGTGTCCTGATGTAATGAATGTAATGAACGTAACCATCCTGACCAGGCCAGCAACTATGATGAGATGACCATTAAAGCTGAGGAGGACCTTGAACTTATTGCAGATGGTGATGGGGAGGGCTGGGTCAAGGTCAGTACATCTTCTCTTAGTTAATGTGGACAGTGATTGGTCAGTTGACCTGTGGTTTGATTGGTCAATTGACCTGTGGTTTGATTGGTCAATTGTGTCGCCCAATGTGTTGCCTAATTTGTTGCATATTGTGTTGCCTATTGTGTTGCCTAATGTGTTTCCTAACGTGTTTCCTAATGTGTTGCCTATTGTGTTGCCTAATGTGTTTCCTAATGTGTTGCCTATTGTGTGCCTAATTTGTTGCCTATTGTGTTGCCTAATTTGTTGCCTATTGTGTTGCCTATTGTGTTGCCTAATGTGTTGCCTAATTTGTTGCCTATTGTGTTGCCTATTGTGTTGCCTAATGTGTTGCCTCATTAGTTGCCTATTGTGTTGCCTATTGTGTTGCCTAATGTGTTGCCTAATTTGTTGCCTATTGTGTTGCCTATTGTGTTGCCTAATTTGTTGCCTAATTTGTTGCCTATTGTGTTGCCTAATGTGTTGCCTAATTTGTTGCCTATTGTGTTGCCTAATGTGTTGCCTATTGTGTTGCCTAATGTGTTGCCTATTTTGATATTTTTCAGGCCAAAAACTCGCTGGGCCAGGAGGGCTACATACCAGAGACTTACGTCGACCTTGGGGGTCTGTCCACAGCCCCAGCTCCCCTGGGGGTGGAGGCCCTGAATGCCATCAATGACACACTGAATGACATGACGTCAGGCCAGCAGGAGCAGCGTGAGGTCCCAGACCTGCAGTCCCCTGACCTACAGCAGGACACCACCTCGTCCTACTCATCTGGTGACCTTGAGGTCCAGCAGACTACAGAGGTCATGGTCACAGACAAGCAGCCTGTGCCCATGACAGTTGTCACTAATAGTGGTCAGTGTCTGTGTGGTCAGTGTCTGTGTGGTCAGTGTCTGTGTGGTCAGTCTGTGTGGTCAGTATGTGTGGTCAGTCTGTGTGGTCAGTGTCTGTGGTCAGTCTGTGTGGTCAGTATGTGTGGTCAGTCTGTGTGGTCAGTCTGTGTGGTCAGTCTATGTTGTCAGTCTGTGTGGTCAGTCTGTGTGGTCAGTCTGTGTGGTCAGTCTGTGTGGTCAGTCTGTGTGGTCAGTGTCTGTGGTCAGTCTATGTGGTCAGTCTGTGTGGTCAGTCTGTGTGGTCAGTCTGTGGTCAGTCTGTGTGGTCAGTCTGTGTGGTCAGTCTGTGGTCAGTCTGTGGTCAGTCTGTGTGGTCAGTCTGTGTGGTCAGTCTGTGTGTCAGTCTGTGTGGTCAGTCTGTGTGGTCAGTGTCTGTGTGGTCAGTGTCTGTGTGGTCAGTCTGTGTGGTCAGTCTGTGTGGTCAGTCTGTGTGGTCAGTGTGTGTGGTCAGTCTGTGTGGTCAGTCTGTGTGGTCAGTGTGTGTGGTCAGTCTGTGTGGTCAGTATGTGTGGTCAGTGTGGTGTGTGGGTGGCTGTCATATAAATATGTGAATGATGAGGTTTTGTCTCTATAACTAAATGACCAAGCATTGATGATAAAGCTGAGGATGTTGACACAACTTTACTTCTAGAAGTTTCCTGGGCACGAGCACTCTATGACTACGAGGCCCAGACAGACGAAGAGTTGTCTTTCCTGGAGGGGGCACTCATCCGAGTCGTACGGAAGGATGATAATGGTGTGGATGATGGATTCTGGGAGGGCGAGTGTAACGGCAGGAGAGGTGTCTTCCCCTCTCTTGTGGTGGAGGAGATCTCTGGACCTACGCTGGTGAGGGAGGGGCGGTGTAGACTCATGCTGGCAAGGGGTGGGGTGTAGACCCACGCTGGCAGGGGTGGGGGGGGGGGGGGTGGACCCACGCTGTTAAATGGGGGAGGCAGTGGTGTGTGGATATTATCTGGGTGACTTGTTTGGCATGACTGTGGGGCTAGTATTTGTCTTACTATGAGATATGTTTAAGGTTGTCTTGACTGTGGGGGGGGGGGGGGGGGGGGGCTAGTATTTGTCTCACTATGAGATATGTTTAAGGTTGTCTTGACTGTGGGGCTAGGGGGTGGGGCTAGTATTTGTCTCACTATGAGATATGTTTAAGGTTGTCTTGACTGTGGGGGTGGGGCTAGTATTTGTCTTACTATGAGATATGTTTAAGGTTGTCTTGAGTGTGGGGGGGTGGGGGTGGGGCTAGTATTTGTCTTATTATGAGATATGTCTAATGTTGCCTTGTGTTTCAGGATCCTCTGTCTCCGCCCTTGATGCCAATAGCTCCAGACTTCTCTATCCCCCCTCCTGTACAGATAACTCTACCTACACCAGATGCTGAGCCCCCTCCTCCCCCAGTTCTAGCAAATGGAGAAGGTCAGTCATTTCTCAGATCTTAAGACGGGATGGTCCTAGTGTAGGACTGGGGTGGTGTAGGACTGGGGTGGTCCTAGTGTGGGACTGGGGTGGTGTAGGACGGGGGTGGTCCTAGTGTAGGACTGGGGTGGTGTAGGACTGGGGTGGTCCTAGTGTGGGACTGGGGTGGTGTAGGACGGGGGTGGTCCTAGTGTAGGACTGGGGTGGTCCTAGTGTAGGACTGGGGTGGTGTAGGACTGGGGTGGTCCTAGTGTAGGACTGGGGTGGTGTAGGACGGGGGTGGTCCTAGTGTAGGACTGGGGTGGTCCTAGTGTAGGACTGGGGTGGTCCTAGTGTAGGACTGGGGTGGTCCTAGTGTAGGACTGGGGTGGTCCTAGTGTAGGACTGGGGTGGCGTAGGACTGGGGTGGTGTAGGACTGGGGTGGTCCTAGTGTAGGACTGGAGTGGTGTAGGACTGGGGTGGTCTGAGTGTGGCATGAAGGTAGCGCTGAATGTCTCATGTTTGGCTCATGCTAGATTGTTCTGCTTAGTGTGACCATCTATCTCAAATATATCTTATACCTGTTACACCAGAGAAAATTGTACAGTCTGTATTATCCAGAATTATAGTTTTTTTTATTATTCTCAACAAATTGTGAGTTTGCTGTCTGTTTTAAATTTAATAAAAAAGCTTGTAAGAAAGAATTGTAAGAGTAAGGCTACCATTGTCTGTATAAATCACCAATTGAAGTGAATAACATCCCTCAACTTTCTGCAACTCTTTGATTCATTCACGGAGGGTCACAAATTTTCCTTCATAGATACTAAAGACAGTAGTATTTTATATTAGTTTATTGGCTACTTGAATCAACAACACCAATCTCCCTCTATTGGCATGTGCTTCCACCCCTGCTCCATCAACACCCCACCCCTGCTCCATCAACTTCCCACCCCTGAACTCCCCACCCCTGCTCCATCAACACCCCACCTCTACTCCATCAACACCCCACCCTTGCTCCATCAACTCCCCACCCCTGCTCCATCAACTCTCCAACCCTGCTCCATCAACTCCCCACCCCTGCTCCATCAACTCCCCACCCCTGCTCCATGAACACCCCACCCCTGCTCCATCAACTCCCCACCCCTGCTCCATCAACTCCCCACCCCTGCTCCATGAACACCCCACCCCTGCTCCATCAACTCCCCACCCCTGCTCCATGAACACCCCACCCCTGCTCCATGAACACCCCACCATCAGGTACACTTGCCTGCCAGTGTGATAATTTGACAAGAAATATTTTCTTACCTTCAGAGATGGATGACACCCCCTTACCTCCTCCCCCAGGGCTCTCTGATACAGGAGAAGGTAGACTGGTGTCATGTTGTCACTGGTGTCATGGTGTTGTCACTGGTGTCGTCACTGGTGTCATGTTGTTACTCATGTCACTGGTGTCATGTTGTTACTCATGTCACTGGTGTCACTCATGTCACTGGTGTCATGTTGTCACTCATGTCACTGGTGTCATGTTGTCACTCATGTCACTGGTGTCATGTTGTTACTCATGTCACTGGTGTCATGTTGTCACTCATGTCACTGGTGTCATGTTGTCACTCATGTCACTGGTGTCATGTTGTTACTCATGTCACTGGTGTCATGTTGTCACTCATGTCACTGGTGTCATGTTGTCACTCATGTCACTGGTGTCATGTTGTCACTCATGTCACTGGTGTCACTCATGTCACTGGTGTCATGTTGTCACTCATGTCACTGGTGTCATGTTGTCACTCATGTCACTGGTGTCATGTTGTTACTCATGTCACTGGTGTCATGTTGTCACTCATGTCACTGGTGTCATGTTGTCACTCATGTCACTGGTGTCATGTTGTCACTCATGTCACTGGTGTCATGTTGTTACTCATGTCACTGGTGTCATGTTGTCACTCATGTCACTGGTGTCATGTTGTCACTCATGTCACTGGTGTCATGTTGTCACTCATGTCACTGGTGTCATGTTGTCACTCATGTCACTGGTGTCACTCATGTCACTGGTGTCATGTTGTCACTCATGTCACTGGTGTCATGTTGTCACTCATGTCACTGGTGTCATGTTGTTACTCATGTCACTGGTGTCATGTTGTCACTCATGTCACTGGTGTCATGTTGTCACTCATGTCACTGGTGTCATGTTGTCACTCATGTCACTGGTGTCATGTTGTTACTCATGTCACTGGTGTCACTCATGTCACTGGTGTCATGGTGTTCTCACTGGTGTCATGGTGGTGTCATGGTGTTCTCACTGGTGTCATAATGTTCTCACTGGTGTCATGGTGTTGTCACTGGTGTCACATGTGTCATGGTGTCATGTCATTCTGACAGCTGCATGACGTGCTGTTGTGTGCTGACATTGTTAACTGGGCTTAAATTTAGTTTTTATGGGGGTTTGGTTTTACGGTGGGTGTCAATTTATGGGTGGTTTTATGGGGAGGGGGGGGGGGGGGTGTGGTAGATTGTCATTTAATGGTTGTTTTGTCACTCACTGCTGCCTAATGGTGGGTCAAGTAGCTGTCACCTACTGAACAATTGCTTTAAGCTAGTGACCAACTGTACCAGGCATGCCCCACCCCTCCCCCAGACTTAATTCAGCTAGTTCAATGAGAAGTTTGAGAAATTTGATTATCTATGTTGTCAATCTTTTTGTTGTCAATCTTTTTGTTGTCAATCTTTTTGTTGTCTTTACTAAACAGATAACAAATGTGACCTTTGTCTTGTTTTAGATTTTTTAATCTTCCAGGAGTTGTGTAAGTGCCAATCATCTGCAGCACAAATCTAGAAGCTTCCAGCACTTCTTGTAACCCACATATAGAAACCCGTAACTAGAGCTAGACATGTACCCCAGTGTCAGGAGTCATCCACCAAGTCATGCTGACTGACTTGTTTCTTTTTATAACCATTTTTTGTAGAATGTTTTCATCATCCCATCCCTTACACACCTTACGTGGTTAGATCATCCCATCCCTTACACACCTTACGTGGTTAGATCATCCCATCCCTTACACACCTTACGTGGTTAGATCATCCCATCCCTTACACACCTTACGTGGTTACATCATCCCATCCCTTACACACCTTACGTGGTTACATCATCCCATCCCTTACACACCTTACGTGGTTTCATCATCCCATCCCTTACACACCTTACGTGGTTTCATCATCCCATCCCTTACACACCTTACGTGGTTTCATCATCCCATCCCTTACACACCTTACGTGGTTTCATCATCCCATCCCTTACACACCTTACGTGGTTACAACAATATCAGATTTTTATGGATGACCCCTGTCCAATATACTTGAAATATCAGCTTCTAACTAAACATTTACCACCTCATAAAATATAATCAGCTTATTAAAACATTTACCACCTCATAAAATATAATCAGCTAATTGAAACATTTACCACCTCATAAAATATAATCAGCTAATTGAAACATTTACCACCTTATGAATGCTAACACAGCATTTACTACCCTATACATTATAAGCAGGTAATTAAAACATTACCACCTTATGAATATGGGCTTCTAACTAAACATTTACCACCTCATAAAATATAATCAGCTAATTTAAATATTTACTATCCTATGAATATGAGCTTCTAACTAAACATTTACTACCCTATAGAATATTATCAGGTAATGAAAACATTTACCACCTTATGAATATGAGCTTCCAACTAAACATTTACTACCCTATAGAATATTAGCAAGTAATTAAAACATTTACCACCCTATTAATATGAGCATCTAACTAAACAATTTCCCACCTTATGTTTCCATCTCTGCTCTTGTATTGTGAATCTAACTCTGCCCTTGAGTGTTGTTTAATTATCTGCCCTTGTGTGTTAGCACAGTTGATCTTACCATGTTAATTTGTTTAATTAAGTGTATTATAGTTAATCCCCAAATTATGTTTAATTAAGTGTATTATAGTTAATCCCCAAATTATGTTTAATTAAGTGTATTATAGTTAATTCCCAAATTCTGTTTATTTAAGTGTAAGTTAATCCCCAAATTCAACCTGTGACATTATCTCCCTTGAGTGTACCATTGAACAAGTTCCATAGAGTTGTGTCCCACTGTTATTTGCCAGTTACTGGATGTCAGTAAAGCTATTGTAACTCTGCTGATACTAGTAACATTCTAATTAGATAGAACTATTTGTGTATTAGCTTACCCAAAATGTTATCTCTTTTGTTATGTTGTAACCAGCCATATTTTATTATATAACTGCTAGCTTAAGCCACATACAGCCACACCTAACAACATACAGCCACACCTAACAACATACATTCACATACTGCCACACCTAGCCACACACAGCCACACCTAACCACATCTAGCCATATCCAGTTATGCACACACAGCCACACCTATCCACATCTATCCACATCCAGCCATGCACCGCAACACCAAACCACATCTATCCACATACTGCCACACCTAGCCACACACAGCCACACCTAACCACATCTAGCCATATCCAGTTATGCACACACAGCCACACCTATCCACATCTATCCACATCCAGCCATGCACAGCAACACCAAACCACATCTATCCACATACTGCCACACCTAGCCACACACAGCCACACCTAACCACATCTAGCCATATCCAGTTATGCACACACAGCCACACCTATCCACACCTATCCACATCTATCCACATCCAGCCATGCACCGCAACACCGAACCGCACCTATCCACATCTAGCCACACACAGCCACACACAGCCACACCTAACTACATACATTCACCTACTGCCACACACAGCCACACCTAGCCACACACAACCACACACAGCCACACACAGCCACACCTAACTACATACATTCACCTACTGCCACACCTAGCCACACACTGCCACACCTAGCCACACACAACCACACACAGCCACACCTAACTACATACATTCACCTACTGCCACACCTAGCCACACACTGCCACACCTAGCCACACACAACCACACCTAGCCACACACAACCACACCTAGCCACACACAACCACACCTAGCCACACACAGCCACACACAACCACACCTAGCCACACCTAGCCACACACAACCACACCTAGCCACACACAGCCACACCTAGCCACACACAGCCACACACAACCACACCTAGCCACACCTAGCCACACACAACCACACCTAGCCACACACAGCCACACACAGCCACACACAACCACACCTAGCTACATACATTCACCTACTGCCACACCTAGCCACACCTAGCCACACACAACCACACACAGCCACACACAGCCACACACAGCCACACCTAGCCACAAATAGCCACACCTAGCCACACCTAACCACACCTAGCCACACACAGCCACACCTAGCCACACACAGCCACACCTAGCCACACACAGCAACACCTAACCACACCTATCCACATACAGCCACACACAGCCACACCTAACCACATCTAGTCATATCCAGCCAGTACAGCATTCTTTCATAATACTTTTAACGTGTTTCAGATTCCAAGCCTGTTTCCTTTGTCACTGCTGATCAGGTAGGTCTCATTTGTTGAGCTGTGTTATACATGGCCTGCTACATTTGGCTTGAGGTGGGATTTTCATGTGAGGTGGGATTTCCCTTCAAGGACAGATGGGGGGGGGGGGGGGGGGGGTCGGGATCTGGCTAAAATCAGAAAAAATATTTTTAATGTCAATACGGGTTCTAAGCCTGCAGATGTCATACTCCTTGACGTCATATAGACAATTGTCAAAAAGTTCCTGATTGTTGATTAGCTGAGGTGGGTCAAAGTGGGGTCAGATACCTTGGCTGTGATTGGTCAGTGGGGTCCTAGATACCTTGGCTGTGATTGGTCAGTGGGGTCCTAGATACCTTGGCTGTGATTGGTCAGTGGGGTCCTAGATACCTTGGCTGTAACAGTAGTGAAAACAAATATTTAACTTAGCCATAGCCAGATATTTACAAGATAAATATTGTGTCGATTGTTTTGGGCTACTAAGTCAAGAGATATTGGTGTGGCTAATGGAAGAACTGACCACATGACTGTAGTGTGTAAACCAACTAACCCTGGTCAGGTGGCATGTCATTGTTTCACTTGTGTGTCTGAGTTTAGAACCTCAGGCTAATACCATTGTTGATCTTTCTCTTTTCTTGTCCATGCATTCAGAGTGAATGTTAGGTGAGTTGTTTTTGTTTTTTACTCTAACCTAGACTAGAATGGCCTCCTTTTATCTCAAACCTAGACTAGATTAGCCTCACTTTAAAAAAAAAAACTCTAACCAAGACTAAATTGGCATTCCTTTTGTTTTATTTTGAACTCTAACCTAGATTGGCCTCCCTTGATATCACATCTATACACCAGAACAATTTATTATTTGCTTTTTTTTTTGGCTCTGCTTGTTAGTTCAGCTGAAGCACGGAAGTGGGCAGATCTCAGGGCAGTTTTGTCATGCTTTAATACACAACACTTTCTATCTTAACTAATGGATCAGAGTCCTAACTGGGACCAACTGGCCATGGCATGACCAGACAATACTAAATACTGACCATGATGTGACCAAGACTTGCTACTGACCATAAGATGACCAAGACTTGCTACTGACCATAATATGACCAAGACCTAGTACTGACCATAAGATGACCATGAGATGACCAAGACTTAGTACTGACCATAAGATGACCAAGACTTAGCACTAACCATAAGATGACCATGATGTGACCAAGACCTAGTACTGACCATAAGATGACCATGATATGACTAAGAATAAGCACTGACCATAAGATGACCATGAGATGACCAAGACTTGGGACCGACCATAAGATGACCATGAGATGACCAAGACCTAGTACTGACCATAAGATGACCATGTCTTAGTACTGACATCTTATAGTGTTGTTCTACCACTTGCTTGTTTTAATCCATCATTTCCACACTAATTTTTATTTTATTGTACTCTAACAATTTTTGTTTTTGCAACTTCTGCACAGTCCTGCACTTTTGGCTCCTAATGAGTGCATCAGACCATTAGGCTAATGAATTCACCCTGATCCTAACTCACTATGTCTTGACACGCATGCCTTAACTTGAACAACACATAAATCTCTTAGTTTAGCACAATTTTTCTATAACTTTAGAATCTATGTGAACCAGAAAAACAATTTCATTAACTAACATTTACACAACAATACCCTTTGAAAGTTCAATACAAATTATTGCTGACTTTGTTTTTCAATGTTTTTTTTTATCAGCTGTCAAAGAAAGTTTACTTCCATGCTGGATATGATCACACACCCAGGGTACACACTCAGTCACAGACCAGCACAGATGTTCAACACAGCAACACACCTGGACAACACCAGCCCTACAGCAACACACCTGGACAACACCAGCCCTACAGCAACACACCTGGACAACACCACAGCAACACACCTGGACAACAGCAGCCCCACAGCAACACACCTGGACAACAGCAGCCCCACAGCAACACACCTGGACAACAGCAGCCCCACAGCAACACACCTGGACAACAGCAGCCCCACAGCAACACACCTGGACAACACCAGCCCCACAGCAACACACCTGGACAACAGCAGCCCCACAGCAACACACCTGGACAACACCAGCCCCACAGCAACACACCTGGACAACAGCAGCCCCACAGCAACACACCTGGACAACACCAGCCCCACAGCAACACACCTGGACAGCCCCACAGCAACACACCTGGACAACAGCAGCCCCACAGCAACACACCTGGACAACAGCAGCCCCACAGCAACACACCTGGACAACAGCAGCCCCACAGCAACACACCTGGACAACAGCAGCCCCACAGCAACACACCTGGACAACACCAGCCCCACAGCAACACACCTGGACAACAGCTGCCCCACAGCAACACACCTGGACAACACCACAGCAACACACCTGGACAACAGCAGCCCCACAGCAACACACCTGGACAACACCAGCCCCACAGCAACACACCTGGACAACAGCAGCAGACAGACAACAGACTGAGCTCAATGACATCTAGCAGACACAACAGGCCTGTCCATCCTGTCCATCCTGTCCAGCCCCTCAAAGACCTGCAGACAGAGCCCAGCCCCATCCTGCGCCACAAGTCACTGCCCAGCATTCTGGACAACGACAAGCTACAAGAGGTCAAGGTCAGACCTGATGAGGTTAAATCTGAAGAGGACCTCTGGTTAGCAAAGCCTCCACTTTCTCCAAGGTCAGGGCGACATGCAATCAGTCAAGGTCAGCTGCCCGGCCAAGTCAGGTCAGCGCAAGTGGTGCGGACACCTCCCCCCTCTCGCAGGATTATCCTACAACACAGGCAGCAGAGAGCCACACCCAACATGACTGGAGACAGGGAGAGCAGGCCTTACCCCAGCAGCCCAGAGATGGGGCCCCCCTCTGTCAGACATGACAGGCCCCAGCCCCGCACTCCGCAGTTCCACCCCGGGACCTCTGTCAGCCAGTGGCCTGAGTACTCAACACAGGGCCCCTACAGTCAGCAGTCAGGCCCGACCCCAACCCCAGGCCTGACCCCAACCCATAACCCCTACAGTCATCAGTCAGGCCTGACCCCAACCCATAACCCCTACAGGCAACAGGAACCAGACGTGACACAGCGTCAGAAAACGGTACACTTCCTGCCTGACCCCCCAGCGCAGTTACCAGTCAATAGAGCAGCAAGCAAAGGGCAGCAACTCACCAACAAGGCTCGAGCTAGTGACAGATACCCTCTCTTCTACGATGATGAGGACTGGGAAGAAGAGGGGGAGGAATCATTAGTGTAGTCTGGTCAGCTGGTGTGAGGAGTTTGTCCATTGTTGACATCTGTGATACTGGCCCACCCAATTACTGACCCTTCCCCCATACATCACCCTACTGCCCCCCCCCCCCCCACCAGCATGCCTAATCACATAATTTATGATCGATGTACATAAAATCATTTGTTTGTAGCTCAATTTGTTTAATATTTGTTTCTTGATAAAGTTCAGTATTTATGACATAACCAGATCTACAGCAATCCAAAGGATAGAATTCCAACGTCTCTGATAGTGACATCTCTCACTTGATTGAAGAAGGGACGAACCTCTGAAATATTTTGTTTTCTTGTTGGTTCATTATGCCATTCTAAGGACAGAATAGAGGTTTAGCCTGGTGATCTTTCCACCATCTTCCCATCACTTCACCACTGGTTCAATAGCCAGTTTAGCCAAATCTTTAGATTCCCGTGAACCCACTTTCTTTCTGTTTTCTTATGTGGACAAACTGGCAGCTGAGATTTAATTAGCACCAATTTACTGGCCCTCGTGTCTGCTCACACCCCCCCCCCCCCCCCATCCTCCCTCAGTCACCCATAATCCAGCAGGGAAGCGAAGCGAATATTTTTTCTTTTGTCTTCAAATTGTACATATCAGACTAGCAATGCTAATACTTGGCCATCTTAGTTCAACTTGGCCATCCAGGGTGTTGGCCATCTTTGTCCAACTTGGCCATCTTTATGTCAGACTGTAGAATAAAAAAATTGTGTCACTGCCCTTGATGTTCTGCACACGTGTAGGCTAGTGTGTTCGGCAATGTGTTGTTAGACCTAGTTAGATGTGTAGCTACACACAAATATACACACGTGTAGACTAGTGTGTTCGGCAATATGTTTTTAAACCTAGCTAGACGTGTAGCTACCCACAAGCCTACACACTGAAAATGTCTAAGAATACACCTGTTTGTCTATGTCTACCATGAATGGCCAGAAAAAAATTCAGGTAGAACTAGATCAATTATTTTTAGATGTTACTTTAAAGCAATCATTTTCACGTTTTAAAACTTATGTTGAAAAAAAGAATTTTTGCTGGCAAATTGTCTGGGCAACGTTAGGGTCCCCTGTACATTGATGTTCTCAAATATCACCTAACATTGGCTGTGAGTTTATTTATTTATTTGTTTTATTGAAAACAAGATCCTGAGTTTTGAGTTTGGGTTTCTTGTTACAAATGTGTTGAATTTTGACTTGACAACTTTCATGTCACTTGTTGTGTACACGTACTTAAACTGAGTTTTTGTTCAGTTTACTGGAGGGTAGTTTCCCTTGGTTCATGAATGGAAGTCACGAAGTTTTGAAACCAATAAAGGTTTAGTTGTTGATTACCTCCCCTGGTCACCTTGAATATATCCATCTTTTGTTAGTGGGCAGCCTTTTTCTTTAACATAACAAATATCTGCCTTGGTTATGTAAGCAGGTAGATAATCTTTTCAAATAATTCAATTTTTAAAATCGATGCATTTTTCACATGGTGTACAGTTGATAAAGAAAACATTTGAGTTGTAAACTAGTTGATGTAGCTGTGTTCTACTGTTGAATTGACAGGATTTGTAACCCCTTTTGTTGGTTCTTGTATGTTGTATACAGGACTATTTCAGTTCTATGATATTAGCCTGATTATTTTCCCTGATCTGTTCTACAACTTTTATGGTGTGACTTTTTTTATATTTTAAAATTTGAACCAGATTTTTGACATGCCCAGCTTTAATGTGTGTCAATTGGAAATTGTGTTCTTGCTTTTGTTTTATTCAAAATGAGCTTTGATTTCCTCCACATGACTGGTAACCATGGTAACCACACAACAAAACCAACTACCCCAGGCCAAACCACACTCCCATTATTTTAAACACAAGATCTGTTGATTGCTAAAAATGTTTTTTTGCATGTTTTTTCTTTCCATTTTTGTTGCATGTTTTTGTCAGCTCAAGCAAAACTTGTTCCATTTTTTTAGATATTTTTCCTCCAGCTGTCTTCATTACAGGGTCGTCACTAGATCATGATCTGATATTCCCATGTTTCTTCAACATGTTCTGTTGTCAATAACATTTTTTCTAAATGGTGGCGGATCCAAAGCCCCCCCCCCCCACAGCATCCATCCCACACGGATTTCGTCCACACCCCTTTCCCACATACAATTTTTTTTATTTAGATTAGAATAAATTAATTAAAGTTTTATTTAGTACTGTCTGGCTTTCACTTTTTAAATTTCATACATTCAAATGTTTGTCTAACAAAATTAAATTGTTAAGATACCCCACCCTTCCCACTTCAAGGTTTGGTGTCGTCCCAACAACATATCACCATACAACATGGGTGTAGTGTAGTACATTTGTTCTTGTCAGTTTTTCATTGTCATTTATATCATCACCGTTTGGATGAATATTAATAAAATGTCCGTGTGATAAGTCATACAACAGTCATGTCTATCTTTCTATGACTTAGAAAAATGTAATATCATGTTTGTCTCTCACACAAACTTGTTTTTTTTTTCTCCTGCCATAATCACTGGTTGCTGTGACATATAGCAGATACCTGACATGTAACTGTGACATATATCAGATCCCTGACAGGTAACTGTGACATATAGCAGATACCTGACAGGTAACTGTGACATATAGCAGATACTTGACATGTAACAGTGACATATAGCAGATACCTGACAGGTAACTGTGACATATAGCAGATACTTGACATGTAACTGTGACATATAGCAGATACCTGACATGTAACTGTGACATATCAGATACCTGACATGTAACTGTGACATATAGCAGATACCTGACATGTAACTGTGACATATATCAGATCCCTGACATGTAACTGTGACATATAGATACCTGACAGGTAATTGAAACACCTTACATGTAGCTGTGACATAGCAGATACCTGACATGTAACTGTGACACCTGACAGATAACTGAGACACCTGACATGTAGCTGTGACACATGACATGTAGCTGTGACACCTAGCAGGTGACGTCAGCTGACTGACACCTGCCAATCTTGTAACTTGATCTATGCATTCTTTGTTTACTTTCTATATCGATGTTGTCTGTGTAGGCCCATAACTTGTCACATGTAAGCCATGGTGGTACAACTTGGTTCAATTTGTTGGTTCAATTTGTTGGTTCAACTTGTTGGTTCAACTTGTTGGTTCAATTTGTTGGTTCAACTTGTTGGTTCAATTTGTTGGCTCAATTTGTTGGTTCAACTTGTTGGTTCAATTTGTTGGTTCAACTTGTTGGTTCAATTTGTTGGTTCAACTTGTTGGTTCAACTTGTTGGTTCAATTTGTTGGTTCAACTTGTTGGTTCAACTTGGTTTAACTTACACCACCATTGGTTAAACTGTCTCCATCTGTAGATTGAAACATAGGAAATAAAATAGTCCAGCTTTTGTGACGGTGTTCTTTTATTCCCTTATTGTGACTTGTCTGTTGGTTGTGGGTGATGTTATGTGCCAGTTGAATGAGTGACTTGTCCGTTGGTTGTATGTGATGTTATGTGCCAGTTGAATGAGTGACTTGTCCGTTGGTTGTGGGTGATGTTATGTGCCAGTTGAATGAGTGACTTGTCTGTTGGTTGTGGGTGATGTTATGTGCCAGTTGAATGAGTGACTTGTCCGTTGGTTGTATGTGATGTTATGTGCCAGTTGAATGAGTGACTTGTCCGTTGGTTGTATGTGATGTTATGTGCCAGTTGAATGAGTGACTTGTCCGTTGGTTGTATGTGATGTTATGTGCCAGTTGAATGAGTGACTTGTCCGTTGGTTGTATGTGATGTTATGTGCCAGTTGAATGAGCGACTTGTCCGTTGGTTGTATGTGATGTTATGTGCCAGTTGAATGAGTGACTTGTCCGTTGGTTGTATGTGATGTTATGTGCCAGTTGAATGAGTGACTTGTCCGTTGGTTGTATGTGATGTTATGTGCCAGTTGAATGAGTGACTTGTCCGTTGGTTGTATGTGATGTTATGTGCCAGTTGAATGAATGACTTGTCTGTTGGTTGTGGGTGATGTTATGTGCCAGTTGAATGAGTGACTTGTCCGTTGGTTGTATGTGATGTTATGTGCCAGTTGAATGAATGACTTGTCTGTTGGTTGTGGGTGATGTTAATTGTTATGTGCCAGTTGAATGAATGACTTGTCCGTTGGTTGTGGGTGATGTTATGTGCTATTTGAATGAGTCTGCCATGATGATTTGAAGGCATATGTTACAGTACAAACACCTGAGCAAACATATGAAGGTAAACATATCACTGTATATCAGGTGTGTCTACTGCACCCCACCCCCGTGTCATTACACAAGTTGACTTTATGTTGAAGTCACGTGTACAAGCAACATACACTCGCGAGGGGAGGTCGTGTTGCGACGGTCTCATCCAAAAACATGTCGAGAGTTTATTCCAGGTGACGCCCATGTGCTTCTAGAGAGGTTTTCTTGTCAATCACGCTGGAAAAAAGAAATATGTTGGGGAGGGGGGGGGGGCAGTTGTAATTAATACCTATGGCGTTGGATTAACATTTTATGAGATTGTTAGCTACAGAGATTTGTCAATGATGTCCATCTAGCTACAGAGTTGTGTAAATGACATCATCTAGCTACAGAGTTGTGTAAATGACGTCCACCTAGCTACAGAGGTGTAAATGACGTCCATCTAGCTAGTGTTGTGTAAATGACGTCCACCTAGCTAGTGTTGTGTAAACGACGTCCATCTAGTTAGTGTTGTGTAAATGACGTCCACCCAGCTAGTGTTGTGTAAATGACGTCCACCTAGCTAGTGTTGTGTAAATGACATCCACCTAGTTAGTGTTGTGTAAATGACGTCCATCTAGTTAGTGTTGTGTAAATGACGTCCACCTAGTTAGTGTTGTGTAAATGACGTCCATCTAGTTAGTGTTGTGTAAATGACGTCCACCTAGCTAGTGTTGTGTAATGACGTTCATCTAGCTACAGAGTTGTGTAAATGACGTCCATCTAGTTTGTGTTGTGTGAATGACATCCACCTAGCTAGTGTTGTGTAAATGACGTCCATCTAGTTTGTGTTGTGTGAATGACATCCACCTAGCTAGTGCTGTGTAAATGACGTCCACCTAGCTAGTGTTGTGTAATGACGTTCATCTAGCTACAGAGTTGTGTAAATGACGTCCATCTAGTTTGTGTTGTGTAAATGACGTCCATCTAGTTTGTGTTGTGTGAATGACATCAACCTAGCTAGTGCTGTGTAAATGACGTCAATCTAACTAGTGTTGTGTAAATGACGTCCATCTAACTAGTTTTGAGTAAATGATGTCCACCTAGTTAGTGTTGTGTAAATGACGTCCATCTAGTTTGTGTTGTGTGAATGACGTCCACCTAGTTAGTGTTGTGTAAACGACGTCCACCTAGTTAGTGTTGTGTAAACGACGTCCACCTAGTTAGTGTTGTGTAAATGACGTCCACCTAGTTAGTGTTGTGTAAACGACGTCCACCTAGCTAGTGTTGTGTAAATGACGTCCACCTAGCTAGTGTTGTGTAAATGACGTCCACCTAGCTAGTGTTGTGTAAATGACGTCCACCTAGCTAGTGTTGTGTAAATGACACACCGGGTGGGGATGATCCAGCACATCCCCCCCCCTAGGGCGTGGCTAGACAACCTATTGAAGCCCACTAAATCAAGGGCATTAACTCGACTTAACACTCTTATTTAAAGTTACTTCCCTTTGTTCTGACACCTCCCATTTTTTAAGGCAATTACCCGAGTTAAAAAATACTTTCTGACGGTTTATTTGTGAACTGCTCCACGCAGTCCCCGCCCCGAGAGTACTTGTGACGTCACCACAATGATAGCTACGCCCGTCTACTCATCGCTAAATTAAAGAGCAGGCCGACCCTACCACACGGGTCAACCCACCCACCCATACGGGTCAACCCGCCCACCCACACGGGTCAACAAACTAATAAAATATTCTTCACAGTTTGGAATTACTTTTTTACACAACAAAAATAAGAACATTATACCCACCTTACCATTACACTTTGTCATTCACCATTACACTTTGTCATTCACTATTACACTTACCTCACCATTACACTTTGCCATTCATCATTACAAGTAGTCACTCAATGTCACTCACAGATGAATGAAGCCGATGCTGTACATGTAATCAGGTATACCTGTACCTGGCTGACAGCTGACAATGCCCAGAGCACGTTGGGTTTCACATGAGTTGTTTTACATGGAGACCAATTGCAGGTTGCTGCAGCTGATAATACTAGGTTGTGGTTGCTGATTTTGGGCTGGCTTGTGATAGTGATCTAGGTAGCGGGAATATAAAGACACACACACATATATATAATATTATATATATATATATATATATATATATATATATATATATATATATATATATATATATATATATATATATATATATATGCGTTTAATATTGTAGATAGTAGCACTGAATATGAAACTTTATCTTAAAAAAGAGACAATTTAAATAATTTGTTTACCTGTAATTTAATACAAATTTATCAAGTAAATTGCTAGTTTAGAAAATGCTCGGAATAAAAGAAGACGTTTGTTTTGAGTGGGCACCTATGAAATTATTCCGTCGTAATCATTGTTACTTCCAGACTTTCTTCTCCAAGGGGTAGGGGGGGGGGTGATGTGGGGGCACTTGATAATTTCGGTGAGGGGGGGGGGGGAAGAAACTCTGGTCGTAATGATGTTGTCGTTTGCCTGCTTGTCCTGTTTCAGTATCGCTACCTATATATATATATATATATATATATATATATATATATATATATATATATATATATATATATATATATATATATATATATATATACGAAGTGTCTACTCGGAAGAAGATTTTTCTCGCCAACGTCTCCACTTAGTCGGCAAAAGATAGCTCTGCGCATGCGCAGTGACCTATGGCTAGGGTTAGCGCTAGAATGAGGGTTAGGGGTAGGATTAGGGATAGGGTTAGGGATAGGATTGGGGCTAGGGTTAGGGATAGGATTAGGGATAGGGTTAAGGATAGGATTAGGGTTGGTGTTAGGGTTCTGCGGTTGTAAACACACGCATGCGCAGTACCATCGAAAACATCGCCGCTAAGGCAAGTCGTAGTTTCTCTCCATTGCGCATGCGTATCGCATGCGTATCTTATTCCGGCTAGAATCGGCCTTTATATTATACGCACATTTTCATGTTTATTTGGTGCGCAATTATTTTGAGTCTCGAGACTCTACTATATCAAAAAAAATTAAGTGCTGAAGAAAATGCATTTAAAACCGTTTAATAACAAGCTTTTATGTAACAATGAACTTAAAAAGAGAAAATAAATTATTTTATTTTAATATTTAATAATATACTACCATTTAAAGAAAAGCGGGGACTACTATATTAATATTTTTTATTACTTATTTTTTATTAATGACTTTACTAAACTTTTCTTTTTAGTTATCTAAATAGTAGTGTAGTATTATTTACTACCAGTCCCGGTCAGACTATGCACTGGCCTTCGTAAAAATTCTATCTGTAAAGGACCGTGAGTTGTGTGTGTGTAGTAAGCAGTATATGCCCGCTATTGTCCAGGTTTAGGAAAGATTTTACTATTCTAATTAAATAACACATAACCCTAACCACAACCAACCACACCAAAACGCAAAAGCAAACGCAAACACGCATGCAAACAGAAACAATAACAAACACAAACGCAAATACAAACAAAAACACAAACGCAAAAGTAACACTAACAAAAACGCAGACACGAACGCTAACTCAAACATAAACGCAAACAAAGAGGACATTTAAGAACATCTTCTAAACTGTTATTGATAAAAAAAATCTCCTAGCAGCCCCCTCTATTCCTCTCTAGGCATATCGCTACCACCCCCACCCCCACATGGTCTGGTGAGCTGTGGTTCACGGTAAAAAGTGAGGGTGAGGACCATCGTCCTTCACGAACTACCGATATTGTTGTAAAGCAAAATATTTTCAGTCGCAGCATTGGTAGTTTCGAATTCACAAATTGTGAATTACTGAAAAATTATCTATATATATATATATAAAATTCTCTTCGGAGACGCTAGAAAACAAGCTGTAAGCGCGCTCCCTACCACCCCCACCCCTACATGGTCTGGTGAGCTGTGGTTCACTCTAAATGTTTACAAACAGAGCCGGGTTTAGTGACGACTATTAGGGGCAGATAGTTTAGTTTGAAACGATTTTAAAAGTGGGGGGGGGGGGGGGGGGGGGGGGTAACTAAGTGGAGTTTACTTTAACGGAGGGGGTGGGGGGGGGGGGTATCGTCCTTAACGAGCTACTTATAGTGTTTTAAAGAAATATTTTCAGTGTCAGCGTTGGTAGTGTCGAATTCACACATTATGAATAACTGAAAAGTAGAAAAAAAAAAACAACAACTAAATAGCGGCGTATGATATGCCGCGGGTCGGCTCGTATATATATATATATATATATATAATTCTCTTCTGGGAGACGCTAGAAAACAAGCTGTAAGCGCGCCTTGCAGTCCCCTCTCTTCCTATCTAGGACGTTGCAAGTCAGCTAGTAATAATTAGTAAACTATACATTTAGTGTATAAAATAAAAAGGTAGTATTTAAAATGCCTGTGTTTTTCCTACCACATTGCACTTGATCAAACCATTCTAATAGATAATAATTTTTTCCAACATCAAAGCAAAACAAAAAAAGTATTTTTTTTCCTGCTTTATTTTGGAAGCAATTGTTACAAAGGGACGTAATTTGTATACTTTTTTCAAACAAAATTAGTAATTTTGTAAAGGATAGTAAATTTAGTTTAATTTTGTTCTTTACACATTATGTCAATTAAAATGATAAATTGTCAAATAAAAAATTCGTTTGAAAATGATAAATATTGAGTTTTTTTATCATTATTTTAAATTTACGTATAAAAATGAACACTAGAAATATTACACAACGGCAAACAAATCGAGTTTTTTTTTTACCACATGCAGGTCCGCTACAGAGTCCATTTCATCTTTATTAGATTTAAAGAAAATCATTTTTTCTCCTTTTAGAGCATTATTACATAAAAGCTTGTTATCAAATCGTTTTACGTATTTTTTTTCGTGTGGTTATGGATGATGCTCTGGTTTTATTATGTGCCAGCAAGCACCAAATATTGCTGCAGCTAGCACCGAGCTATACATTAGCTGCGACTTACCTACAAACACCTGCGGTCATAGCTCACAAGTGTGAGATCGTTCGCTCACCTTTATTCAGATCACCTTTTGTCAGATCACCTTTAATCAAATCACCACAATTCATTTGCACACACCTGTCCTTAACCCCCCCCCCCCCCCCCACCCACCCCTGCATTCAGCACGCTCCGACATGTCTTATCTGATTCTAGAAGATGCTTTACTGCACCCCACCCCAACTTCTATACCCTCCAATTAATTCCACCCTTCCCCTCCCCCCACCCTTCCCCCACCACCCACCCTTCCCCCCACCACCCACCCTTCCCCCACCACCCACCCTCCCCCGCCCCACCCACAAGTCTGCAGCACTTAGCGCCTAGACAATAGAAAGTGGGGATCCAGCGCACGGTGGTTTGTGCTCGCCCAATGAGCGACAACTCGTGTTTGTAAAAGATTTAATAGTCAGGCCGCGATCAAATCTCTAGGCTAACATTAGCTGTGGCCAGACCAAGGTGGATTTTTGCTGAGCTGGTTCATTGAAAGATGAGTTGCACTTCATATCGAGGTAAGGTCTTATCTCATTAGTGAACAGATCAAATCTGTCGGGGAGGTGGCGAGTGTAATCACAACTTTGTTACCAAAGTTGACGTTAATTAGTCGTATCGATACCGCTAATACTAATCCTAATCTGTTTTATGGGACGATAGGGATTATACTAATCCTAATCTATTTTATGGGACGATAGGGATAATACTAATCCTAATGTATTTTATGGGACAATAGGGATAATGCGTTCAGTCTGTAGAATTAACTTAAATAAATCTGGCGTTTAAAATGTGTCTGAGTGTATCACTTCTTCATTGTATACAAGAAATTTTAAAAGTTTAGAGTAAACTTATTGTTGTACCTACAGAAATAACTAAACTTTGGCACGCGAATATTATGTACACGAATATTATGTTTACTGCTATGTTATGTGTACACGAATATTTATTGTACTGCTATGTTATGTGTACACAGATATTATGTGTACTGCTATGTTATGTGTACACGAATATTGTGTGTACTGCTTTGTTATGTGTACACGAATATTGTGTGTACTGCTTTGTTATGTGTACACGAATATTGTGTGTACTGCTTTGTTATGTGTACACGAATATTGTGTGTACTGCTTTGTTATGTGTACACGAATATTGTGTGTACTGCTTTGTTATGTGTACACGAATATTGTGTGTACTTCTATGTTATGTGTACACGAATATTGTGTGTACTGCTTTGTTATGTGTACACGAATATTGTGTGTACTTCTATGTTATGTGTACACGAATATTGTGTGCTAAAGGTGAGATAACTGTGGCAACAAACTGTGAGCAAACACACAGGGGTCTGTGTGAAAACTTTAGGGGTCTGTGTGATAACTTTAGGGGTCTGTGTGAAAACTTTAGGGGTCTGTGTGAAAACTTTAGGGGTCTGTGTGAAAACTTTAGGGGTCTGTGTGAAAACTTTAGGGGTCTGTGTTATAACTTTAGGGGTCTGTGTGAAAACTTTAGGGGTCTGTGTGAAAACTTTAGGGGTCTGTGTGAAAACTTTAGGGGTCTGTGTGAAAACTTTAGGGGTCTGTGTTATAACTTTAGGGGTCTGTGTGAAAACTTTAGGGGTCTGTGTGAAAACTTTAGGGGTCTGTGTGAAAACTTTAGGGGTCTGTGTTATAACTTTAGGGGTCTGTGTGATAACCAATACATGTAACAAATTTGATGACCTTGACCTTAGCAGAAGACGTCTGTATGAATGTTCAAACAGGGCTATGTGTGTATACGTTTGTTTGTCTGTGTTTATGGGTGTGTGTGTGTATGTGTAGGCTGTATATGTATTTATGCACATGTGTCTGTGTGGGTGTATGCGCGCGTGTGTGACAGTTGGGTAGCGTCCCCTTACTAGACTGTGAACTCACCCTGATTAACTACCTCGCTTTTTGTCTATCGGTAATTACTTCCTCTATCCAATTAAATTAATTTTGTGACCTACTCTATCTTGGGCTACCTAATTAAAGGTAGCACTAATCAACTCATTAGCCAATTAATTAAACCAGACCGTTGAGTAAATAAAAACAAACCGCGGCGTCAGGACTAGACAGACCCTAGGATACACACAGGAAAATCATGTCTCGCTTATCTCCTATTCTCTCAGTTTTAAATTGACCTGATTGGTTTATCTCATTTTTTAAAAGTAAATCAGTTCGCCAGCCAGAGCTAGAGAAGCCATTTAAAACGTAAATAAGATGTGAACAAAACGAAATGTCTGGAACTTCGACCCCCCTGTTGCCAGACTTGCAGGATGTATTTATTTTCTACGCAATAGAAAATTGCTGATATGATCTGAAGCACAATACGTAGGTTTACAGTGCTGGGTGTGGGGGTGTGAGGGTGTGTGTGAGGTTGTTACCTTGTGTGGTATCGTATAGTGTTGTATGATGGTGTCTTGTGGTGTATGATGGTGTATGTATGAGTCGACATCTACTAATGTCGTGTGGCGTTGTGTGGTGTTGTGATGTTGTGTATTGTGGTGTTGTATGATGGTGTAGGTGTGAGTCGGCGTCTACTGAGTTCTGGCGACTGGCTCGCTGCGCCTTTTATTCCCTGTGTCCCCCACAGTGAGATCATTTTGTTCTTGACTCAGCCAGCCTAGAGTACCCAGCATGCTGCTAGTTGGTGACGTGACTATGCATGTAACCAGTCACCTAACCCTAATCCCAACCTGCTGTGTTGCCGCTCTATAAACTCTCGCTGGGTTGTCCCCCATGCTGAGGAAAATATTTTTTTAGACTAACAAAAACATTGACGTTGACAAGGTCTAGGCTACCAATGTTATGTTTAATATTAGAAAGGATACTAGAACAATCAATCGCGTGCAGGTAGGTATGTGACGTCACGCCGTGCAATTATGTGCTTTGACGAGGTCATGATATGTAACAATAAACCTATGGTGACGTAGTCGTGGTGTTTGTGTTTCTAGGCCGACCCCCTCACCCCCACCCTCAGCTTTGATGTATAGAGAGGACAGGCTCGCCAAGTAGCGCCTATAGACAGGTAGCGAAGGCTATCAACAGTGATAGGAAGCAAAGCAGATTATTCTGAGGTAGCACTGCATTGACATAAGTACATTACAGGGAGTAGTCTTTGAGGTTTAGATAGCCCCCCACACATGTAGCTCCCCACACATGTAGCCCCCCCCCCCTACTGTGAGGTGTAGTAACACAGCTGGATGCGGATGTCTTGGATGCTGCCGTCAGGGTGCCAGTCGTTCTCGTAGCGGTCGTGGTTGGCGCCGTTAGCCGTGTCAATCAGGATCCACTCCCGGCGCTCCGACATGCCGGCAACCAACTGGCACTCACGGCCGAACCGGTACAGGTAGAACGGTTTGCCGGTCGGCAGGTCGATGGCCTCTTGCGCCGTGCTGTCGTTACGACAGCAGTAGTAGATCTGCGTGTCTGTCGTGTAGGTGCCGTCGGGAACCGACCCCGACACCTGGTCCTGCTGGCTGCCGTTGTCGTCGATGAAGATGAAACCGGAATTGAAGCCGGCCGGACAAGCCCCGCCCTTCCGGTTGATGCAGTAGGATCCCCTGGGCCAGGCCGGTCCCGTGGACGGCATGTCGACCATGCAGAATCTCTGGTAGAAGTAGTGGTCAGTGTTGACCGTCTGCATGACCGGCGTGGCCATGTGGCCGTTAGGGGAAATCTCGTCCAAGTTTTGACCGGAAACCGTGTGGTGCCGGCGATATCCTCTAAACCAGGTCGCCTGGCCGGTGTTTTCCGGACAACTGGTGTTGGGCTCATACAAGCCGTACGTGCCTTCCGGCCAAACCAAGTTGCCGGTCGTCGCTGTTGTTGTTGCCGTGGTCGTGTCGGTTACCATGGTTACAGTGGGAGAAATGGTCTGAGCAGTTGTTGTAGCAGGAACTGACGTCACGCCCTGCTCAAGGACGGTGACCCTGGCGTCGAGTTCCTCAACCTTCTGCACGAGAGAGCTGATCTGGCTGCTGAGGTTCATCTGCAGGCTGGTGATGAGGTTGAGCTCGCCGATCTGGTTCTCCCTGATGATGTTGATGATGTCTGACATCTCCTGACGCGTGTGGCTCTTGAAGTCATCCAGTGCCTGCTGCAGCGGCGCCGTCTGGTTCCTGATCATCTCCGCCACGACGGCAGACGACAGCCCGCTCTCCTTGAAGGACACCGTCGGCGTCTTCTCCACGACAAAGTCGTCTGCCGCGTCCATACCCACCAGCTCACACCTGTACACGCCCAGGATCTCAGACGTGATGCTGTTCCAGCTGACCTTGAGGAAGGTCACGTCCGGCGACCCGATCTGACCCCAGGCCGTGACCCCGGGGGTGACGTGGGCCTGAGGGTCGTAGTCCAGCAGCTCCGCCACCAGGGTCCAGCCGCCGGCCGTCTGCTTGTCGACCCTGACCCGGTGCACCTCCACGATGCTGGTGCTGGTGCTAGGCTCGTGCCGGCACTCGAGGGTGGCGCTAGGGGTCAGGCTCAGGTCCAGGAACTCTGGCACCGCTAGCAGCTGGAACTGTTGCGTCACGGCTAGAGCTGCAGCTAAACACAGCAAGGTCTCAGCTAGACGTGACGTCATCTGAAACAAAAAGTTTCGGTCAAGTAGTGGTCAGATATTGGTCAGATATTCGTTAGATATTGGTCAGATATTGGTCAGATATTGGTCAGATATTGGTCAGATATTTGTCAGATATTGGTCAGATATTCGTTAGATATTGGTCAGATATTGGTCAGATATTGGTCAGATATTGGTCAGATATTTGTCAGATATTGGTCAGATATTGGTCAGATATTGGTCAGATATTGGTCAGATATTCGTTAGATATTGGTCAGATATTCGATAGATATTGGTCAGATATTCGTTAGATATTCGATAGATATTAGTCAGATAATGGTCATTATATTGGTCAGACAATGGTCAACATTGTGTGACGGTACACCACTCCTATGTGGAGTACACAATGATTGGATGTACCAGACACGAGAGATGTACAAACTATGTCCTAATTAACGTAAAGACAAAAACTATTAGAACTAATTACTACACCAACTAATCAGATAATTAGCTACATCATCATGAAAGTTTACATTTATCTGAAAACTGTCCAAAAATGTCCTATGTCCACCACCAATATTTACCTTCAGCAATTGAAACTTGTCTGATGACAGACGACAAAAAGTTGACGTTCTGCTGTCAGTGCCGTCCAGGTAATCTCAGGTATGACATCTGTCATGGTCACGTGGTGGCCGAGTGTACTTGATGCCCTCGTCTTATCTGACGACATCTGTTTTCTACACGATTTTTTCCAACAGCCCCACCCCCACCCTCAACTTACACAAGATTTATTTTACAACGGCCCCACCCCTCACCACACACATGCACACAAACACAATTTTTTCCTACAGCCCCACCCCCACCCCCACCCTAACCCTCAACCCACACATGTTTCTGACATACTGACCAGCTCTGTCATACAGGCTAGGACTGTCCAACATACTGTCTGTCATAAGTCTAGAACTGTCCAACATACCGTTTGTCATAGGGCTAGGACTGTCCAACATACTGTCTGTCATACAGGCTAGGACTGTCCAACATACTGTCTGTCATAAGTCTAGAACTGTCCAACATACCGTTTGTCATAGGGCTAGGACTGTCCAACATACTGTCTGTCCTACAGGCTAGGACTGTCCAACATACTGTCTGTCATAGGGCTAGGACTGTCCAACATACTGTCATAGGGCTAGGACTGTCCAACATACTGTCATAAGGCTAGGACTGTCCAACATACTGTCATAGGGCTAGGACTGTCCAACATACTGTCTGTCATAAAGCTATGACTGTCCAACATACTGTCATAAGGCTAGGACTGTCCAACATACTGTCATAGGGCTAGGACTGTCCAACATACTGTCTGTCATAAGTCTAGGACTGTCCAACATACTGTCTGTCATAGGGCTAGGACTGTCCAACATACTGTCATAAGGCTAGGACTGTCCAACATACTGTCATAGGGCTAGGACTGTCCAACATACTGTCTGTCATAAAGCTATGACTGTCCAACATACTGTCATAAGGCTAGGACTGTCCAACATACTGTCATAGGGCTAGGACTGTCCAACATACTGTCTGTCATACAGGCTAGGACTGTCCAACATACTGTCTGTCATAAGTCTAGGACTGTCCAACATACTGTCTGTCATAGGGCTAGGACTGTCCAACATACTGTCTGTCATACAGGCTAGGACTGTCCAACATACTGTCTGTCATAAGTCTAGGACTGTCCAACATGCTGTCATAGGGCTATGGATAACGTTGTAAAATGCTCTCTGTAAACCCACCAAACGAGACACAAATAGACATACAGACACACAGATGCCCCAACAGATACAGACAGACTCACAAACACACTCAGACACAAACACAAACACAGACACACTCAGACACGCACAAACACACTCAGACACAAACACACACACACTCAGACACAAACACACACACACTCAGACACAAACACAGACACACAACCCTACAGAACGACGGGGTGGTAAACAATGAAGGTGATTAAGCTCTGACTGTTCGTTTATATTTCAAGCTTTGTTATCTTATGGGAAACATTTCATGCTTTGTTATCTTATGGGAAACATTTCATGCTTTGTTATCTTAAGGGAAACATTTCAAGCTTTGTTATGTTATGGGAAACATTTCAAGCTTTGTTATCTTAAGGGAAACATTTCAAGCTTTGTTATGTTATGGGAAAACTTTCAAGCTTTGTTATCGTAAGGGAAACATAAATACATCGTTTTTTCTTCAATATCTATATATATAATTCTCTTCTGGGAGACGCAAAAAAACAAGCTGCAAACGCGCTCCCTACCATCCCCACCCCTACATGGTTTGGTGAGCTGTGGTTCACTCTAAATGTTTACAAACAGATCCGGGTTTAGTGACGACTATTAGGGGCAGATAATTTAGTTTGAAATTATTTTAAACTTAGGGGGGGGGGGGGGGGGGGGTAACTAAGTGGAGTTTACTTTAATGGAGGGGGGGGGGTAAGGAGGGGGGGGGGGTTATCGTCCTTAACGAGCTCTTTATAGTGTTTTAAAGAAATATTTTCAGTGGCAGCGTTGGTAGTGTCGAATTCACAAATTATGAATAACTGAAAAGTAGAAAAAACAACAACTAAATAGCGGCGTATGATACGCTGCGGGTCGGCTCGTTATATTTAATTCAACAAAATGAAAAAAAAAACAGGTATGTTACAGGTAGAAGCCAATAGGAAGCAGAACCTGTTTTCACAAAATTATAATTGTTTTTATTAATTAATTAAAACAGTTAATTTAATTAATTTTCACGTGGGCCACATTTCTTTTCAACAATACATCAGTAATCGCCCTACATCAGTACATCAGTAATCGCCCTACATCAGTACATCAGTAATCGCCCTACATCAATACATCAGTAGTCGCCCAACATCAATACCTCAGTAATCGTCCTAAATCAATACCTCAGTAATCGCCCTACATCAATACCTCAGTAATCGTCCTAAATTAATACCTCAGTAATCGCCCTACATCAATACATCAGTAGTCGCCCAACATCAATACCTCAGTAATCGTCCTACATCAATACCTCAGTAGTCGCCCAACATCAATACCTCAGTAATCGCCCTACATCGATACATCAGTAATCGCCCTACATCAATACATCAGTAATCGCCCAACATCAATACCTCAGTAATCGTCCTTCATCAAATAACTAAACAGCCATTTTTAGAATTTAAAAAGTAACAACGTGTTAGGGTGCCCAGATATACTTATCTACTTCAAGCATAATTCTGCTTTGAGCAAACAAACCCAGATATACTTATCTACTTCAAGCATAATTCTGCTTTGAGCAAACAAACCCAGATATACTTATCTACTTCAAGCATAATTCTGCTTTGAGCAAACAAACGGCACACGTCAAATGTTTGCTCCTCACAAAAAGTCGTATAACGAATATCTCCATCAGCGTAAAACGAAGCAGTCACCTGTAGCTGTGTCCTGGGGGACTAAATGGATCTACCTGTCGCTTACACCTGTCGCTTACTTCTGCCAGTTATGTAATGATGTAAGGACATGAAGCTGTATTTACCACGCTAAAGGTCAAAGCTGCAACATCACCAGCAAGCATCGGAACGCCAGACAGAACCATTTCCGTTAAAGGTTAACGCCTCAGGCAGCACGTCTTGGGGTGTTTAGCCGGGGTGGGGTGGGCTGGGGTGGGCTGGGGTGTGAAAACATTGGCGGGGTGTGGCTTCATGGGGCGCGTGTTTTGTTTTTAATGTTCGTCTGCTGTAGAAGGTGGTGTGTGTGTGTGTGGGGGGGGGGGGGGGGGTAGACATGCAGATATGAGTTCAATGCATGCCTCTCTAGGGGGGGGGGGGTGTGGGGGTGTGCATGCCTCTCTAAGCCATGACTTTGTCGTGAGTTGTTTGATGCTGGATTGCATGACACCAGGCTCCAGACAAGCTTACCACAGGTAGGGACAAGCTTACCACAGGTAGGGACAAGCTTACCACAGGTAGGGACAAGCTTACCACAGGTAGGGACAAGCTTACCACAGGTAGGGACAAGCTTACCACAGGTAGGGACAAGCTTACCACAGGTAGGGACAAGTTTACCACAGGTAGGGACAAGCTTACCACAGGTAGGGACAAGCTTACCACAGGTAGGGACAAGTTTACCACAGGTAGGGACAAGCTTACCACAGGTAGGGACAAGCTTACCACAGGTAGGGACAAGCTTACCACAGGTAGGGACAAGCTTACCACAGGTAGGGACAAGCTTACCACAGGTAGGGACAAGCTTACCACAGGTAGGGACAAGCTTACCACAGGTAGGGACAAGCTTACCACAGGTAGGGACAAGCTTACCACAGGTAGGGACAAGCTTACCACAGGTAGGGACAAGCTTACCACAGGTAGGGACAAGCTTACCACAGGTAGGGACAAGCTTACCACAGGTAGGGACAAGCTTACCACAGGTAGGGACAAGCTTACCACAGGTAGGGACAAGCTTACCACAGGTAGGGACAAGCTTACCACAGGTAGGGACAAGCTTACCACAGGTAGGCTGTTGTTTGATGAAACGTCCAGCTCAAAACTTCAATACTACCTAATACCTCAACTGTCAGACATCAAACCTACTGACATCAAGACAAGTGACATCAAGAATACTGACATCAAGACGACTGACATCAAGACAAGTGACATCAAGACAAGTGACATCAAGACGACTGACATCAAGACGACTGACATCAACCTACTGACATTAAGACGAATGACATCAGGATTCAGTAATTGAAGGCACTTGTGGTGACGTAAGAACAATTATTATTTTGAAAATATTTTTTTGCGTGATGTAAACAAAGATTATAAACATAACACCGTGGCTGTCTGTGAATATCTGCCAGGCTAGCCGTGTTATCTGCTCCTGAAAAAGATTCCAGTCCAAGTTTACCTCGGGGAGAAAATAGCAGTTAATCTGCCAGCTATCGCATCCTTTTTCATAGACTCTACAGGTCCCACATATTTACTCAGCGGGTCCCACATATTTACTCAGCGGTCCCCACATTTGTACTCAGCGGTCCCCACATTTGTACTCAGCGGTCCCCACATTTGTACTCAGCGGTCCCCACATTTGTACTCAGCGGTCCCCACATTTGTACTCAGCGGTCCCCACATTTGTACTCAGCGGTCCCCACATTTGTACTCAGCGGTCCCCACATTTGTACTCAGCGGTCCCCACATTTGTACTCAGCGGTCCCCACATTTGTACTCAGCGGTCCCCACATTTGTACTCAGCGGTCCCCACATTTGTACTCAGCGGTCCCCACATTTGTACTCAGCGGTCCCCACATTTGTACTCAGCGGTCCCCACATTTGTACTCAGCGGTCCCCACATTTGTACTCAGCGGGTCCCACATTTGTACTCAGCGGTCCCCACATTTGTACTCAGCGGTCCCCACATTTGTACTCAGCGGTCCCCACATTTGTACTCAGCGGTCCCCACATTTGTACTCAGCGGTCCCCACATTTGTACTCAGCGGTCCCCACATTTGTACTCAGCGGTCCCCACATTTGTACTCAGCGGTCCCCACATTTGTACTCAGCGGTCCCCACATTTGTACTCAGCGGTTCCCACATTTGTACTCAGCGGTCCCCACATTTGTACTCAGCGGTCCCCACATTTGTACTCAGCGGTCCCCACATTTGTACTCAGCGGTCCCCACATTTGTACTCAGCGGTCCCCACATTTGTACTCAGCGGTCCCCACATTTGTACTCAGCGGTCCCCACATTTGTACTCAGCGGTCCCCACATTTGTACTCAGCGGTCCCCACATTTGTACTCAGCGGTCCCCACATTTGTACTCAGCGGTCCCCACATTTGTACTCAGCGGTCCCCACATTTGTACTCAGCGGTCCCCACATTTGTACTCAGCGGTCCCCACATTTGTACTCAGCGGTCCCCACATTTGTACTCAGCGGTCCCCACATTTGTACTCAGCGGTCCCCACATTTGTACTCAGCGGTCCCCACATTTGTACTCAGCGGTCCCCACATTTGTACTCAGCGGTCCCCACATTTGTACTCAGCGGTCCCCACATTTGTACTCAGCGGTCCCCACATTTGTACTCAGCGGTCCCCACATTTGTACTCAGCGGTCCCCACATTTGTACTCAGCGGTCCCCACATTTGTACTCAGCGGTCCCCACATTTGTACTCAGCGGTCCCCACATTTGTACTCAGCGGTCCCCACATTTGTACTCAGCGGTCCCCACATTTGTACTCAGCGGTCCCCACATTTGTACTCAGCGGTCCCCACATTTGTACTCAGCGGTCCCCACATTTGTACTCAGCGGTCCCCACATTTGTACTCAGCGGTCCCCACATTTGTACTCAGCGGTCCCCACATTTGTACTCAGCGGTCCCCACATTTGTACTCAGCGGTCCCCACATTTGTACTCAGCGGTCCCCACATTTGTACTCAGCGGGTCCCACATTTGTACTCAGCGGGTCCCAAATTTGTACTCAGCGGTCCCCACATTTGTACTCAGCGGTCCCCACATTTGTACTCAGCGGTCCCCACATTTGTACTCAGCGGGTCCCACATTTGTACTCAGCGGTCCCCACATTTGTACTCAGCGGTCCCCACATTTGTACTCAGCGGTCCCCACATTTGTACTCAGCGGTCCCCACATTTGTACTCAGCGGTCCCCACATTTGTACTCAGCGGTCCCCACATTTGTACTCAGCGGTCCCCACATTTGTACTCAGCGGTCCCCACATTTGTACTCAGCGGTCCCCACATTTGTACTCAGCGGTCCCCACATTTGTACTCAGCGGTCCCCACATTTGTACTCAGCGGGTCGTACATTTGTACTCAGCGGTTCCCATATTTGTACTCAGCGGTTCACATATTGATACCCATTTATTTTTACTTCAGTTGCGTCAACATGAGTCACAATTTTGTTGCGGCTTATGTATGGGGCTGGTGTGTGTGTGTGTGGTTTGTGTGTGTGGTTTGTGTGTGTGGTTTGTGTGTGTGTGGTTTGTGTGTGTGATTTGTGTGTGTGTGGTTTGTGTGTGTGGTTTGTGTGTGTGTGTGGTTTGTGTGTGTGGTTTGTGTGTGTGTGGTTTGTGTGTGTGGTTTGTGTGTGTGGTTTGTGTGTGTGGTTTGTGTGTGTGTGGTTTGTGTCTGTGTGGTTTGTCTGTGTGGTTTGTGTGTGGTTTGTGTGTGGTTTGTGTGTGTTGGGCTGGTGTGAGGGGTTTGTGTGAGTGGTTTGTGTGTGTGGTTTGTGTGTGGTTTGTGTGTGGTTTGTGTGTGTTGGGCTGGTGTGAGGGGTTTGTGTGAGGGGTTTGTGTGAGTGGTTTGTGTGTGTGGTTTGTGTGTGTGGTTTGTGTGTGTGGTTTGTGTGTGTGGTTTGTGTGTGGTTTGTGTGTGTGGTTTGTGTGTTTGTCTTGTGGTGCTTATTGATGACGTATTGTTAAACATTGTCCATGACGTCACAGTGTCCCATGTCACAACGACCTAGCGACTGACCTTATCTCTCTATCCGGCTGCTCTAAGCGCGTGCAATATCTCAGCACTGAGATAACCTCAGCTGCTCACGCGTGACCTCTAGACCAACCAGACGGTGAGGAGACATGCTGCATGCTGGGACACGTTGACCAGACCACGCCCCTTTCATACCAAGCCACGCCCCTGTTATGTTAAGTCCCGCCTATAGGTCTTAACAATAGATGAAAATAAGCATTAACGTCACTTGCAACACGAGGTGCTATTAATAGCCTGCCCACAGGTATGTTGTCAGGGGTCCCCAAACTTTTCAGCCCGAGGGCCGCATTTACTATCAAATATCGGTTCGTGGGCCCCAACATATTTGGGGTCCAAGTTTGTTCTCAAATTGTTCTTCACGTATTTCATCCTTGAAAATGTTTGTTCACACAGGTATGTTGTTCCAAAAATAGAAAGGTACCTTGATGCAAAAATTTTGACATTAGGAAAGTCTTTCTTGGGCAAAACCTTGTAAAAAACCAACGGTCATTCTTTGAACGTGTCCCTTAGGTGGTCATTTTCTTGCAACCCAATGACCTCCAGCTGCACTTTACCTGAAAAAACTTGAGTCAGAAAACCGCTGCTGAAACTGCAGCTGGAGGTATTTGATGGTCTTGCATGCAAATGACGTGGGGAACTCAGCTGTTATTTCAGCAATTAAGACATTGCACTGCTGTAAGTTCGTCAAGTTGTTGGCCTTTACTTGTTAAATAAAACAAGACAAGTTTGGATCTGACGCCCTTTGGAAGGGTGTATATATCAGATTTTTCTTTCCTTGTATTGTAACATGTTAAATCGTGCGATTCTATGTCTGTATCTTTCCTCCATCAATTGTCAGGTAACTGAGGTTAGTCCATGCTAATTTATAATCAGCAAATGTTGTTTTTTTCAACTCATTGAATAAATCGATTCATCCATTGCAATTGAAAAATGGCGAAACTTGCTTGCATTTGTCGATATTTAAGTCACAATGTTTTCACCAATGTCTGCAACACGGTGGGCAATGGTATCTGCACCTAAATCTACATTTTCATATTGTTTTGACTTTGCTGGACAAAGTTCCAGCACCTCCACGGGCCGGATGGAAAGGCCTCGCGGGCCGCATCTGGCCCACGGGCCGTAGTTTGGAGACCCCTGGAGTTCAGATGATTAAAACGTGACGTCTGCTGATAGCAGGTAGATGATTGCAGGTAGATGATTGCAGGTAGATGATTGCAGGTAGATGATTGCAGGTAGATGATTGCAGGTAGATGATTGCAGGTAGATGATTGCAGGTAGATGGTTGAAGGTAGATGATTGCAGGTAGATGATTGTAGGTAGATGATTGCAGGTAGATGATTGCAGGTAGATGATTGCAGGTAGATGATGGCAGGTAGATGATTGCAGGTAGATGATTGCAGGTAGATGATTGCAGGTAGATGATTGTAGGTAAAAAATCTACTCCTTGTTGTCAGAAACAATCAGCATTAGCCGCGTGATGATGTCGACAGTTGGAACTGTGAACTTGGTGAACCCACAAGTGATGATGTCGTGATGATGTCGTGATGATGTCGTGATGATGTCGTGATGATGTCGACAGTTGGAACTGTGAACTTGGTTAACCCACAAGTGAACCAGTTAGTGAACACATCCACAATTAGTCAAACTGTTATCATTGAGTCAGTCAGTCAGTCAGTCAGTCAGTCAGTCAGTCAGTCAGTCAGTCAGTCAGTCAGTCAGTCAGCCAGCCGACCGACTGACATGTATATATATATATATATATATATATATATATATATATATATATATATATATATATATATATATATATATATATACACACACACACATATATATATATATATATATATATATATATATATATATATATATGTGTGTGTGTGTGTGCGTATGTGTGTGTGTGTGCGTGTATCGTAATAAAACGGCCTGCCCACTAATGTTAGTTTTAAGAAATGGACTATTTGTTTAACAAGTATAATTAATTATATTTTTAATATTAATTTACATTGAAAGAAAACGACAGAGCTTTCATTACATAACCCCACAGAGTTAAGAACAGAGTTTCTTCCAGACATCTTTTCGGGGTAGGGGGTAGAAGACTTATTGTCCGGGGTCCTCTGGCCAATGCTATCGGTGCTTTAGTCCGGAGTTTTATATTGACCGTTTCCTTGTTGTTGATGGTCATTTTATGAGGTCGTATTGTCAGGTCCCAAATTTTCGGGTATGGATTTTGGGGTGGGGTGTGGGGGGGGGGGGGGGGGGGGGGCTGGGCCAAACTGTCTGTACCTCATCGTCGGGTCAAATTTGTCACGGCGATGGTCACAGCACTTATGTCCTTGTTTAACAAAGTGATCAAAGCAAGTCTAACAAATTGATCAAAGCAAGTCTAACAAAGTGATCAAAGCAAGTCTAACAAATTGATCAAAGCAAGTCTAACAAAGTGATCAAAGCATGTCTAACAAATTGATCAAAGCAAGTCTAACAAATTGATCAAAGCAAGTCTAACAAAGTGATCAAAGCAAGTCTAACAAATTGATCAAAGCAAGTCTAACAAAGTGATCAAAGCATGTCTAACAAAGTGATCAAAGTCTAACGCATGTTTCCTCTCTACCTCCACAGACACGTGAGGTACTACGACAAGGGCCTTAACTCAGAGGGTTTCTTTCATCTTCACTCAAGGGACGCTATCGTGGATTATTCAACAACTCCAACAAGCGCCACAGACACCATCAGTTTCACACAAACAGCCGTCAAGGGCCACAACTGATTGTCGTCGAGTGATTTCCCCTTTGAGCCAGAGTTATGCCGCTTACATACGTCACCAGCTGTTTGTTGATGCTAGTCGCCGTGCTGGGTGCTGAGGCGAAGGGGCGGACTCGGCGGTCTACACACAACACACCACCTGGGTAAGTTGCCAACTAGGTCAATTAAGTAGGTCAACACAACACACCACCTGGGTAAGTAGGTCAACACACAACACACCACCTGGGTAAGTTGGCAACTAGGTCAATTAAGTAGGTCAACTCACCGCACCATACGGGTAATCGGTTAACTAGGTCATTAAAGTAGGTAAATAAATACCAAGAAAATTGTTAATTTGGTTGATTAAGTTAATTAATTGATCACACAGCAACATAAAGTATAACTCGATAACTAGGTCAGTAGAGTAGGTCAACATAGAACAGTTAATCTGATTGGCTTGTGATGTAGATGTATTTTTAAATGACATTGCAAAATTTTCGGAACTACTTTGAGGCATGTAGAGAATATGACAAGTTGTTTGAAGTCACAGATTTAGAGGTCTAAAAAGTAATACACCGGGAGTGATCTCCTCTAAACTTTCTCAAATATTCTTATATAACACTACGGGGGATAGCACCTTGAGATATAGACAATATTTTAAATCCATTTTCAATTACTTAAACTTTTAAAAATAGAATAGAATCTCGTAGAAAAAAGAATTGCGCACCAAATGAACGCCAAAAAATCTGTGTATAATTGTGCGGAATATTATTAGTACTTTATAAATTCACATGCGGTTTTTTTTTTTGAGAAATCGAAAATAGCGTAAATTACTACTTCTGGCCGACGGAAATTACTCAAATTTTGACAAAAGGCATGTGAAATAAATTTCATTTATCTATCTGAAACAGTACTCAAGTTATACGCTGTTGAAAAGTTGAAAGTAGAATAAGTTCCACTCCCGGTTACCGGAAATCGCTAAAAGTCGATATAGAACTAAAATTCGATATAATACTTATTTATGAAATTTCATCAACCTAGCTGTAACGATATTCAAGTTATCGTGTTCACAGACATACACAGATATACGGACATGATTGCAAAATTATGTTTTTCTGAATCAGGGAGGTGTAAAACGTCGAGATTTAGAAAAATTTTGATTTTTTTAAAATTTTTTGCGCGATTGCAATACTTTCTCTATACTTGGAATACGAGAAAGTAAAAAGTCCAAGTTTAAATGCCAATGTTCCATCGCAACTTACATCTTACATGGATGCTTACATCTAATTCTCACAGTCTTATCCAATGTGGAGTTGGAACCCTGTCACGTGGGCAACTGCTAATGCCGCCATTTTGTGATTTTAATCTCGGTCTAAAAATAGACGGAATTCTTTAATGGCATTTTATTTCCCTATTCAAATCTTTTGTTCGTTCATAGGTGGATCCATCTTCCACCAACCATTGGTGGATCCATCTTCCACCAACCATTGGCGTAGCAAGGTGAGGACGGGTGGGGCAGCCTCCCTAGGAGTCGACCCTAAGGGGGCGCCAAAAGTGTTTGAGAAATTAATTTAAAAACTCGTTTTAAGATGAAGTATTGAATTATGCACAATCAAAACTACTAAAATAAATGACTACAAGGCTTTACACACTGATGTAACTGTTTTCTATGTCAATTTTGTGGCACCGAAATAGAAAATGTCACGGGATAGTAACTGGTAAGAAGCGCCACAAACCTTTCCAACTGGGGGAAGGGGTGGGGGGCGAGCGCTTTTTCACAGACAGGAATAATTATATAGAAATAGGAGGAGGGGCGCAAAAGTGTTAGTACGCTCGGGCGCCGGAATAAGTCTCTACGCCTCTGGCTATTGCCACACGGTGGATCCACCAAGCTATTGCCACACGGTGGATCCACCAAGCTATTGCTACACGGTGGATCCACCAAGCTATTGCCACCCGGTGGATCCACTAAGCTATTGCCATACGGTGGATCCACCTACACTTGTACACCCAGACAAATGTGATGACCACGTGACCAGACACCAGACCACGTGATACCCGTATGTTACAGCCTCGTTCTGACATATTTCGATCATATTCCGGCTAAATGTTTTGTTCTGGTGTCTATGGCAACCAGGTGTGACACGTGACCGGAGGGGGGGGACCTGTGTCAGACAGAGGGGCGGGGCCAGCAGACGCCATGTTAGAAGTTAGCACCGCGATCGCCTGTAGGGGCAGGTGGTGCAGAGTTCATCTGGACGTCCAATGTGGTGGTGGAGATTGTAACAAGACTTTCATGACAGACCAGCAAACACAAGACAGACAGACAGACGAACAAGCAGACGTACTGTCAGACAGACAGAAAGACAGACCTGCACTACAGACAGACGGAAAGACAGACCTGCACTACAGACAGACAGAAAGACAGACCTGCACTACAGACAGACAAAAAGACAGACCTGCACTACAGACAGACAGACAGACAGACCTGCACTACAGACAGACAGAAAGACAGACCTGAACTACAGACAGACAAAAAGACAGACCTGCACTACAGACAGACAGAAAGACAGACCTGAACTACAGACAGACAGAAAGACAGACCTGCACTACAGACAGACAGAAAGACAGACCTGCACTACAGACAGACAGAAAGACAGACCTGAACTACAGACAGACAAAAAGACAGACCTGCACTACAGACAGACAGAAAGACAGACCTGAACTACAGACAGACAGAAAGACAGCCCTGCACTACAGACAGACAGAAAGACAGACCTGCGCTACAAACAGACAGAAAGACAGACCTGCACTACAGACAGACCTGCACTACAAACAGACAGAAAGACAGACCTGCACTGAACCTGCCACTACTTACGAGCGCGGGTGTACAAAGTTTATCAGCACACAAGACAGACGCGCGCAAGGCACGCAATAAATTACCACAAACATGCGGATAATAAACAAAACATTTTTTTATCTTCAATTTAAAAAGTCTCGGCCGAAGGTTTTTGCAAAAAAATAAATGAGATAAAAAATAGATTAGTAAAGTAACTTAACTGGCTCCTCTTGTATGTACGCAAGCATGGAGCGAATATAAAAAATGAAACTAATAGTTTCGTTAAATTTCACATTTTTGCGCTGTCAACGAAAGGCGAAACAATTTTTATTTTCCATTGGCGGAAATGATTATCTATAAATAACTTCCCGGAGTAAACCTTGCAACCGTTAGGGTAAGGATTCTATTCACGTCACATCTGACGTTTTACAACTCAAGTCTGCTTGGTTCTAGGTCCTCAGTATCCCCACACTAAATGTGTGGACACCCCCACATATTGTGTGAACTGCTCGTATTGTCTGAGCACCCCACACTTTTTGTGTGGGAGATCCCCACACACTTTGTGTGAGCTCCCCACACATCAGCCACATCACGTGACTGTCTACAGGTCTGGTGGTTCCAGCCCATCTTGCAGCCAGCCGTGATTTATTGCAGTCATCTCCCTTTGTAATTACCTCCCTTTGTAATTACCTCCCTTACATCATTTTACCAATGTAGGGGAAATAACCAAATATCAAGTGCAGAGTTCGAGTCCTACTTTTCAAATGTTCCCTGTACAGAAGGGCGAGAGAACAACTGAGGGAAAGAAAACTTTGAGCCCCCCTCTCCCACCCCCTCACCCCTCACCCCCACCAGCCCCTCAATCATTCGTCACGTTGCCTTCATCAGCATACACAAGCAACATATATTTCTGGTTGTAATTGAATGTTGGCGTGTTGTAGTGGTGGATGGTGTAGTGGTGGTGGATGGTGTTGTGGTTGTGGTGTTGTGGTGGTGGATGGTGTTGTATCGGTGGAGGGTGTTGTGGTGGTGTTGTGTTGGTGGATGGTGTTGTGTCAGTGAATGGTGTTATGGTGGTGGTGTTGTGGTGTTGTGGTGGTGTTGTGGTGATGGATGGATGGTGTTGTGGTGGATGGTGTTGTGGTGGTGTTGTGGTGGTGTTGTGGTGGTGTTGTGGTGGTGTTGTGGTGGTGGTGTTGTGGTGATGGATGGATGGTGTTGTGTTGGTGGATGGTGTTGTGGTGGTGGATGGGGTTGTGGTGGTGGTGGTGTTGTGGTGGTGGTGTTGTGGTGGTGGATGGTGTTGTGGTGGTGTTGTGGTGGTGGATGGTGTTGTGGTGGTGTTGTGGTGGTGGTGTTGTGGTGGATGGTGGATGGTGTTGTGGTGGTGGTGGTGTTGTGGTGGTGGTGGTGTTGTAGTGGTGGATGGTGTTGTGGTGGTGGATGGTGTTGTGGTGGTGGATGGGGTTGTGGTGGTGGTGGTGTTGTGGTGGTGGATGGTGTTGTGGTGGTGTTGTGGTGGTGGTGTTGTGGTGGTGGATGGTGTTGTGGTGGTGGATGGTGTTGTGGTGGTGGTGTTGTGGTGGTGGATGGTGTTGTGGTGATGGTGTTGTGGTGGTGGTGTTGTGGTGGTGGATGGGGTTGTGGTGGTGGATGGTGTTGTGGTGGTGGATGGGGTTGTGGTGGTGGTGTTGTGGTGGTGGATGGGGTTGTGGTGGTGTTGTGGTGGTGGTGTTGTGGTGGTGGATGGTGTTGTGGTGGTGGATGGTGTTGTGGTGGTGGTGTTGTGGTGGTGGATGGTGTTGTGGTGATGGTGTTGTGGTGGTGGTGTTGTGGTGGTGGATGGGGTTGTGGTGGTGGATGGTGTTGTGGTGGTGGATGGGGTTGTGGTGGTGGTGTTGTGGTGGTGGATGGGGTTGTGGTGGTGTTGTGGTGGTGGTGTTGTGGTGGTGGATGGTGTTGTGGTGGTGGATGGTGTTGTGGTGGTGGATGGTGTTGTAGTGTTGGATGATGGGAAGTTTTAAGTGTTAAATTCGCATTTGTTCCGGTTAAACCAAGGGGCGGTCACCTTGTTCTTTGGCGACCCAGAAACTTCGTGCATCTACAGATCAAAGGAAAGATGACGTAAAATTAATTAAATCAAGTTAATTACCGGCGTCTGTGCCCATACACCTGCAGTGGTTGATGAGCTTGTAATGACGTCATGCTTTATGCAGCAACTGCCATTCTTCGGATGATTAACGGCATTCAATCTTTGTTGTTTGTTTTTACCTCACTCATCGTCTTTGTGAAACAGCGACAAAACAAATTCAGTTAACGACGACAAAACAAATTCAGTTAACGACGACAAAACAAATTCAGTTAACGACGACATTCTTCGCTGTGTAGCATAGCGACGTCACGCCACGCGAGATTGGAACATTCTCTTATTCACTGCTCGGGTTCAAGGTCAGCTACCCGCCCATTCCCTCCACTTGGTGCTCGGGTTCAAGGTCAGCTACCCGCCTGTTCCCTCCTCTTGGTGGTCGGGTTCAAGGTCAGCTACCCGCCCATTCCCTCCACTTGGTGCTCGGGTTCAAGGTCAGCACTAAGAGCTGGTCACGTGCACTTACAGTGGTCGTTGGGTTTTGTTTGAGCATAATTTAGTTGCCATGGTAACCATTTGTTTTATTCTTTGCATCATAATTTAACTTTGATCCACGTTCATCACACAAAAAAATCATTTAACCCTCTGACCACCAATGAAATAATGTAACCCTCTAACGACCACACATGAAATCATTTAACCCTCTGACGACCAAACATGAAATCAATTAACCCTCTGACCACCAATGAAATAATTTAACCCTCTGACCACCAATGAAATCATTTAACCCTCTGACGACCAAACATGAAATCAATTAACCCTCTGACCACCAATGAAATAATTTAACCCTCTGACCACCAATGAAATCAATTAACCCTCTGACGACCACACATGAAATGAATTAACCCTCTCTCCACCAGCCCCAACATGTGCAAGGTACAGCACGTGCTAGGTTCTACAGATAAATATTTTACTCACTGCGTGGCCAAACACCTCAAGGTCATCTGTGAGCGACCAACGTAAGTAGGTCAAGGACGATTCGACGTATTCAATTAGGTCAAGCGATGGACGATCTTAAGTAGGTCAACCGACGCACTCAACTAGGATGATTTATTCCTTCGCGTTTGTTCACTACATCAGGCACTATCAATCGAGGACTACATTTAGAAGACAAAATAGGACAAATATTTTAGTAATAGAGGACAAAATAGGACAAATATTTTAGGACTAGAGGACAAAATAGGACACATAATTTCGGACTAGAGGACAAAATAGCACACATATTTTAGGACTAGAGGACAAAATGGCACAAATAATTTTTGAAAACTTTGACACAAGATAAGATTTTAATTTTTAAAATTTTAATACAGTAATGAGATACATGTTGAACACAACTTAAACACAACTTAAACACAACTTAAACACAACTTAAACACATGAACACACGTGATCGACTGTTGCCTTCTGCCAGGTACGAGAGATGGGAGTGTTGTCCTGGCTTCAAGAGGAAATCTTATGAGGAGGGTTGTCCTGTTGGTAGGTTGGTGTGGTTGTCCTGTTGGTAGGTTGGTGTGGTTGTCAGAGGGTTGTCCTGTTGGTAGGTTGCTGTGGTTGTCCTGTTGGTAGGTTGGTGTGGTTGTCCTGTTGGTAGGTTGGTGTGGTTGTCGTGGGTTGTCCTGTTGGTAGGTTGGTGTGGTTGTCAGAGGGTTGTCCTGTTGGTGGGTTGCTGTGGTTGTCAGAGGGTTGTCCTGTTGGTAGGTTGGTGTGGTTGTCAGAGGGTTGTCCTGTTGGTAGGTTGGTGTGGTTGTCAGAGGGTTGTCCTGTTGGTAGGTTGGTGTGGTTGTCGTGGGTTGTCCTGTTGGTAGGTTGGTGTGGTTGTCGTGGGTTGTCCTGTTGGTAGGTTGGTGTGGTTGTCGTGTTGGTAGGTTGGTGTGGTTGTCCTGTTGGTAGGTTGGTGTGGTTGTCGTGGGTTGTCCTGTTGGTAGGTTGGTGTGGTTGTCCTGTTGGTAGGTTGGTGTGGTTGTCCTGTTGGTAGGTTGGTGTGGTTGTCGTGTTGGTAGGTTGGTGTGGTTGTCCTGTTGGTAGGTTGGTGTGGTTGTCGTGGGTTGTCCTGTTGGTGGGTTGCTGTGGTTGTCGTGGGTTGTCCTGTTGGTAGGTTGGTGTGGTTGTCAGAGGGTTGTCCTGTTGGTAGGTTGGTGTGGTTGTCGTGAGTTGTCCTGTTGGTAGGTTGGTGTGGTTGTCCTGTTGGTAGGTTGGTGTGGTTGTCGTGAGTTGTCCTGTTGGTAGGTTGGTGTGGTTGTCAGAGGGTTGTCCTGTTGGTAGGTTGGTGTGGTTGTCGTGAGTTGTCCTGTTGGTAGGTTGGTGTGGTTGTCCTGTTGGTAGGTTGGTGTGGTTGTCGTGAGTTGTCCTGTTGGTAGGTTGGTGTGGTTGTCCTGTTGGTAGGTTGGTGTGGTTGTCCTGTTGGTAGGTTGGTGTGGTTGTCGTGAGTTGTCCTGTTGGTAGGTTGGTGTGGTTGTCCTGTTGGTAGGTTGGTGTGGTCATTGTTAAAGGGGCTGGGCGATGGGGGCTGTCTGACATTTAGCATCTTTGAAAAAGTCTGTCTATTCAAATGTCTGCTGTTCGTGAAAAAGTCTGTCTATTCAAATGTCTGTCTGGTCAGAGAAGCCGCTGGACAACATGTTGGAGACATCACGTGACCTGAAACTGACGTCATTCCTCCATCACATCAACAAGACACAGCTCCAACACGACCTGGCCAAATTTGGGCCATACACGGCCTTCATACCGACAGACGAGGCCATCCAGGCCGCCTCACCGGCCACAGTGTAAGTACTCACCCCCCACCCCCACGTGTAGACCGTCCCACCACCCCACCCCACCCATATGTAGACCGTCCCCCACCCCACCCATGGGTAGGCCACCCAGCCTCTAGTTAGACACGATATTGAGTAGAAAAGAAATTAAAACCAACTGGAAGCAGCGCTAAAAAAGCAATGTCTCATTTTATGTCTTTATGTCGTATTGTCCTCATGTCCTCACGTCCTATTGTCTTCACGTCCTCATGTCCTGATCTCCATGTTGTACTGCAGACGCCAGCTGACGCCGAAGTCGCACGACGCCGCGTCACTCCTGCACTACCACGTGTCACCAGGTCGACTCAACATCTCGACGTTCAGGGACCGTGACCGCGAGCTGGTGACCTTGTACGAGGGGAAAAAGATCAGGGTCAACAAGTACGCTTATGGGGTTAGTTCGACCTCTGACCCTAGTTAGTTTAACCTCTGACCCCGTTCGTTTGACCTCGCTCCACAATCTGCCCACGGTAAAAATGGGGCACATTTTTAATGAGTGAAACTATTTGGGTAGTTTCTTTGACCTGTTAGAGTTTAACCTTTGACCCGTGAGAGTTTAACCTTAGACCTGTAAGAGTTTAATCTTTGACCTGCAATAGTTTAACCTTTGACCCGTAATAGTTTAATCTTTGACCCGCAATAGTTTAACCTTTGACCCGTAACAGTTAAACCTTTGACCCCTAAGAGTCTAACCTTTGACCGTTTAGAGTCTATCCTTTGACCTGTAAAAGTTTAACCTTTGACCTGTAAGAGTTTAACCTTTGACCTGTAAGAGTCTAACCTTTGACCTGTAAGAGTTTAACCTTTGACCTGTGCAGGTTGCCACCGTGAACTGTGCCAGGATTATCCGGCCAGACGAGTTGGCCACCAACGGTATCATTCACGTCATCGACAAGGTGGGTCCTGATGGTGGTAGCCTGTGTGGCAGTAGATGACATGACATGACATGACATGACATGACATGACATGACATGACATGACAGGACATGACATGACATGACATGACATGACATGGTGCTGTAATACATGACATGTACTGACATTTTGCTGTGACATGTGATGTGTGAGATGTATGTGACATTTATGTCATAATATGTAAGTACAGTTTAAAGTATCTCATCAATTACTGATTCTATGTCATAACCCCCCCCTCCCCCCACCCGCAGGTCATCTCACCCCTAGACACCCAGCAGAACATTCTAGAACGGATCCAGGCCGACCCCCGCTTCTCCCAGCTCAACCTGGCCCTGCTGGTGTCGGACATGGCCCGACGTCTGAGGGGGGACACCCGGACCTTCACCCTCCTCGCCCCCACAGACCAGGCCTTCGCCCGCCTCCCCACGGACCTGATGGAGCGGATTCTGTCGGACGCCGACACGGCAGAGAGTAGGTCAACTTGTGGGTCACGTGAGCTGGCAGGACATTGGTCCTACAGAACCAGCTCATATCCTACAAATATCTCATGTCCTACTAATATCTCATGTCCTACAAATATCTCATGTCCTACAAATATCTCATGTCCTACAAATATCTCATGTCCTACAAATATCTCATGTCCTACAAATATCTCATGTCCTACAAATATCTCATGTCCTATTGCAGAAGTCCTACAGCGTCACATAGTGCGGGGAGTCTACTGCGCTGACGCCATCGTCGTGTCCGTAGGTCTGAAGACGCTGGATGACTCTCGTCTGCTGTTTCGCTGCAAGAGGGAGGGCGTCTTCGTCAATGACGCCAAGGTCGTTGACCCCGACATCGTGGCCTCCAACGGCGTCATTCACGGCATCGATCAAGTTTTTATACCTGACTCAGGTAAGTTTGTACCTGACTCAGGTAAGTTTGTACCTGACTCAGGTGAGTTTGTACCTGACTCAGGTGAGTTTGTACCTGACTCAGGTGAGTTTGTACCTGACTCAGGTAAGTTTGTACCTGACTCAGGTAAGTTTGTACCTGACTCAGGTAAGTTTGTACCTGACTCAGGTGAGTTTGTACCTGACTCAGGTGAGTTTGTACCTGACTCAGGTGAGTTTGTACCTGACTCAGGTAAGTTTGTACCTGTACCTGACTCAGGTGAGTTTGTACCTGACTCAGGTGAGTTTGTACCTGACTCAGGTGAGTTTGTACCTGACTCAGGTGAGTTTGTACCTGACTCAGGTGAGTTTGTACCTGACTCAGGTAAGTTAGTACCTGTACCTGACTCAGGTAAGTTTGTACCTGACTCAGGTAAGTTTGTACCTGACTCAGGTAAGTTTGTACCTGTACCTGACTCAGGTAAGTTTGTACTCTTATTATTATAAACACAACAAGCCCAACAGTTAATGAAACATGCTCCAGTCTATCGCGCTGCATGTAGATAATCGTCGTCCCCCACCCACCCCCCTCAAGATAATCTAGTTAGCCCACTCCCTCCCCCATCTCTCCCACTTTTAGCCTCATCAATTGATGTGATCACTAATTAAACGCATGTAATTGATGACGTCAATCATCCACAGACAGTAATGAGTTAAGGTTTGGGTTATTGAAACAATGCAACCAGCTGATATACGTCTGGTTTACATCACATTTTTACCTGAACATTTTTACCTGAACACAAAGAGAAAATATTTGCTGGTGGAGAAATGAAAACATTCCTGGTGTTAGGAGAACATTTCCGATACAACACAATAGAATGATTATGTCAGCAAGCTACTGCATTTGTGTGTATATATATATATATATATATATATAAAGTCCTAAACCAACAATCTCTTTTAATTATTTCAAGTTTTCCTCTGAGTGAGTTGATCAAATCAAGAACTTGAGAAATCAATGACGTACGGTGCCTGTCTATTTTACATTTTACTCACGAATCAGCTGATTCCCCCCCCCCCCCCCCCACTCCACCTGTCTACCAGCCCTTACAAGAAAACCTCTTATCTTAATTACGTCACAGGTTCAAACCTAGCCACCCCACGAGGAAATTATTTTAAACTAATGAGCTAATTAGAAACATTATTTGGTCAGCATGCGCAGAACAACTAATATTGGATTGGATACATCTCTATCCAATATTTGGTTTGGGGGATAGGTTGGGAGTGGGCAGTGGGGGGTAGCCTGGGGTGGGGATTAGAGGATATCGGCGCCCTCATGTGGCTTCCAATGGCCTCAGTTTATTTCTCTCATTCCTTCACAATGTTAGCAATGTTTCTTCCAGACTTTTTTCTCCGGGGGGGGGGGGGGGGGGGGGCACTTGAAATCTTCGGGGGGGGGGGGGGGGCGGTAAACTTTCTTCGGGGGGGCGTACACTGTTAAAAGCATATATTTTCTATATAAATTATATAAATTTCATTTCGTTCGGGGGGGTGGTAAAAATTTTTTTTTTGTTAGGACGTCCCCCCCCCCCTTACAATCCTGCCGCTTGTAACAGTGTGTATATCCTACAGTCTGTAGGGGTGTGGGAGGGGGGAGGTGAATGTTGGATTGTGGTGTGGGGGTGTGGGAGGGGGGGGTGAAGGTTTGTTAGTGGTGTGGGAGGGGGTAGCTGAATGTTGGATAGTGGTGTGGGGGTGTGGGAGGAGGGAGGTGAAGGTAGCTGTACCCTGTTAGTGTCGGGTGTGGGAGGAGGGGGTGAAGGTTTGATAGTGGTGTGGGGGTGTGGGAGGGGGTGAGGGTTGCTGTACCCTGTTAGTGTCGGGTGTTTGGCCATCTGGAACCTGGGGTTTATTTTCTCCGAATTGTTGCTGTTGTATCTTAATGTCAAGGTCACATCATGCCAGACGTGCTGGCGAATTTTCAAATTGTGTCTGGGGCTGGTGGGGGGGGGGGGGGAGGGGCGTCAAATAATGATATCATTGTTAACAAAAATTGTTTGCCGTTTCAATTTTTCCCTCATATAATAAATCTACTACCTTGACCTACGCCTGTTGCTACTAGACTAGTGTCGTCTGCCCTTAAACTTCTTTGCGCGCTAACGATACCTGGGTTCGTGTTTAGCCGAAGAAGTCCTCAGCCCGGAACCTAATTAGCTGCTTAGTTTATTAATCCAACGTTTTCTGTCAATTTTTTTGTTCTCATGAAAACAGAACGTATGAAATAGGTCAGCTGAGGAAAGGCGGTTAATGGAGACCAACAACACTGGGAGGGTAACCTTGACCTTAGTAAAAAAACATGATCGATGACCTTGACCGTGATAATACGGGTGGTGTAGAATAAGGTTCCCCTGATGAGTTCGTGTGTGTAGGGTGGGGTGGAGGTAGGGGTGGGTGTGGAGGTGGGGTTGGGGGTGGAGCTACCTCCACTAGACAGAGACGGTACCGCCCCGCTACTTTGTTGTGTCTCCTCCTGTAGACCACTCACCCGCAACCAGTCACGTGATGCCACAATACACACATTAGCAACGCTTCATTAACTTCAGATCACATGACCCTCCTGCACCAGACCTGCCCTCAATAGCTCAGCTTTTGTTCCATGGCTGACTTCTCGCCCGAGTTCTCGCTCACAACGTGGCTTCACGAGATCCAAACACAAACAAACACTAGAGGCAGCAGACATACAGTGGCGGGTGGGGTGGGGTGGGAGCTGGTCGATGTACAAGTGCTGCTGACAGTGACGTCATGTCACAGTGACGTCATGTGTCAGTATAGTAGTGACGTCAGCAGCTGTCGTGTGTGGCAGTGACGTCATGTGACGTCGTGTATTTGGTCACTGTTGAAGTTTATGCTCACCATTGGCAGACAAAAGTTACTGAGACCCTGACCCTAACGTTGATCAAATCAAATCATGCAGGTAGTGTGTCAGTCAGCTCCAGCAGTCTCCCCACATTGTCTACTTTGTTTTGTCCTCAGTCAAGAACACCAGTCAGCTGTTGAGGGAGATGAACTTGACCGACTTCCTGGACGCGCTCGAGAAATCTGGTCTTAACGACACGCTCAACATGGGCAACATCACCATCTTCACACCCACCAACAAGGCTTTCAAGTGTGAGTACACACCCCACACTTCCCCACACCTCCCCACACTTCCACACACACCATATTCACCCCCACCAACAAGGCTTTCACGTGTGAGTACACACTCCACACTTCCCCCACACTACACCTCACACTACTTCACACCAACAGGCAAAATTTTCTAATATGAGCAGCCTCCCCAAATGATCGTGCTCCCCCACCCCCCCAAATGATCGTGCTCTCCCACCCCTCCCCAAATGATCGTGCTCTCCCACCCCTCCCCTAATGATCGTGCTCTCCCACCCCTCCCCAAATGATCGTGCTCTCCCACCCCTCCCCAAATGATCGTGCTCTCCCACCCCTCCCCAAATGATCGTGCTCTCCCACCCCCCCCCCCCCCAAATGATCGTGCTCTCCCACCCCTCCCCAAATGATCGTGCTCTCCCACCCCTCCCCTAATGATCGTGCTCTCCCACCCCTCCCCAAATGATCGTGCTCTCCCACCCCTCCCCTAAAACGTCGGCCTATATCTTAGCTCATCTTAGCTCATCCATCTCGAGATTACAGCGGTTGAGGGTAGGAGATATCTTTTCAAAGATCTAGCACCAGCTACCTGTATGTAAGATCTAGCACCAGCTACCAGTATGTAAGATCTAGCACCAGCTACCTGTATGTAAGATCCAGCAGTAGCTACCTGTATGTAAGATCTAGCACCAGCTACCTGTATGTAAGATCTAGCACCAGCTACCTGTATGTAAGATCTAGCACCAGCTACCTGTATGTAAGATCTAGTACCAGCTACCTGTATGTAAGATGTAGCCCTAGTTACCTGTATGTAAGATCTATCACCAGCTACCTATATGTAAGATCTAGTACCAGCTACCTGTATTTAAGATCGAGCACCAGCTACCTGTATGTAAGATCTAGCACCAGCTACCAGTATGTAAGATGTAGCACCAGCTACCTGTATATAAGATCTAGCACCAGCTACCTGTATCCCCAGCTCTGGGTAACGGCTACATGGCAGCCCTCCAACCTGGCAAACTGTACGAGGTTGTCGGCACGCACATCGTCCCTGGCCATGTGACACGTGACCAGCTGGTTGGCGACACTTCCCTCAACACGATGGCCGGGGTCGCGGTCAAGCTCAAGGTCAAAATCTCCAGGAATGTGAGTCATCTTGTCTGGCCAACTGTGTGACGTCATATTTGGGCCAACATTTTTAAAAATTTTGTGGCCAACTTTTTTTTAACAGTAGGTTTACAACAGGTAAACAAAGGTAGATAATGTAGGCCAACCTACCAACCTACCAACCTGCCTTCTATTAGAGGAAAAAAAAATTCTTCACAATTTAAATAAGCCGGGAGTGATCTCCCCTAAACTTTCTCGAATATTCTAATATAACATTATGAGGGATGGCAACTCAGGACATAAACAATATCCATTTTTAATTACTTAAACTTTTTATAATAGAATAGAATCTCGTAAAAAAAAGAATTGCACACCAAGTGAAAAGTTTCCCTTTCTAACCTGACTTGAACTCGGATTCGAACTCGAGACTAACGGGTTAGCAGTTCAGCTCTCTACCGCTAGACCACTCCGTCCCAAACCAAGTGAACGCCTAATAAATGTGTATAAAAGTGTGGGATTTTTTTAGTACTTTATAAATTTACATGTATTTTCTGAGAAATCGGAAATTGCGTAAATTAGTACTTCCGGTCAACGGATATTACTCAAAATTTGACAGAAGGTAGATAATTAGATCTTTTACTTACGTGTGAAATTTCATGCATCTATCTAAATTAGTACGCAACTTATAGGCTTTTGAAACATTCAAAGTAGAAAAAGTACCACTTCCGGTTATCGGAAATCGCTCAAAAGTTGATCAGTATCTACGATTTTGATGAAATACTTATATATGAAATTTCATCAACTTAGCTGTAACGGTACTCAAGTTATCGTGTTTACACACAGACAGACACACAGACACACAGACACACAGACATACGGACATACGGACAGAATTGCAAAGTCCAGTTTTTACGACTCGATAACGCATAAAACGCCATAACGTTTATATATTTGTATTTATAATTTTTGCCTGATTAAAATAAGTCCTCTATACTCCGGATGTGATGAAGGAGTAAAACGGTGAAAACTGTCAAAATTTCATGTTATTTTTGTGCACGATTACAATACTTTCTCTATACTTCGTATATACGAGAAAGTAAAAATCCAAAAGTAACCGACAACGCAAGACTGCTACACGCATGCGCGGTACGACACTAACCAATGAACACCCCTCCCCCCCTCCCCCAGGGCGTGACGGTGGACAGGGCGACCGTGGAGGCAGATGGTCGAGAGTGTAGAGACGCCGTCATCCACAAGGTGGACCAGGTTCTAATCCCGGCTGTCAAGAGCATCCAGGAGCATCTGAGGGAGGACCGCGACACCAGGTGAGGCTCAATTCGTTTAGCCGTACCCTGTTAGATGCTTCAGGTAAGGCTCAATTCGTTTAGCCGTACCCTCAGTTTAACGCAGATAGCGAGAAGACGTGAGTGGTCCCAGTCCCCCACCCACACCTTGATACTGACCCTAACAATGGTCACGTGATCTCATGGAGGCCGCGGGTCAAAGGGCACTACACAAACTTAGAAGGTCATTCATGACGTCATCTAATGATCTCCTCGCCTAAAATCTAATTACCCCTGTCAGCTCTTCAGATTGTTAATCCACAACTGTGTCCCCCCCCCCCCCAGCGTGTTTAACGAGATGCTGATCCAGTCAGGCGTGTCCGAGATGTTGGTGCCAGACGGCAGCTACACCGTCATGGCGCCCACCAACAGGGCGCTGGCCAACCTTGACCAGAGGCAGCTCAAGGCCATCCAAGAAAACCAGGTCAGGCTCAAGAAGGTCAGTGACGTCATGGAGGTATTTATAGTCAACTACGTCTAAAAATAGAGCACAGAATTTATACTCAATTCTTGTAGACAATTCTTGAAGACGTGCGCATACAACTTGTGCAGTATGTTTCATCCTTGTAAAAAGTTAGTTTGATGATTTTAAAAAGTGCCATTTGTAATATTTTTGTGCCGTCATAAGGGGTAATGTAAGTCCCGCCCATTCATTATACAGCCCGCCCATTCATTATACAGCCCCGCCCACTCATCATACAGCCCCGCCCACCTCAGTGTAAAAAACCCTGTCCGCCATTTTGTCCCCAGTTTGTTCAGCGTCACGTGATCCCCCGGATGATCCTCAAGTGCACTATACCCGACCCCGGGGTGTACACGGTGCGGGCCATGCAGTACGACGAGACCGAGTTCCTACTAGAGCGGGGGCCGAGGAAGCGTCTGTTCATCAACCGACACGCCATGGCCCTGACAGACGACATTCTGGCGTCAAATGGCGTGCTCTACAAGCTCGACCACGTGCTTCCATGCTCGTGCGAGCGCGCGCTGCTCAACGACCAGGGCATCAACATCTCCGACCATCGATACAGGCGGAGGATTTATTGATTGACCAATCGATCACCCCATTGACCCTCTCACAGTTCACCAAAGATCAATTGAAAACATTTCCAATGTGTTCGTCCACCGAACCCTGGCATCAAGTCTTCAAATCTCTCCTGGGTTTCAGGAAAAATGGCTTTAATTTATTTAATGGCTTTCTAAGACATGCTTTAAGATGTTTTGTCGTTTTATTTAAAAAAAAATAAAATCTGGTAAACATTCTAGAAAAAAAAATTATCTGGTAAACATTCTAGAAAACAAAAATTCTGGTAGCAGGTAATGTGCAAGAGTTGGCGACAACATGTTTATACGTGTGAGTGCCTTATCAATGTTCTATTTTTAGATTCATTTGTTGACATAGTGTTAACAAAATGTTAAAAACATATCCACGCAGACATGCCATGTGTACATGTACACACTTGATTTAATACTCGCTTCATCGTGTGCGTGTACACAGTAGAAAATCTGGTCTGTATTATTGCGTCATTTCATCATCGTTTTTTTAGTCATCATCTGATTAGATAATATATTAGATAATGTAAATGTAGAGCGTTGAGTTCACGTCACTTTGTGCTCATGCATGTCTGTGTACTGACTATTCGCATCAGTAGAAATCGTAATCCAGGGGAAGTAATGCAGTAAATTTTATGCTAACACAGTAATATATTGAGTTGTCTCCCTTACTACGCTGTCTACCAACTTACAAAGGTGAAAAATAAAAATAGAAACCAACTTTACAATTAGATGAATTTAATTAACCCCTGCGTCTAATTAGACGCTTCTTGTTGTCAGTAAATTATTGCTAGAGAGTAAACGTCTACTGAGAGAAAATGATTGAACTTTTGGCAGAAATGCCATCGTAGTAAAGTTGTAACATTGATGTAATGTGCAGTAAAGTTGTAACATTGATGTAATGTGCAGTAAAGTTGTAACATTGATGTAATGTGCAGTAAAGTTGTAACATTTCTGGTACTTGTAAATGAACGATACATAATAGATATAGTTCTTTTGTCTGTAAATTTTATTTATATTTATCAGTCATTTTTAATAGACAATAGAATTCTGATGTAATTATTACATGATATGAAGCAATAGAATTCTGATGTAATGATTACATAATATGAAGCAACATCCTAGTTTTTTTTGTTAATGTTGTCATCACATTTTCATCTGTATGTCCGTCAGTGTGTGTGTCCGTGTGTCCGTCAGTGTGTGTGTGTCCGTGTGTCCGTCAGTGTGTGTCCGTCAGTGTGTCCGTCAGTGTGTGTGTCCGTGTGTCCGTCAGTCTTAGGCCAGACTGTCCTACATAAGTCTGACTACGACAATGTTGAAAAATACGTCAGGAAATGTTTCACGCAATAGCTACGTCACACCACAGTGACGTCACACGACAGTGACGTCACACCACGGTGACGTCACACCACAGCGACGTCACACCTTTGTGAGCGATATGATGATGACAACACAACTTCTAAAACAGGACAACACATCTTGATGGTAGCATACAAAACATTACGACATCAAGATGTCAGGAAAACATCAATATGTCTGTGACACGTTTCGTTGATGACATCAGAATGACACCACAATAACACCACAATGACACCACAATGACACCATGTGTACTGTCAGCCTTAATGTCAAGTCAACCTTTGAATACATGCGACATCAGCTTATTCTCACACTGTAAACCCCCCCCCCCCTCTCCCACCCTGCACATACCGTCCCCCCCCCCCCCCCCCCCCCCGACCCAGGCAGTAGAAGCTTGAATGAGCACAGACAGCGACCACTTAAATACCTTATTGATTGAAGAGAAAACTATTGACAAAACCTAGTTCTCTCCCCTTCTGTTTTACAGTGTCTCCTCTCCCCCCCCCCTCCCCACCCGGCACATATACCCCCACCCTTATTTGTGTGTCACCTTCCCCCCAGTTCGATCGTTTACTGAGGAGATTTAAAAATAAGGCGCGCAAATCGAAATGTGCTCGCTTGGTTATCCGCTCCTGTTACAGTAAGGACATTTTGCTACATGCAGGACTGTAAGGACATTTCTCTACATGCAGGACTGTAAGGACATTTCTCTACATGCAGGACTGTAAGGACATTTTGCTACAGTAGGACTGTAAGGACATTTTGCTACAGTAGGACTGTAAGGACATTTTGCTACAGTAGGACTGTAAGGACATTTTGCTACATGCAGGACTGTAAGGACATTTTGCTACATGCAGGACTGTAAGGACATTTTGCTACATGCAGGACTATAAGGACATAAATATCCTTATCTCAACCAAATCCACAGCACATCTGAAACCTCAAAGTTCTAGTCACAACTGGTTAGTGGGTGGTGGAGTGGGTGTGTGGAGTGTGGAGTATGGAGTGAGTGTATTGTGTGTGGAGTGGGTGTGTGGAGTGCAGAGTGGGTGTGGTGTGTGGAGTGAGTGTGTGGCGTGAGTGTGTGGAGTGTGGAGTGTGGAGTGGGTGTGTGGAGTGGGTGTGTTGAGTGAGTGTATTGTGTGTAAAGTGGGTGTGTGGAGTGAGTGTGTGGCGTGAGTGTGTGGAGTGTGGAGTGTGGAGTGTGGAGTGTGGAGTGGGTGTGTGGAGTGGGTGTGTGGAGTGTGGAGTGGGTGTGTTGAGTGAGTGTGTTGTGTGTAAAGTGGGTGTGTGGAGTGCAGAGTGTGTGTGGTGTGTGGAGTGAGTGTGTGGAGTGCAGAGTGGGTGTGGTGTGTGGAGTGCAGAAAGGGTGTGGAGTGCAGAAAGGGTGTGGTGTGTGGAGTGAGTGTGTGGCATGAGTGTGTGGAGTGAGTGTGTGGAGTGCAGAGTGGGTGTGTGGAGTGAGTGTGTGGAGTGAGTGTATGGAGTGAGTGTGTGCGTGGAGTGCAGAGTGGGTGTGGTGTGTGGAGTGAGTGTGTGGAGTGAGTGGAGTGGGTTTCGTGTGTGAAGTGAGTGTATGGAGTGAGTGTGTGGAGTGTGTGTGTGGAGTGCAGAGTGGGTGTGGTGTGTGGAGTGAGTGTGTGGAGTGAGTGTGTGGATTGAGTGTATGGAGTATATGTGTGGTGTGTAGATGTGTAGATGTGTGGGCGACACTTAGAGACGGTGTTTTCTTCTACGATCGCATGAATGTTTTGTTAACTTGTAAAAAAAAAAAATGTGCTGTGTCAGCAGTTTTTGTGTGTGGGTCCTGACACCACAGATTGTCACACGCTGGTCGACATGTCAGGGGAATGGTCATCTAGCAAGCTGTGTCAGTCATCCAACAAGCTGTGTCAGTCATCCAACAAGTTGTGTCAGTCATCCAACAAGTTGTGTCAGTCATCCAACAAGTTGTGTCAGTCATCCAACAAGTTGTGTCAGTCATCCAACAAGTTGTGTCAGTCATCCAACAAGTTGTGTCAGTCATCCAGCAAGCTGTGTCAGTCATCCAACACGCCGTACAGTCAGTCCTACAAAACGTCCTTCTAACTGAGATGATAAATTAATGACAGACTGGAAATTTTATCTTTTTGTAATGAATATTTTTTGTTACGTCACTCAAGATGAGCTTTTAATTTAGCATTAATTAACTTAGGTTTGAAATAACAGACTTGATTAGCTATGGCTGGGGTTTCATGGTCGTCAGCAATCATGGTTGACTTAGTGGACAACCGTTAGTGTACTCACTGTCTCCCACACACAACTGTGTACTCACTGTCTCCCTCACACAACTGTGTACTGTGTACTCACTGTCTCCCTCACACAACTGTGTACTGTGTACTCACTGTCTCCCACACACAACTGTGTACTCACTGTCTCCCACACACAACTGTGTACTCACTGTCTCCCACACACAACTGTGTACTCACTGTCTCCCACACACAACTGTGTACTGTGTACTCACTGTCTCCCTCACACAACTGTGTACTCACTGTCTCCCACACACAACTGTGTACTGTGTAATCACTGTCTCCCACACACAACTGTGTACTCACTGTCTCCCACACACAACTGTGTACTGTGTACTCACTGTCTCCCACACACAACTGTGTACTCACTGTCTCCCACACACAACTGTGTACTCACCGTCTCCCACACACAACTGTGTACTCGCTGTCTCCCACACACAACTGTGTACTGTGTACTCACTGTCTCCCACACACAACTGTGTACTCACTGTCTCACACACACAACTGTGTACTGTGTACTCACTGTCTCCCACACACAACTGTGTACTCACTGTCTCCCACACACAACTGTGTACTCACCGTCTCCCACACACAACTGTGTACTCACTGTCTCCCACACACAACTGTGTACTCACTGTCTCCCACACACAACTGTGTACTCACTGTCTCCCACACACAACTGTGTACTCACTGTCTCCCACACACAACTGTGTACTTACTGTCTCCCACACACAACTGTGTACTGTGTACTGTGTACTCACTGTCTCCCACACACAACTGTGTACTCACGGTCTCCAACACACAACTGTGTACTGTGTACTCACCGTCACCCACACACAACTGTGTACTCACTGTCTCCCTCACACAACTGTGTACTGTGTACTCACTGTCTCCCTCACACAACTGTGTACTCACTGTCTCCCACACACAACTGTGTACTCACTGTCTCCCACACACAACTGTGTACTCACTGTCTCCCTCACACAACTGTGTACTCACTGTCTCCCTCACACAACTGTGTACTGTGTACTCACTGTCTCCCACACACAACTGTGTACTCACGGTCTCCAACACACAACTGTGTACTGTGTACTCACCGTCACCCACACACAACTGTGTACTCACTGTCTCCCTCACACAACTGTGTACTCACTGTCTCCCTCACACAACTGTGTACTCACTGTCTCCCTCACACAACTGTGTACTGTGTACTCACTGTCTGCCACACACAACTGTGTACTCACTGTCTCCCTCACACAACTGTGTACTGTGTACTCACTGTCTCCCACACACAACTGTGTACTCACTGTCTCCCACACACAACTGTGTACTCACTGTCTCCCACACACAACTGTGTACTCACTGTCTCACACACACAACTGTGTACTCACTGTCTCCCTCACACAACTGTGTACTCACTGTCTCCCACACACAACTGTGTACTCACTGTCTCCCACACACAACTGTGTACTCACTGTCTCCCACACACAACTGTGTACTCACTGTCTCCCACACACAACTGTGTACTCACTGTCTCCCACACACAACTGTGTACTCACTGTCTCCCACACACAACTGTATAGTACTCACTGTCTCCCACACACACCTGTGTACTCACTGTCTCCCACACACAACTGTGTAGTACTCACTGTCTCCCACACACAACTGTGTACTCACTGTCTCCCTCACACAACTGTGTACTGTGTACTCACTGTCTCCCACACACAACTGTGTACTCACTGTCTCCCACACACAACTGTGTACTCACGGTCTCCCTCACACAACTGTTTACTGTGTACTCACGGTCTCCCTCACACAACTGTGTACTCACTGTCTCCCTCACACAACTGTGTACTGTGTACTCACTGTCTCCCACACACAACTGTGTACTCACCGTCTCCCTCACACAACTGTGTACTGTGTACTCACTGTCTCCCACACACAACTGTGTACTCACTGTCTCCCTCACACAACTGTGTACTGTGTACTCACTGTCTCCCACACACAACTGTGTACTCACCGTCTCCCTCACACAACTGTGTACTGTGTACTCACTGTCTCCCACACACAACTGTGTACTCACTGTCTCCCTCACACAACTGTGTACTGTGTACTCACTGTCTCCCACACACAACTGTGTACTCACTGTCTCCCACACACAACTGTGTACTCACTGTCTCCCTCACACAACTGTGTACTGTGTACTCACTGTCTCCCACACACAACTGTGTACTCACTGTCTCCCACACACAACTGTGTACTCACTGTCTCCCTCACACAACTGTGTACTGTGTACTCACTGTCTCCCACACACAACTGTGTACTCACTGTCTCCCACACACAACTGTGTACTTACTGTCTCCCTCACACAACTGTGTACTGTGTACTCACTGTCTCCCTCACACAATTGTGTACTCACCGTCTCCCTCACACAACTGTGTACTCACCGTCTCCCACACACGACC